TTGAAAGATTTTTTGAATTATAATTGATATATTTGTTCAGAAATACTTTTAAATATTTTAAAATTAGTATTTTCTAGTTTTATAAATTTTAAATTTATGTGATTTACTATACAATAACTAAGTCACGTCACTAGGCCTGCAAACGGGTCAAAAGTACTGTTAGGTAAAGCTGTGAGCAAGGAACTTGAGCGATTAAAGATCGATAGGGGGCAAGACTATACGTCACATAAGACTATATCTCAAAAGTAAGACTATAAAAATCATATAAATTCGTATAAAATCACATAATTACCCAAAAATTCACGTTAATCAACTGAAAACCACTTTTCACACTTTAACACAAATATAAGTTTATTTATCATGAGTTAAGGCTAAAACTATATTATTTACTAATTATTAACTCATGATAGTGAAGACTTATCAATGACATAATCTCATGTCACTGTGTATTCATCTTAAACTCAGAAAATAATTGATGTGGGACTAAACTTGGGTCACATTTCACACAAAGTTTTTAATCATTTTAATACTTAAAATACTACTTATTTATGAGAAGGATATATCATTATAACATCACTTTATAATGATATTCATGTACTTATTTCACTATCTTTCATGCAAGTAGACAATTAGCAAGGGTTCAAATCTTATTAGAGCAAAACTCATATTTTTATTTGATTAAATCATGGTTTTCTTATAAATTACCTATTAACAATTAAGTTGTAAAAATCACTCAATCATTGATGAAAATTTTGTCAATGTGATTCATGGAGCATCATTACTAAAACCACGAAATGATTATGGATAAAAAGATCGAGTAAATTATTTTTATGATTGATGAATAAGTTGTCATCAAGAAGAAAATGATTCACCGAAAGATGAGTCACTATCTCTTGAGAATGTACTTAATGTGATGAAGAACCTTCTTTTGCTACACATATTTGAGGGTGAAACACTTAAGATGTGCCCACCTCTATTCAGCTTATCTCCGTTGGGTGACAACTATTGAATATTCATAAAGTCACTATTTTTTCACTCCATCGGGTGACAACTTTCAAGATAATTCGTCAACTTACTTTATTAATTTCTAAATTTCACAAGAAGATCTATAGATTGCTCACGTCATCCTGATGTAAGAAGAGTCTTTGAGGCCATGCATAGTACACAATAGTCATCTTGAACACTTAAGATTATGGTGCATCATGGCCGCGACATTAAAACTTTATTTTATAATTTTTAACTAGTTTAACTTCTACCATAATTTTCTGGACTTTGAAAAAAGATTTAGAGAATGTCCAGATCATTCATATTTAAAGAGATACTTTGAGGCCATGGACATTGTTTGATAATATACCTGAACGTACAAAATTTAAATGATTACTATTATGAGGTTGAAATTCTAACTTTCCTACTTTCAACTTATCTTTTGCTTAATTTACTAATACTTTGTGTGATTTCAAGTTTTGAAATTATTTTTTATTCAATTATGATTCTTTTGACTTTTACAAATTTTAATTTGACTAATTAAATTATATGTAATCACTTACATAAGAATCACTAGATATAACTCTAGTTTCACCTAAATCATGCTCATCGGGGTGCTAACATCATCTTGACATCCGCACCAAATATAGTTTATATTTATTATTTTATCTAAAAATTATAACAATTTGTATCCTTTTAAGAAAATACTGAAATATTACTAGGTATTATCTTACAAAAGTATGATTGTCTTAGAAATTTCTCACTATTTTTAAACTTCTTTTATCAAATTATGATTAGTTTATTTGTTCTAAAATATTTTTTAAATTCAAAAAATAGCATTTTTTTAGTTTTATAAATTTTAAATTTACATAATTTATTATACTATAATTAGGTCACGTCAATTGACAAAGATTCAAATCTCACCAGACTTAAAACTCATATTTTATCTCATTAAATCATAATTTTTCTACATAACACTAGGCTACAATTAAACTATTAGAATTGCTCAATCATCAACAAAAGTGTCGTCAAAGTAATTATAGAGCAGCCTAACTAATTATCAAATGATTCTAGATAAAAAGATTGTAAATCCATCAAGTAAAAGATCTCTGATTGATCAACAAACTAACCATTGTTGAGAAGAAGATAATCTATTGAGAGACTAGTCGCCACCTTTTTTAGAGTATACCCGATGCAATGAAGAGTCTACTCTTACTGTGTGGACCTAAGGATGAAGCTCCTTAAGACACGTCTCACCTCCATTTAGTTTATTTCTATTAGGTGACAACTGTTAGAGATCTATAAGTTGTTATTTTTATGCTTTACTGAGTGATAGTCGCTGAAAATGATTCTTCAATCCACCACATTGATTTTTAGACTTCACAAAAAGATATAAAGATTGTTCGCATCTTCTTTATCTAAGGAGAGCCTTTGAGTCCTTAGACATCACACTATATTCTTTCCGAACACATAATTCAAATGATTAGTGTTGTAAAGCTGAAACTTTGTCTTTTCTACTTTAAACTTAATTTTTACTTAATTTAGTAATATTTGTGTTATTTCAAAATTTGAAAACCTTCTCCATTCAATTATGATTCTTTGACTTTTATAGATCTTAGTTTTATCAATTAAATCATCTATAATCATTTACGTAAGAATCTTATCAGACATAACTCTGTTTCCACCCGATTCACATTCATTGGGGCTCTAATGTCATCCTAACATCTACACCCAAAGTTTTCTTTTTTTGTTAATTTTAAAATATATTTTATCTTCATCATTTAGTCTAAAAAATCATATCAAATCTTATTCTTTATATTTTTTTTTGAAATATTACCATATATTAGTTTACATTTGTATGATTGACTAAAAATTTCTCACTATTTTTTAAACCTTTTACATAATTATAATAAATTTATTTTGTCTAAAATATTTTTAAAATCTAAATAATAATATTTTTTAGTTTATAAATTTTAAATTTATGCAATTTATTATACAAAGATTATGTCACATCACATGGCTTAAGTCTATTCTAATAAAATAGAGGAAGTGTGCTTACTAATTTTTTGAGGGGTCTCAACAAATTATAAGGCACTGAGCGTAAAATGAGTTATTCATATTATCCACAAACAAATGGCTACACTAAGGTGGTAAATAGAAGCTCAAAAATTTATTCCAGATGATTATCTTATGTATAAGCCTAAAGTATGGAGTGATTGATAACATTAGACATAACTAAGTTATAATACTTCTTATCACTTAGTCATCAATATGACACTTTTTAAAGTAATCTATGGTAAAGATCCTCCAACATTGTTACGATATGAGCTGCCTATTTCACCAATGGATGTAGTGGACAAATATTTACTAGCATGTGATGACACACTTAAGGTTTCGAAGGTACATATCCAACATATACAGTCAAAGATGAAAGCACATGTAGAGAAACATTGACAAGACGTAGAATTTCAAGTGTGAGACTTAGTTTATACATGCCTCATACCATATCATAGAGGACATTAGCCAAGAGGGCAAACGAGAAGCTTGGTCTTAAGTTCATTACTCCTTATCCCATCAAGGAGGAATTGGTTCGATAAGATATAAATTAGAGCTGTCCAATGACACAATTCTTTATCGAGTGTTTTGTATTTCACAATTCTATAAAGCCTTGGAACATCTATAGATCATACTCAAGCAATTTTAGGAGTGCTCATGGTAGATGTAGAATAAGTGGTTACTCAAGACATCTTGGCCTTTCTGAATTCATCTTTTAACACATAAGTAGTAGTCAAATGGAAAGACCTCCCTAAATATGAAGCTTAATGAATATCAGCCACAATAATTCAACAAAAATTTCTACAATTACCTTGAGGACAGGGTGAAACTCATTGGGGAGTATCGATTAGCCTCCATGTACTTACCTTAGAAGAAGGAATGCCTTGGGCCAACTAGAGAATAATTGAAGGTGAGATTTTAAGGGGTTGACGAGTGGAATAATAGAAACCTTTTAGAGAAGGCATTGGGGTTACCTCCAAATAAAAGGGGTATGAATAAAGGAAAGGGAGAGGGGAGAAAGTTTTGGAGAATCAATTTGAGTCCTTGGGCGATCAAGTGGAAGCTTACTGTTAACTTAGATTTGAGGTGATTTCCTCTGATCTATCTCTTCCTTCATCTTTCTACTCCACACTTCCTATTAAATAAACTCCAATTTATGTTCAAGAATTGAGACAATGTTACAGAGTCGAAAGATGTCCCATAATTGGACTTTATCAAAGAAATTTCATTTTTTTTTTTTCTAACAGTTACATACACAGTTCTTGTGGATAGATCAAGTCTGAGAATGGACATCGAGAACTTGCGCGGCTATATAACTCTCTTTCTAAATTAGGGCCTTTCACTGGTTTTCTTCTCTCTCTCTCTCTCTCTCTCTTGCCTTTATTCTGTGGATGTGGGCCTGCCATTGTTTCATTATCCACACGCCCAGCTTGCTCTGATGAAGCCCATTTTCTCAATTTAGCAAAGTTTTCGGACATCGAGAGGGAGGGAGGGAGGGAGGGAGAGAGAGAGAGAGAGAGAGAGAGAGAGAGAGAGAGAAGGAGAGGTCGAGTCGCCGGCTGAGACTGAGCTGTGATAATTTTCAGGCTTAATTTTGAGGCCCGTATTTGGAATATATTTGGACTGGTCCGTTTTAGTATTACATAGGAAAAGTAAATGCCATTTTTTAATGGGCCGAGATTAAGCTGTGATAGAGTTTGTTTAGTGGGCCAGACCCACATTCAGTGGTGGGCCAAACGTGACCCGGAGGGTGCCGAGTCAGTGAACGAGTCGATGACGCGCTCGTTCTCCGAGTTCAAATTCGTCTTCACTCTCCCTCGTTCCCCTGTCTTACTGCAAATCCCTACGTAGCGAGAGAGAGAGAGAGAGAGAAGGCAGTGAAGGCTGATGCTGGAGGGAGTACTGATAGCTGCAAGTTTAGAGAGGAGGAGAACCCTACTCTGTGCTGGCGCGGCAGAACTATGTTCACACCTGCGACGAAGAAATCCCATTTTCCGCATCGGAGGGGCACGAGTCAGGGGCGGGAGGCGCCGGATTCTCCAACGACGCCCATTGCTGAGAGCCGCCCGTCTGTGGGTTTAGTCGCGTCCCGTCCGGCAACTGGTACGCCGGCGCCGTGGGGATCTCGCCTTTCCGTTCTGGCCAGGTAGTCCACAAGTTTAGCGTTCGCTGCGTAGCTGGGTTTGGTGTTCCCGCCGTGTTCCTAGTCTCTCCGTTTGTTTGTTTATGGATGGTACTGGTGTGTCCTCATTAGTTTGGCGGTTTTATAAACTTTTAAGGAGTGTGATTCGATGGAGGTTGTGCCCTTCTGTTTTCTGTTAGATGCATCATTATTTTTCTTGAGAAATCATTAATTCTAAAGGGGCCGTTGGAGGAGAGCTCTCAGATTCTTGTTTTCCTGATCTCATAAAGGTATAAATGTCAAGTTTAATGAAGTATGGTGGGGGCTACTTTTCTCATCCGTGAAAATACCATGAAAAATATTGTCAGGACAGTCATTTTCTGAACGCAGTCAATGCATCCTGGAATCATCGGTTCGCTTCCTAGATTGGGCATCATGTTGAGCTCTAAATGCTGATTTGTAGAAACTGGCAGCCGGTCAGCACTACACCAAATAATTGTTGTGGTTTTTGCATCATCTGGTGCGATGCAGGGTGAATGAATGATGGGAATTACATTTGATGGTAGCGGGGATGTTCTCAGTTAATTTGTGGGGAAAATGGTAAGGGAGGAATTGTCAGAGTCGGGAGAGCGTCAAAGTTGGGAAGTAGGATTAAAATACCTTTAGATTAATAATCTTCAGAAACTGATCAAGAGCAACTAGAAAAGAATAATGATATTTATGGTATGTGACATGAAGAGGATCAGAGCGGTCGCAGAAGACATCGGACGTCATGAGCCAGTTGTTGTTTGTTTATGTCATGGCAAATAAAAGTCAATCTCACAGCAGATGGCTAGATCAAGATACCGGGATGCAACAAACTCAGAGTTTTGTGTATGAAATCGGCTGATAGTCATACAACACATCATGATATCATGGAATGCTAATTCCCTGGGTGAATGTTGCAACAAGCGCATGTGCACCATATCAGTTATATTCGCATATTCCAGCATGATTTTTTATGGTTTTTACTGTAGTTCAAGGACTATGGATGGAAAAAGCAAGCTTTCCTCCAAGGGCTGGTGAGAGTAAACTAATTTTTTCTAACACTTGTTGCCTTGGGGACCAGTTGAAACTATTTTGGATACCCATGGGAAAGGACCCGATAGAAATGACTGCTTTTTGTAATTGATTTGGAGTGAGCAGCTCGATTGAAGTTGATGCCTCTAACAGAAAATTTCACCTGGTTCAAGCAGTAAAGGAATGGCTCCTACAAATCATTTAGCTGATTGTAGTTGTGACTGTTCAACTTTGTTTGTGTCATACATATGTCTTGCCCATATAATATTGTCTTTGTGTGTTCTACGTGACTTGTATGCTGTGTTAGATGGGGAGAAAAATTGCAATCAAAAGGCAGTGATTTCTAATCATCTTCCCAGTGCCGTGAAAAATTGATTCTCTTATAGATATTTATCTATGTAATAAATTGGAATTTCATATTTATCATTTTTCCTTTGTAACTGTCTCTTTTAGATGATTTGAACCGCACAACTATTTTGAAGCTGCTTAATGGCCGTGATGTCATCTTGTTACTAAAAAAATGGAATCCTTTGCATAATATATTGTTCTGTTTAGTTTGCACTATATAATTTTGTAGATTATCGTTTGGAATGAAACAAGTTTTTTTTTTCCTTGTGCAAGGATTCCATCACCAACAAGAATATACAAGGGAGCTGGTGCTGATCAGACTCAGCCTGTATTTGTTGCAGATTTTCCTCGAGTGGTTCGCAGTGCACAAGCCCTACAGAAAAATACGGCTGGTTGGTACAAATAATTTCTGGTTGCGTTTCGTGATCGTTTCTGAAACTAATTAAAGTTATTGCATTGTGCAGAATTCCGTGGTGGCATTGACGAGGGCTTATCGCTCTCATGGATAGTATGTGGAAATCAACTTTTTATCTGGAGCTTCTTATTAGCACCCAGTTCAAAGAAATGTGTTGTCCTTGATATCCCATCTTTAGCTTTAGCTGACTGTGAAAATGATACAAATTTGAACAAAGGTCACTGGCTGATATGTTTCGTTGATTGGAGTAAGGCATGTGAAGGAACAGAAAAGGTGTTAGGTCGGTCCTTATCCGCTGGTGTTGTGGCCTGTCACCAAGAAACGGGAGTTGTGATATATTGGCCTGATATATTTTCTGAAAGTGAGAACCAGCCAGTGGTTAGTCTACCAAGTCACGTGAAACGTGATGGTGCTACTCCGCTTTATCAAGAAGTCATTGAAACTGAGAGAAATAAAGAACCAAATCAGATTGGAGATGATTTTCGATCAGAGGGAAAATGCTTTAACTGTTTGCTAGCTTCCCTGATTCCCAGTGACGCACATGAATGCATTGGGCTTGGTTTGAGCTCTAGTGGAGAGCTGTGGCGTTTCTTTTGCAGTTCAACAAAGATTTATAGAGAGAGAGTTTCTAGGGTGAGCTCAGCTCTTCAGAATAATGAAACTGATCAACCTCCAAACTTAGTATATGCAAGGTCCCTTGTGTGGCGTTTCCAGCATGAAACTTCAGGGAAGTCTGACAGACAGTTCTTTCTGTTAACTGATCATGAAATTCAATGCTGGAACGTTTTGCTTGCAGGCAGTGGTTATGTCACTAAACTCTGGTCTCATGAAATTGCTGGTACTGATGGAGATGTGGGTATTAAGAAAGATTTGTGTAGGCAAGATCGTATATGGCTTTTGGATATGCAGGTTGATAACAGTGGGAGCAAATTTAAAGTGCTCGTTGCCACACTATCCAAGGACCAGGTGAGCAGTTCAAGTTACATACAGTATTCACTTTTGACATTGCAATATACGTCTGGGTCTGATCCTTCATCAGAAGACTATAGTTTGACAAATGATAGAATTCTGGAGAAAAAGGGTCCCCTTCATGTGTTGATTCCCAAGGGACGTGTAGAAGATGAAAAGTTTTTGCTTTCAATGAGACTCCGTATTGGAGGAAAACCACCTGGATCGGCTGTTATACTTTCTGGAAAGGGAACTGCAACTGTGACAAGTCATTGGAGAGGTACCGCACAACTCCATCAATTTGAATTGCCTTGGGACGCTGGAAAAGTTCTAGATGCTTCTGTCATAACTTCTCTAGAGAATGTTGAAGAAGGCACTTGGGTTGTTTTGACTGCGAAGGCCGGAATATGGGCGATTCCTGAGAAAGCGGTTTTACATGGAATTTTTTCTCAAAAAGGGAGCCCCAATAAGGAAGATACAGAAGAAGAAGAAAGAACAGCGTTAGATGGGGATATTGGAGACAGGCAAAGGGCATTGGTCTCGACCATTACACAACATACTGCTCAAGATGAGGAAGCTGAAGGCTTACTAGGCAGCCTCTTTCATAATTTCCTTTTGACTGGGAAAGTCGAAGGTGCTTTTGAGAAGCTTAAAAAGAATAGGGCATTTGAAAAAGAAGGTGCAATGAATGTTTTTGCGCGCATGAGCAGATCTATTGTTGACACATTGGCTAAACATTGGACAACAACTAGAGGAGCCGATTTTTTGTCTTCTGCGGTTGTTTCTTCCCAGCTCTTAGACAAACAGCAGAAACATAAACGGTTTCTGCAATTTCTTGCTTTATCCAAGTGCCATGAGGAGCTTTCTTCTAGACAACGTATGGACTGGGTTCTCTGTTCAAATTTTTATGTTTTACTACCTTAGAGCCGATATATTCCGTGCATATTTTTTCATCCTTCATTTTCCAATAAATGATGTCATTCTAAGGATCTTTAAATTGATGATTCCCGTATGATGTCTTTTCATCTAAATGTAGGATTTCTTTCACCGTACATATTGTTGGTCATTACCCAACAGCGGCTATGTCAAGTCGTTCTAACAACTGTTCTCTGATGGGTTTCACAAATCATCCATTTATTTTACTTGTGCTCATGCCATTTTTGGGCAGATGAATCACTATGGATTGATTCCTTGTCGTAGGGGAGATTGTAGGGTGAGGTTTTTGGCTTTTCAATTGATGAGGGATATCATATTGCTCATCTGTAACTTTGTTGGATGCGAAATTTTAGGAGCTTCCTGTTTGTGTCGATGTCAGTTTCAGGCTGATGAATTACTTTGGATTGATTACCTGTCGTGGGGCAAATTGGAGGCTGTGTCCGAGAAGGTCTTTAGCTTTTCTGTTGACAAGGGGAATTTTAAGATGTGTATAGGAGCTCCCAACATCAGCCGTTCCATATGGTTGACACGTGTGTTGACAAAGGCTCTTGCTAGAGGATCCTTGTGCTGGACAAGCTGTGGGAAGGAGATCTGTGCTGACCTTAGTTGACCACAGATGACCAGTGTGGCGTAATGTTAACTTCGACATCGCTTAATCAGCATTGACATGGGTTTGGTATATGAATGATGGTGGTCTTGAAGCCTCAATCCGTATTGATGTTGTTGGAAGAGGGCTTGGCATGGCGAGCCATTGTTTTGTGGTGGGATCCACTTCTGGGTACCTTGACAACAATGCTTGGTAAGCTTGGATTGACTAGCTCTGGTCAGCACTTGACCTTCTTGTTGGCTGACCACAAAGCATATCAGCAATCATGTTATGGGCTCCATGCCGATGACTAGAGGTCTTAGGTGTCCTATTGGCTTAGAGACAGATGACTGGGATAGTACTGGACGAAATTGAAAGTTCAAGGAACTTGGTGGTTGGAGCAGAAATGCCTTTCCCGAACATGGATCGCAATGTCTGGTTCAAGTAGCACATCCTTTGGATGGCAACGTAGACTGACTAACACAGCTATGGGTGAAGAGTCCTGCTATGTGCAGCATGATGGTGTTACAGCTTTAGTTGACAAAAGTGCGTTATAATTTTCATTGATTTGCTGCTTTTATTGGACTCCAGCTGATTGTGTTCATACAATACTGGATCATGCTCATTATAAATGAAATGATAGGATGAATTATTATCATTAAAGTGACCGATCTAGTTAAACGTTGAAGTCACTAGGTGGGCATCGTGAAAAATGATAGAAGCCAAGTACAGAAATAGAACGCTGACAAAATAAAGGACATTTATGTCAACGATTTTCCATATTTCAATTGTATAAAGTTAAGTTTGCCCTCATCTTATATCTTTGACGCATTAAAGTGTAATATCAAGGAACCATGGAATGAATGTGTCACATCTTGAAACATGAAAGCTAATTTATGCTGAAATATCCTTTGTGCATTTTATTATTCTTTTGTATCTGAGTTTTACACGGGAGGTTCTCTGCAAAATATGGTTCAAAACAGCCGATTTGGTTGTTTCATTGCTCTGGTGAGTAAAAAAAAATAAGTATTCTATATTTTATATTTGCCAGTATTTGAGAATATTGCATATTGATGGCGTCTCATTCTTGTAGAGTGTAAACACTCGCATGACGTAGTAATGTTTATCTTGTACAAGGTTTTATTGTTATCTCATAAATCACTAGTTAAAAACTGACAGGGCATTCTTTACAAACTATTCTGGAACATGGGGAAAAGCTTTGTGCTATGATTCAACTGAGAGAATTGCAGAGCCAGGTTACTAAGAAGCGGTCCGGTGGAAACGACTCGCCATCATCTCTCTCTATGACTGAGGCCACAAGCTCTCTTTGGGATCTCATTCAACTAGTTGGTGAGAAAGCTCGAAGAAATACTGTTCTTCTTATGGACCGAGATAATGCTGAAGTTTTCTATAGCCGAGTTTCTGATCTTGAGGAGTTATTCTACTGTTTATCACATAATCTGCACTATATAATTGACAGAGAGCACTCTATGATTCAGATTCAGAGAACATGTGAAATCTCAAATGCTTGCACCAGTTTAATTGTTTCTGCCATCCAATATAGAAATGAGCATCGAACTTGGTACCCTTCTCCTGAGGGATTAGCTCATTGGAATTGTGGACCAGTGGTTAGATCAGGATTGTGGAACATAGCTTCTCTGATTATTAAGTTGTTGAAGGAAGCACCTGTAATTGATAAATCTGTCAAGTTTGACCTGTCGTCTCACTTAGAAGGATTGTCAGATGTTTTATTGGAAGCATACAATGCTTCAGTCACTGTAAAAATGGAACGGGGTGAAGAATACAAAGTTCTTCTAGAAGAGTACTGCAAAAGAAGAGATGAAATTCTCTGTACCCTTTACCAGCAGCTGAAAGATTTTGTTGATACAAAATATCAGGTAATATTTAGTTATTTTAGTTCTCTGATATGTTAAAATGATTTTTCCTAGTTGAAGTGCATTCACCCCACGAATTGATGTTTTTGTCTATATCCTTTTATTCTGTTCGTGCTCAGTATTGGTGGTTCAGATCCTTATAAATGATGCGTGAAGCTTGTGTTAATATGCATATCACTACTATGCTATGTCACATTCTCTATGCTGATTTTTTCAGAGACCCATGGTAACAAAGAACAGTAACCAAATTTGCATAAAAAGTTAAAAGATGACGAGACCGAAAGGGGAAACTTTTTTAACTAAAAGCTAGAAATTTGCATGGTGTGACGTAATCTGAAGAGAAGGAGAAGATGGATACTGGGAATTAGGGAAAGGAATAAATGATATTGGGTAATGGAAGGGAAGTGTTTCAATATTGTTTTGCTGTGAACTATTTGATCTTCTAGTATTAAAAGATATTGAACTTCAGTTTTTACAAAACTGTATTTTCTACAATGATATTACCTTCCAGCTTAAAAATTCATTGGGCCATTGATATGAGACAACCAATCGGATAGTTAGATGCATGTATCATTTGATTAATCTTTCCTCTTCCATTTTCTGTCTGGGTAAAAGAGTGGACTAGGCTATTTTTTAATGAGGAAGCAGGTAATACGTCTACTTTTAGAGCATTAACATAATTTGTATTTAACTTTCTAGCATCCTATGCCTTTTTATGAGGAATTTTCGTTTACAGCTGGCTATGCACTGTTGCTCATCCCTGTATCTCTTTTTATACTCGCTGGATTTGTCATACTATCCGCTTTCCAAACAAATCTTCCAACACAATAAGAAATATGGACTTATTTCTTTTTCGTAAATTTGCAAGCCTTGCTTGCACATATTAGAGGCTTAGTTGCTACGCTTAGACTCGAAGAAGATTTTTGGAAAGACCGTAGAGTTGACAGTTAATGACACTTACCTCCCAAACAAGCTGCTGAGAGATGTTAGTATGGCACACGAAAATGTTGAAATATCAAGCATTGTGGTGCTAAACCCAGAAAAGTGATTTGGACAGCTATGCTTCCTTGTTTCTCTTTACTGACATTGCTACTCTCCTTGAGAAGATATTGGGGAAAAATGAAGAATTACAGATAGGGTTATCTTTGATCTATCTGAGACCACCGTTTCGCACAGTAGGAATTTATTTTTTCTGCCATATCATTGCTAAACTAAGATCAGTTATTATGGTTGCCCATTTTTGTCCGTCTGGTCGACTGATTCTAAAATAACTTTTGTCGTACTATATTCTCTCGTTTCAAAGCTTTTTCAAGAAATTCTTGTGGTAATTTTCTTGGGCGAGAGGGTTCTCATGGTTGGGAGTTGTGTTTGCCCATCTGTCCGGAGTTGGTGTTCCTTTGGTATCCATTTTCTTACAGGTTTCAGCCTAGCCATGAAGCAAAATACCAAAAATTAATGCCGTCAGTGGTTAATTAGCCATGAAGCATAAGGGGTGAAAATTAGAATAAATTTAGTATCATAGGAATTTATGGTGACCCATATCAAGAACCTTGGGCTCCATAGTTTTTGCCTGGTGCTTTTCATAACTGGTACTTTTTATAATTAACTCCTATCAGACTTCGACCTGAGGCCAGAATCCACCCAATTCTATTATCTCAAACATCTTGGCTACCTGTTTCAAACCCTTCAACGTAGTTAATTTTATTATTTCCTTGCTAAATGGCTAAATGAAAATGGTCTTGACCTTCATAGACCATTACACTGATACCTGCGAGAAAGGACTGAGATTTACTTATTGTGCTCAGCTTATCGTTGACCTTTACACTCTGCACTTTTCAGGAAATATGCAGGGGGACGCAGGATCCAGATCTCAAGAGATCAATTTTCAAAGAAGCTTCAGGACATTTGCTTACGATTGCCAAACAGCATGAAGGCTATCAGACACTTTGGGATATTTGTTTTGACCTTAACAGTACAGAGCTTCTCCGTAATCTCATGGTACAAATATCTCAATGTTTTAAAAAAACAATGTCTTTCTTCGAGATCTTGCTCTGTTGTTTGTGAAAATACACGCATAATTTGTTTCATGTAAAAATTGAGGTGCAGAGGCAAAGGATTGGCCCCCAAGGAGGTTTCAGCTACTTTGTGTTTAAGCAGTTATATAGACAGCAGCGGTACTCAACTCTTCTGAGGCTTGGTGAAGAGTTCCAGGAAGAGCTCCTTATTTTCTTACGGCAGCACAAAGAACTATTGTGGCTCCATGAGATATTCTTAAACAAATTTTCCTCTGCTTCAGAAAATCTTCATGCCTTGGGTCTGTCTCAAGATAATGCCTCCTCCTTAATGGCTGAAGAATCCTTTGATCCAGATTATTTGAAGCCAGAACTTTCTCTTTCAGATCGAAGACGATTTCTTAATCTTTCCAAAATAGCTGCTGCTATAGGTGTGCGATTCTTTCCAGTGCACTCTATTTTTTCTTGGCTGTTATAGATTTATCTTCCTTGATACTCATATTATGTTTTTTTCGAACTGGTCTTGAATTGTATTATCCAAGACCAGCTTGCTTTCACTCATAATAACTACATTAATTTCTCCGTTTTTCATTTTCTTTTAGTGTGACTCTCTTGTAATCAAATGAACTTTGGTTTTTCAAATGCATAAGTGAACAAGTGCATAAATTTCTACATTTTATGTAGAATTGATGATGATAGTCTAAAAAAGCTGACCATACATATGCATAGCAACATAACATGTCCTCAAAGTGACAGTGTAGAGTGGACAGTTCTCCCAGGTTTTGGATCACCATAATCAATCAATATCTTATCAATTAAAGCCGATTCTTGTTCAATAGATTGAATCCCAGAATGAATTCACCAAATATTCTCGTGTAATCGTGAATAAATATCCATGGATAATTCAGCACTTCGCACCCCTTTTTGCTTATCCTGCTCGTTTCTTTATCTATCATTCATCAATTTCCGATTCATTCTACTAAAGTATACATATAAATCGCTTTTTCAGACAAAGATGTGGACTTTGACGCAAAAATACAACGCTTGGAGGCGGACTTGCATCTGCTAAAGTTGCAGGTACATCTGAATTCTTATTCCACTGCGCTCATATTCATTATGGAAATTTCACTGACTCGTAAATATATAATTTTCCTCTGATTATACTCATCAAAGCTATGCCTTTGAGCCATTTCCTCTGTATTTTCTTTAATATATATATATATATATATATATCTATTTTCTATGGGCTGCAGGAAAAGATCACGGGTCAGCTTCAAGATGGCGAAGACAGGCAACAGTTCAGCAATCTCCTCCACCCTGGGAAGCTGATTGAGCTTTGCCTGAAGAGCCAGACCCAGATTCTATCTCTAGAGGCTTTTGAGGTCTTTGCATGGACAAGTTCCTCCTTTCGGTCATCCAACAGGAGCCTCCTGGTGGATTGCTGGATGAATGCCGCCGACCAAGATGACTGGTCGGACATCTACCAGTCATCGGTGGCCGAAGGATGGACTGACGAGGCCATCCTGCAGATTCTCAAGGGAACTGTCCTCTTCCAAGCATCCCAAAGGTGCTATGGCCCCCAGGCAGAGGTCTACGATGGAGGGTTTGACGAGGTGCTACCTCTCCTCAAAGAGGATGTAGAGCCCACATCTTTCAAGGACCCGGGCATCTCAGTGGAGGCCATTCTGATGCAGCACAAGGGTTTTCTCGATGCGGGCAAGCTGATGGTGACTGCCATTGTGATGGGTAAGCTCGGAGCCGGTGCAGTCTCAGAGGGAGACCTAATGGCAGAGCTTTGATGTCAATTATGGTGATGATGATGATGATGATGGTGATGCTAATGGTGATGATGATGATGGTGATGCCAATGGTAATGATGATGATGATGATGATGCAGCAGCACAAGGGTTTTATTGATGCAGACAAGTTGATGGTGACTATAAGCTTGGAGCTAATGCAATCTCAGAGGTAGACCTAATGATGATGATGATGATGATGATGACTATGAGAAGCCCTTGACCCACTTCTAGTAAGTCCATCTATGGTATGCCCACCAGAACTCCCCACTGTAGTAAGCATTTTCAGCTGTTCCTGTCCACCAAAGATTTGGATCCATATTTTGGCTTAGACCCCAGAAAACACTTGACACCAGAGGCGGTGAAGACTGCCAGAATATCTCTTGGACTCACCTCCGGTGACTCCATGCTGAAGTAGGCATGCTCATCTTGACACCAACATTTTCGGATTTTCCCTCCTTTTTATTTGGTTTAGGCCCACATATAATTGGAGATAATAATAGAAATTATCCACCCATCTTAGAGATTTTCAGTTATTTGATATTTGCTTAATATTTTATATTTTTATAACTCTAAAAAAATTGAATCAGTCGAATATGAAAATAATTTTAACCAGTGTCCCTCGGTGAGTGTGCTGAGGTGGCGTGTGACATGGCGGGGACATCATATGTGGCTGCCAGCAGGGCAGGCATAACCGACCCCACTTACCCATTTGGAGCATCAAGATTGCCCGATTTCGTGCACCCCTTCATGGGGTCCACGGACTGCGTGATTGAGCCCCAGCTTCAGATGAGCCCAATTAATTTCCATATCTGGAAATTACAGATTTTTACGTGCCGTGGCATAATTTTTAATTAAATTATATAATCGGAAGTCACCGCAGACCGCTTCGGGGAGTTGATTTTTTGGCTGGCGACCACGTGCCATTTACGCGTTCCAGCTGGACGCCCTGGTCTTACTTAAATGTCAAAGCGTTGACTCCAACGACGGGGTCGTGGGTGGGTGAGAGGAAAGATTCCTCTTAGCTCTCCTCTTCATATTTTCATATAACCCCCCGGGAATACTTTTCATCGGGAATTTGTCCATCAGGTAAAATAGCCCGGTGTATCTGGATCCAGCCCGGCCCGAAAGTTTTAAGGGGCCCGACTTACACGTCTCTCTCTCCCTCCCTCCTTTAGAGATTATCCAACCCGCTATGAAGCCCGTGGTTTCTGTAGAAGGCCCGGGGCCCATGCCGGCCTGGTCCGTTAAAGTTAGAAAGATCCAGCGGAAGCGTATCACAATATATGAACTTTTATGAACTTTTTTGTAAGAAAATGTTTCAGTGAGGGGGTCGCTGTGAAGGAGAGAAAGTACCGCTCTATAATAACTCAGAAAGAGGGAAAGAGAGGATTTGCCGAGTTCTTCTGCAGTTGGACGCCCACGCCTTCCGGACGACGACGCATCTCCCCGCTTCTCTCCAACCTTCCAGTCCGGACAAGATGGTAAGATCTTTTCCTATTAATAGATAATTTTTTTATCCTTCCGTGGTCTCGACCAGATCTCCGGATGGTCGGATTCGATCCCCCGTTTGTTTCGACGATTTAGTTGGCGGCCTGTAGAGCTGATGCTTCTGATCTTGTGGATTTCGTACTGCATGCACGTCCCGCGTCTGATGTATAGAATGTAAATTAGAGAGAGTCGGATGGTCGGGTTTGCGTATTTTCGGATCTGTTTTTTTTCTGACGAAGTTTGTTGGATCTCCGTGAAATACGATCGAAAAGGTGAAATGACGAAGATCCTTCTTTTGGATCGTTGTCCCTATCAATATCTTGCATGCAATTTAGTCGTCTCGATTTTCGTACTGTTCTCTGTTTTTGTTATATTGCTCCCTTTCAGATCGGTCTATAAATGTGCATTGTCTTGTTGGAAGACGCTCCCTCATAGTCAAAAGAGAAGTTTCCTCCCAGTACATAGTCTTACTCTTACGTTCGTTCACATTTCTTATAATGTTTTTTCTGTGAGATATAATGCATTGCTAGATTTTCTCCTTGACAGAATTTGTCATTAATCTTCCTTCCAAGATTGAGAATGAGAGCATCATGTAAAGGAATTACGCTCGGTTTTTCTTTCCCGAGTCCTTTGATTCTTTTCAAATGTCCATTAACGTGTTTGGCAGGAAATGGGAACTGTGAACACTTCTGAACTAATTTCCAAGCCATTACCGTATTGTATGGATTCACAATGTTGCTTCGTGAAATTCTATTCTTTTATTGGTAAATAGATGATAATATACATGAGAAATTGTGCTTGCACATTTCCATCAACATTATTATGACTAACATAATGCTCAGGAAAAAGATTTCGGACGTCCGTAATTAATCTAGGGAGAATCTGTTGTAATGGGTAGTGGTTCGCTTATGCTATTCCTTAAACTTGAAAAAAAACAATGCTAAACTCTCTCCAAAGAGTGCATGCATCATCAACCTCATCTCATCAGCAATGATTTTACCTCGAAGTTTCTTGCGGGAAAATGTGTCCGTTCGCTGGTGGAGTCAACCCGCATGTCCACCCACTTTTAGTGATCTACTTATAATTTTTTAATCATTTGAGTTTTCTTCCATGCCTCTTGTAAAGGAAGGTTCATTATGCTCTCGTGTGACCCTTTTGATTGGCTCTAGCTTTGCCTCTTGAACACGCATGAAACAGTTTTGAGCTTCTTCTTGGGAATTTCTGTAGAAAATTTTAAAAAAAGTATTGAACGACTTACCCAATGATTAACATTTATTTCCAAATAACTATGAATGTTGCAATGGGTTTTTGATTTCTCATGCTTCAGATGGATCCAGACGCCTGTCTTGATCTTTCTTTTTTTTTAACCCATCGTAATTCTGTTTGACTTAACGGTTAACATTGCTGGGTCATAACGAATCGACGTTGACAATGGGCAGACGACTTCGAGGCGCCTTGCAGACAGGAAAATAGCCAAATTTCAGAAGAATATCACAAAAAGGGGCTCTGTTGCGGAAACAACAGCGAAGAAAGGAAATGGATACCCTGTTGGGCCGATAGCACTCGGCTTCTTCGTCTTTGTGGTGATCGGATCATGTACGTACCCCCACCTCCATCTCCCTTTCTGCTATTTATTACCCAAAAAAGAAAAGAGCTCCGTTCTAGGATATGGCGATTAGAGTTTTGATGGTTCTGAAAATGTCAGAGTAGGATGAATGGCAAGGGAGAGGTGGCAGAACCTGAAGCAGGGGTAGAGTGAGAAAGAAAAGGATGAGGAAGAGAGAGAAGCGATAAATCGGTGAAATAGTAAAAATTCAAACTTTTGTTTGAATGTTAGAGCAATTAAACTCAGTGGTTGTTTCTAATCATCGATTCACCCAGGAAGGACAGACCTTTTATCCTAATTTTGGTTCATCGATGGGATTTTTTTGGATAATTAATCCCAAATAAACATAATTGCGATGCAGTTTGCCATAATTTTATTTGATCGATGAACAATTGCTTACCATGTCAGAATATTTTCTCATCAAGTGAGAAGAAGAAAAAAAAACTCTCAATTTTAATTACATGGATTTATCGGGTGGCCTACCACATAATTTAGACACAATCAGGTGTAGTATCTTGCATTTCTTAACCTATTAATTGCATCAGATGGAGAATGATTAGAGAATTTGGAGAATAATTGGAGTTTATTAGTGGAGATAATCGCATGATCAGCAGATCAATCGTATTTTATCAATTGGGCATTTTCATTTAGTCAACTGATCCGATTCAGACAAAATAGTCCAACCCTATCCATCCAACCGCCAAACTCGCCCGTCTTGTCTGATCAAGAACGGCAGTGCCCTTTCTTCTCTCTGCCCTAGTCTCTGAACTATGTTTACTCCTCTCCATCCCCTTTCTCTCTCTAGTTTCTGTGTTCTTACGTTTATTTCCATGGAAATCTGCGATTTTCTCCGCCCATACCCTCCGCATTGGTCGCACGTCTGACTTTTCCCCTGTTTTATTGTTGCCCCGCAGCCCTGTTTCAGATTATCCGGACGGCAACCAGCGGCGGGATGGCCTGAGCGAGCAAGAGATAGAGAAAGAGTGAGTGAGTGAGAGAGAGAGAGACAGAGAGAGAGAGTGACATCTGGGTTGTTCTTAATCTCGTGCTAATGAGCCGGTTGACCATTCAGAGATGAGTGGGGGATGATCATTCAGGTTGGCCTCGGCCAGTCAACGGTCTTCTTCTTCAGAGCTGTGTGGTCAACGGGTACCCTTCCGTTATGACGTGTATTACGACTCTTTTTATATTAAAAAAACAAGTTTATTCATTACTTCACGTCGTCAGATTGTTTCAACCTAACGGATCTTCGTTGGGGTGTTCTCACGAACGGACAAACTTGTTCGGCGAAATGCCTGATCGAATTATAAATAATATAACCGCGAAAATATTCTCTTCTAAAAATAATATTTTACTCTGTAAAGGGATATAAAATATAAAATATTCCACCTTTGGACAAATTCTTGCCATCCACTTCAAGAAAAAGCATGGCATTTCGGGATAAATATTAAAACGGAGAAAAATATATTAGTAACATTAAAAAAAAAGGAAAAATGCAAGATATAAACGATCTTCGGGTGCGGAAAATAATTGCCCAAGTTCTTCGGGTATATTAAAAAAGGGGGGGAAATATTCCATGAAATGTTTAAATAATAATAATTAGGAAAATAGATCAGGAGGAAATCGCAAAGATTGGTCGGCTAAGCTACGATCTTGGTGTTAGAAGCATTAAAAAAATGAGAGAAGAAAAATACACCATATTTGTAGCATTTAAAAAAAAAGGGGTATGAACCTGATCTCGGTAGCATTAAAAAAATAGGGGAAAATATTCTGAGCAAATGCTTCCGTGGGACGCATGCTGGGGGGGGCTACATCTCCATTAATGGAAGTTTAAATAATGAGGAAAATATACAAATATATATGACTCGGAGCGGAGGACATTATCTCGCAGATATAGCTATTCCAAGTTGGCTGTAGAAAACTGTTTTTGGAGCGTCACATGTATGAGAGAGAGAGAGAGAGCGAGATAGCTCTTGCATTCTATCAAGCAGGAGGTGAGCAAGCTACTGAAGGAAGAAAGGGAACCCTTGTTCTAGACAGAGCAGAAGATTTGCAGTACCTAGGAGAAAAACTTTTACAAGCATAACCCACCATAGCCACCCACCACAGGAAGGTGGGGGCGACCCTACAGGATAGCAGGGATTACCTTGATATCGGAAGAACAGTTGTTAGAGGACGGGAGGAAGAAGAAAGTGGCTGAACTCTGCCACACACCACACCGTCGTGGAGATGGAGATGGAGATGGAAGGCGGGGCCGCCTCTGGGAATTTTCTCAGATGACGTAATCCGACCACGAGGTGTGGTCCATGGTGAGGGCGGGCATTTTGTCGAGCTTCATCGGGTTGTCCTTTCCTCCCAGAAGCCTGGCAGGGTTCCCCACGGCCGTCGTCCTCGCCGGAATGTTCTTCAGCACCACCGATCCGGCCCCGATCTTGGCCCCCGATCCGATGGAGACGTTGCCAAGGATCTGCGTGCCGGCGCCGACGAGGACTCCGTCGCTGATCTTCGGGTGGCGGTCGCCGGACTCCTTCCCGGTTCCTCCGAGGGTGACGTTGTGGAGGATGGAGACGTTGTCGCCGATCACCGCCGTCTCGCCGATGACCAGGCCGGTGGCGTGGTCGAGGAGGATCCCCTTCCCGATCCTTGCCCCGGGATGGATGTCCACGGCGAAGATCTCCGAGACGCGGCTCTGCAGGAAAAGCGCCAGCACCCTCCGCCCGCTCTTCCAGAGCCGGTGCGCCGCCCTGTGGGCCTGGCAGGCCAGGAATCCCTTGTAGTAGAGCAGGCCGTGGACTATGCTCGCGCAGGCCGGATCTCGATCGCGCATCGCGCGCAGATCGGCGCGGACGGCGCGCTGAACCTCCTGATCGGAGAGGAAGGCGTCGAAGAAGATCTCGAAGAGGACGTCACCGGAGATCTGGTCGGGGCGGCCGAGCTTCGCCGCCAGGTGCGCCGCTAGGGCGCTCTCCAAGCAGCCGTGGGAGAGTATCGCGCCATCGTAGAAGGTCCGCAGCACCGGCTCCCTCTCCGCATCAGCTTCCGCCTCCTCCCGAAGCCTCGCCCAAACCTCGTCCACATCCTCATCGGTGTCTCCTCCGGGGAGCACGTACTTGCTGTTCTCCTCAAATCCCGCCGCCTCCGCGGCGACGACGGCGGAGGGGGATATGGCGAGGTCGGGGAAGTTCGATCGGGCGATGTCGGCGACCTTGCAGGGATGGCGGTGGCCATCGAATCGCGCAGTGGCGGCGACCGGCGGATCTCCCCGGGAGTTGGAAGAAGCCACGCAGGTGGCCATCGGTGCCACACAGCGGCGGCGCTGGTGGCTGATCGGCCCCATGAAGACGGACGATCCACCGATGGCGGTGGCGGCCGACATATACGCGCGGGAGATAACCGAAAGGAGAGATGGGACGAGGGAAGAAGCACTGGGACGCGCCGTCTTCTCTCTCCTCTCTCTCTTTCTCTCTCTCTACTGGTAGTCTGGATTTTTCGGGGGGGAGGCGTGGTGCCTTGTAACAATAACGGCTCCAGGTGAAGGGTAATGTCGTCATATGTCTACTGAAAATACTTTTTTATATTCCAACTTGTGCATTTTTTTACAACGGCAGAGGGATATTATGCTGCAGCCCTCGTACGTAAGCTTATCCGGAAGCCGTTAAGCTTCCGGCTTTTTCGTTTTTAGCCCCTAAACTTAGTTGGATGGCAAATAAGCCCCTGCATAGACACGTTCCGGCCCAAAATCATACGGAATATGCGAAGCATATTCCCAATAAAAAGGTAAATCTCTCTGAAACCCGCATTTTTTTAAAACAGTGAAATAATGCTTCGAAAGTAATTTAATGAGCTGCATAGCCACAGACGATATTAATTGCGTCATAATGAGAGAATAAAAAATACAGAAATGCTTAATTATACCATATGTCATTGCTTCCGTAACAATGAAATAAAAAATAAAAAAATTAAAATTCCAAATGAGACCAAATTTTATCACGTCATTAACTATAAAAATAAAATTAAAAATATTGAAATACTTAATTAGACCAGGGGGATGTTTGAGAGAGACCACGAAAGGTAGAGAGAGAGAGAGAGAGAGAGAGATGATTAAACACAGGGAGTTATTTGATATTCGTAACTTTATAGGGACTAAAAGTAAACTTTTATTTTAATTATATCCCAGTATGTGGCTGAAATTGGTACTCATAAGCGCGCTTTTTCGTCGGTAGTTTTACCCCTGAAAAAAGGAACGTTTGTGACGAATCGTCTACGTTTGACTTACGTGTGGCCACGTATACTTTTTGATGGCGCCACATATTTTCGAGCCCCATTCACCGCGCTCCACGTAAGACGACAGAGGGGCAAAACGTTGACTGGTGGAGGAGGGAGGGTACTGTTCTTGGCGGGTACTATCGGCACGACGCGTGTCACGTTGAAGGCCTGGGCAAGTGCATAACGAACTAATTACATTTTATATAGAGAAATAAACAGACTTTAAGATTTTTTCAAGCCGCAAAAATCAGTCGATTCTCCTGCAAAAAGACATGCTGTTCTTGTTTATGAGCTCTTCTTCGAGCAGTGGCAGATTTTTTTTATTTTTTTTTATTCTCTTCTCGACCGGAGCTCAAGAACCTGGCGGAGCTTTAGAGGGAGAGAGAGAGAGAGAGAGAGAGAGAGAGAGAGAGAGAGAGGAAGAGAGGAAGGGGAGAGGAGGAACCTCCACATATCCATTCTCCCATTCCGAAATCAAGAAAATGTACCAACTTTAAACAAGAAAACAGTAGAATACACCAAAAGGGAACATAATTTAGAGAGAGAGAGAGAGAGAGAGAGAGAGAGCATGACTTGGACGTCAACGCTCTTGGCGGCTCAGAGCTTGACTTCAACGTCAACGCCGGCGGGGAGATCAAGCTGCATGAGGGAATCAATGGTCTGGGCAGTTGGGTAGAGGATCTCGATGAGCCGCTGGTGGGTCCGGATCTCGAAGTGGAAGCGGGCGTCCTTGTGGACGTGGGGGGACTTGAGGACGCAGTAGATCCGCTTCTTGGTGGGGAGAGGGACGGGCCCCATGGTCTTGGCATTCGTGTTCCGGGCCGCGTCCAAGATCTGCTTGCAGGAGTCCTCTATCAGAGGTACCCAGTACGACCTCAGCTTGATCCGGATCTTCTGCTTCGGCGCCATCTGATCCAATCCAAGAAGATCAACAGAGTGTAATGACAGCAAGGGAACGTTTTTTATTTTATTTTTAAATAATATTATTTTTAATGATTAATGGTGAATAATACTTTTTTTTTTTTTTTGGAATGCGAAGTGAGAGCTGGAGGATGAGATCAGAATGGCTGCTCTCTGATCCCAAGGTAAAGATAAAGTACAGCGAGAAGGGAATTTTCTACTAATTAAAGATGGCTTTTGATGATGAAACAAGAACAATAATAGTTTGATAATCATGCATCCCAAATGAGAGGGAAATAATAATAATAATAATAATAATAATAATAATAATAATAATAATAATAATAATATGTTGGTTAAGATGGTTACAAGCAAGGAAATGTTATAAAATCACGAACAGTGATATCTGGCCTCCATCCAGCAAGGGCAAGATAAAGTACGGCGAGAAGGGAAATTTTTACAATTAAAGGTGACTTTTGATGATGAACCAAGAACAATAATAGTTTGATAATCATGGATCCCAAAAGAGAGGGAATAATAATAATTAATAATAATAACAATAATAATATGTTGGTTAAGATGCTTACGAGCAAGGAAATGATATAAAATCATGAACAGTGATATCTGGCCCGGATCCAACAAGGGCAACAAACCCTCGGCTAGCCAATACCAACAGATGCTCCATTTTACCCTAATTCTGAAATCTTACCTCTCATTCACCCTCTAATTCTAAATCTGCAAAAAGCTGAGGGAATATTTTACAAAGAAATATAATGATATCAACAGATGGCTTTCCGATGATATGATAACTACGCCATATATTTTTTAAACCCTTTAATTAAAACAAACAAACAAATAAACAGACTGCATCCTTAAAGTCAACGAGATGACATGAAAACGGTGAGAGACACAGCCAACTCACAAGCCCATATCTATTAATGTATTTATTTTAAAATAAATATTTGCAGCTTGGAACCTTGTTAAATTACGTGCTTATGAACACAATGTAATAAGGGAACTGGAAGCTAAATCAGGGTCATAAATTCGGGTATTTGCATTGAATGATAAAAGGAAATCAATGAGGTAACAACAGTAGAGCCTAAGACAGATGATACACGTAAACTCGAAATCAAGGAATTTTCCTCTGAAGAAAGAAGAAATTTATGGGAGATATCTTCTCTGCTAAACCCTAGGAAACCAATCGCCACCTAGAAAAACGTTTGAGGAAACTCAATGTGAGCATCCGTGAATGTGAAAATTTTCCCATGATGATGACGACGGTCATCATCATCATCATCCTAATTCAGCGTTATTACATTTAGGATCCCAAAGATATGTAGCTTGCAACTGATTAATATAAGTTAAATCTAAAAATGTATGTGAAGTAGGCCTTCTTCTTGAAGATTCATGCATGAACAAACTGCATGCCCAATAGAAAAAACGCGGCATCAACAGAAAAGAAATAGAGAATGACATGGGAAGAATAGTGGGTTGAGTGTTCACATCTGAAAAATTTACGGAGATATTAAGATCCATTCTCTAATCTAATGTTCGTGGAGATTATGAGCTCTCTCCTCAAAATTTCTTAGGATCTTCAAATGAATGCCGTACGTCCTAGCCTCAATTTGATTAAATCAAGAGATGATGTCCTAATTCCTATGTGATTCACAGTCCATCAAAACAGCAGTCTAATTTCACTGCTACCGGGAATCCAGAGGACAAATCATAAGCTAGGGATAAATGAACATAAACTCTCCGAGGTAGCTAGGAGTTGAAGCAATAAGATTTTGGATGAGCAAGAGAAACCAAAACAGACCTCCATATCCGACACAGCAGTAGCAGACGCCGCACAAAATAACGAGAAATTAAGAGAACACGAAATAATATCTTCGCATTACTATGTAGAAATACATACGCTCTCTGCATCACCCCCAAGAGCAAGAGGAGAGGGCCCGGCATCCTCCTGCGCTACGGCCTTCACAAAGAAAAGGAAATTAGAGCAGTTGGAGAAAATTCAACGGAAAAATTCATTATGTCAATTTGATTTCTACATCAGTGCCGGAGAGTTCGGCGTCCTCCGTGGTTTTCCCGACGAGCTCCGAGGCCGCGAAAACCCTGGAAGAAGCCGGCTCGAGGGCAGCAAAGGATAGCGGATTTGAGGTCTGGAGGGGATGCAAGGAGAGAGAGGTCCTGGGTTTCACGGCGCCGGCGGCAGAGCTGCGGAGAGGGAGGAGAGAGAGCGCAGGCGAGAGGGAGGAAGCTGCGGCGGCCATGGCTGGACAGGAAGCAGCCTCCTCTCCTTTGTTCCCGAGCTTTATCCGAAAAGATGAGCACACCATGGCGCTTTAAAAACCAGCAGCGCAGGTTAGGTATGTAAGGCCCAATAGCGCATTCTAGCCCGTAGAGAATACCTCCAGTCTCGGCCCATCATTCGCATTGACCCAGGAATAATGGACTCTCTCTCTCTCTCTCTCTCTCTCGCTATCTCTCTCTGACATGGCCACGTGGGTAGATCTGATTGGCGATTTGATGAGTCCAAGTGTGAGCTACATAGAAGTAGCAGTCAAAGTCAAACGATGAAATTTCTCCCAAGAATAAAATGTCAACTTTTTAATGGTCACACAACGAAAAGTCAAAAACCGTGCGATTGGGATGGCAAGAGATTTGAAAATATTCCCCGTTGATAGGCGAGAAGAGACGACCTTTCCAAATCCGCCCGATGCAACCCTCACCTTCCTAACTCGTCCTCCTCCTTTCCTTCCCCCGTTTCCTCCCCCTCCCAATTTATAGGAGACTCCCCAGCAGTGACAACAGCGCTCCGACGATAACCTCCCTCCTCTCTGTCTCTTCTCTCTCTCCCCTCTATCTCTCTCTTTCTCCCTATCTCTCTCTCTCTGGCTCATTCTGGGAGGGTGGCAGGTGCTCTCTCTGAGACGGGCACATGAGGTTGCAGACGGAGACGGAGAGAGAGGCGGCGGCGTCGGTGCAGGCCGGTGCAACTTCCCTATTCCTGGCGGGGAGGACGTGGGCGAGGACGGGGTTGAGGAGTCTCCGCGTCTTCGTCCCCGACTGCGACTCCGCGGAGGAGGAGACGGTGGCGGCAATGGCAGAGACGGAGGAGGTCCTCCGTGTGGCCATCTCGATGGAAAGCAGCACCAGAGGAGTCGTAGAGAGAGAAGAGTCCCCGGAGACGAAGAAGATGAAGATGGCGGAGCGGCGAGCGGCGGCGACGGCGGAGGAGGAGAAGGTTCTCTGTTTGGCCATTTCCAGGGAGAGCAGCCGGAGAGGAGTTGCAGAGAAAGAAGGGTCGCCGGAGACGAAGAAGAGGAAGCCGGCGTCGCCAACGGGGAGGGAGCACAAGTGCAACGAGTGCGGGAGGAGTTTTACGACGGGGCAGGCTCTCGGAGGCCACAAGAGGAAGCACTGGAAGGGCCTCCCCGCTGGTGTGAGATCGCTGGAGTTGGATCTGAACTCGCCGCCGCCGGCGCGAGAGGAGGAAGAAGGCCCCATTCCCTTCTTCAGGTTCCTCTGAAGCACTTCCTCTTCTTCTTCTTCTCCTTCTTCTCCTTCTTCTCCTTCTTCTCCTTCTTCTTCTTCTTCTCCTTCTTCTCATTCTTCTTCGTCTTCTTCTTCTTCTCCTTTTCGTCTTCTTCTTCAGACAGTCGTACTTCAGGCAGTCTCACCGTTCACACCATTGACACCGTGAACGGTTGCCCCTTGGAGGAACCGGAACCCAATATTTGACTAAGCCGCAAGTGTCGGCACAGAGAGACAGAGGGAGAGGGAGAGGGTTATTATTTTCTTAATAAGTAGGGCTATAAACTTAGGAGCCCCCTCATATATAAGCGGCAAGTGTGGGCACAGAGAGAGAGAGAGAGAGAGAGAGAGAGAGAGAGAGAGAGAGAGAGAGAGAGAGAGAGAGAGAGAGAGAGAGAGAGGGGGAGGGAGAGGGTTATTATTTTCTTAATAAATAGGGCTATAAACTTAGGAGCGGCCTGATATATGATGGATGAGAGAAGGTTGGGAAGACCTCCTCCTTCAGGCCTATCTTAAGTTCTGGCAGCGAATGATTATTAACGGTATTTAATTTCCCTTTATTTATTTCTAAGCTTGGTTGACCTGCATGAACGGTGGGTTCATGCAGTTTTTCTTCCCCCAATTTTCCCATAAATAGAAACTTTCACGAGCTCGTGGTGCTGTTTGAAGCTGGGTAATAAAGCTAATGCGTTTGACTTGGAGCCAATTCCGGCCGCAGCTTGTTGACACCCTTGGTTATCGAATTCATCAAGTTGACCAGGAAGGTCAACGCCGCCATAAGGGCGGTACACTTTATCCCCAGTAATTAATAGTAACGGCCGGGGTCCCATGTTGACCCTGAATTTCTCCTCGTATGTCTAGAGATTGGAGTTGAAGGCCTCAATATGAGTGCAGGTCTGGATGAAGCCATAAGGCACAAGGGAAGGAAATCAACCAGTGAAGATAAAGATCCATTCAGGAGAGTTTGACTTAGGCCTCAAAGTCAACACCAAAAGGTGGTAGAAGGCATTATAATAGTCCTTCCAAAATTAAGAGTGTAGCTGAGTGAGAAAGTCAACCCATTCCCAAACTCTTAAAAGCCTAAACAAGTCAGCTACTCAGCCAGAACCCAGGAATCCAGATGGTCAACCTCCGAGATATTTTCATCCCAAATCCGGAAAAAAAAAAAAAAACAAATGCTCCCCTGACTTGGCGGATAATTCCAAAAAAAAACAAAAAAAGAAAAAAGAAACCAGTCCACATATAAACATGGATTACAGAAAGATTATTGCCCAAAAAAAGAAAATAATTGAATCCCCATAGAAATTATGATAATTTACCCCTAATCGGTGATGAATGAACCCTAAGAAATGAGTGGAAACCACCAGGAGAAAGAATCATGGATGATCATGGGAATGGCGGCGGCAAAACAGTATGATGGATGTCAGCAGCCATGAAGATGGAGGCGGGTGTGGTTGACATACCGCTCCCAAAGAGGTAGGTACCTGGTAATCGCTGACCCGAGCCATGGCTTCATGTTCCCGTTGAAGTGGATGACGGCGGCCGTCTCTATCAGCCGACCATCGATCTCAGGGTCAAAGCCCAGCCCCAGGACGTGCCATCTCCGGTCAAGCGGCTCCGTTGACCCATAAAAGGTCAGAAGGCCAGGAGGAAGAGTTCCCCCACCCGTCCAGAGATAACCGCCGGAGTTCTGTCGCAGCCAGTGGTGGTACCTGGCCGTCAGGTCAGCCTTCTTCCACGCCATGAGATCGAAGACGTTCATCCCAAAGGCCCACCCGCAGGCCTCGGGGTCAAACTCCGAGCTGATGATGGGGCTGGAGAAGTTGACGTACTTGTGGTACCTGTGGAAGGCCTCGAGGCAGGTCTCCACGGCCCCGTTGACATTCCCGTGCAGGTCCAGGATGAAGAGCGCCGTCAGATCCTTCTGAACCACCACGTCGTCCTCGAGAAAGACCACCTTCTCCAGTGACGGCGCAATCTCAGGGAGGTAGAACCGCAGGTGACTCAGCAAGGATGCCATATCCATATCACGGCGGAGCTTTCTCAACCAGGGGAACTCCTCGGTGCTGAGAACCTCCACCGTTGACCCGCCAAAGCTGCTCGTGAGAAACCAGGCCTTCATAGCCCGGAAGCTCACAGGGCTGGTGACGACGTGGAAGACGAGCTGCCGCGGGTGATCGGCATTAGAGACCGTAGAATTCACGACCACCGACGCCGCCAGGACATTGTCGGAGAAGATGCAGAAGTGGTAGAGGCTGTTGTCCACCAGCCGGGGAGAGTTCTTCTGATCTTCCTCGAGCTTCTGAAGCTTCGGGTCGCCGAACCAATCCTCGGTGAGCTTGATGGTCAAGCAGTGGATGGATCTGGGCAGGCCTTGGGCCGCAAGCCGGCCGAACTCTGCACTCTGAACCATGGCAGCGGTGAGCCGATCTTCCATGGCTTGAGCGTGGACCTTGAGGGTGGTAATGGCTGTGGCGAGATCGTAGTGGATGTCCTGGGCTTTGTATATCAGCTGCGATAGGCTGGTGATCATGGGGCCGGCTTCATCCTGGGTGACGGGCTTCCCCCTCACAGCGGCCTGCGCAAGCAACCGCTGGGAGTTCCTGATCTGCGAGCTGAGATCCCAGGCGAACTTGAGGTTATGGTGCTCCTTGGCGATGACCAGGTAGGCCTTTGCCAGGGTCATCTGGTCGGCCAGCTGCCGGGCAAAGGAGGTGGAGCTGAGCAGCTCATCGGTCAAGTTGAAGTCCTGATACTGTGCGGTGATTTCTGTCGCGTTGACCTCCTGGAAGTTGGGAGAAAAAAAATGGGGGAGGTTAGCTCCCAGATCAAAGATTCCTTCTTTCTGCGAAAAAAAAAAGAGCCCTGTGTATACTAATGGCAAGATTATGGTGATATCATCGGCGATGGCTGGATGAACTGATGGAGCGGACACCCGCCGTCACATGCAACATAGATGGAAAGGGATTTTGATTTTCTCTTTCCTAAAATAACTGTTGCGCAGCATCCCCCTTCTGATGATAGACCAGGGGCTCCCTTTCTCTCTCTAACCTTTTTTTCTTTCCACTAATGGAGGACCCAGATCCCATTACTCTCAGTTTGAGGAAATCTATCCAGAAACACCAATTCCAATTCTGGTGGCCATGCAGTCTGATATGAAAAAAAGATGATGAAATGCAAAAAAAAAAAAGAATAAGAGATGTTGATGAAAAAATTAATGGTGGATCCTCGGATTTGACCCAGCAGCATCCATGCAAAAAAAAATGTAAAATGATCAAATCCCATCCAGTTAATCGAATTATTTCCCTTGTTTCTCATGAAAGCCTTCCGAACCCAAACACAACTGTTAATCATAACTTGACTTCCTCTGTCTTTCTGAATTCTATGAATATGATCCAGATATCATGGGGAGACTTCAGAGAAGAAGAAGAAGATGGAGTTGACCAAGAATCCGATTGGGTTTCCGGAAAACAGCAGACAGGGCTTGTGGGTTTCCATTGCCAAGAAAGTTTTCTAAGAACGGATTCAATGGCTTCAAGGAGGAAACTCTGCGAGACAACCGGTTCCCAAATTAGATCTCCATGGAAGCCGGTCAAAGCTTCATGAGGAAACATCGGCGATATCTGATGAACAGATGGCACCCGGTCCAGTTCAGGTTGCGAGCTTGGATTTCTCTGATTCAGTTCAATAAAATCGATGAAACTCCACCGCAGAATCATAGAAATAGTTGGATATAAACGAGTTTCTCCCGCTGTGATGCTACCACTCCATCCAGGAATTTGAGAGAAAAGGTCGGCGAGCACCGCAACTGAGCAAAACCAGGAGAGAACAGGAGCAACTCACCCGGAACGGCGGCTCCAGTTTCTCCACCTGATGGCGGCGCACGGCGACGAGGGTCAAACCACCCACCGCGGAGACCACGAGAAGGAACCAGATCCATCCCACGAACCTCCTCCGCGACGGCCGCCGGGGATCGACCGCCCTCCGCCGCATGGTTTCCAGATCCCGCGGGACGCTTTACGCCCCAATCGGGAGGTTCCCGCAGGAACGCATCCCTCTGATGCGAACGAGATTCCCCAGCTCCTCCTCCTCCTCCTTCTTCCTCCCCCACATCACATCATCGCACTGCTCCACGCGATTCACAGATGATGCGAGGAACGGAGGAGGGAACCGAAGGGAGGAACCAGTTAGGGAAACTCAGTGCGCAGAATTCACCGCCGGGGAATAGAAGAAAGGGGCTGTCGGCGCGAGAGAGCATGTGATCGAGGGCCGTTCCCCCGCCAAAATGGGAAGGTCTTTCGCCTGGCCGCCGTCAGATTTAGATCTCTCCCTCCCTCCCTCCCTCTCTCTCTCTCTCTCTAGAAGTTTGACTTTAATTCTTGGTTTCAATGAAAATGGGAAAAAGGGTCCATTAAGAAGAAGATAATTAAATAGAAAAATGATTTTTTGACATATTTTGTGAGCACGCTGAGGAATCCCAGCGAGTTATAAAAAAGTCGTTGCCAATAACTAATAATAATAATAATAAATTCCATAGTTGAGGAAGGCCCCCCAGCATGATTCAACAAAGTGTAGAGCACACACAGGAGACACAGCTACACAAAGTAGAAGAGGAGGTGAGAGAGATGGGGGGGTTGACTTTAATCTTCGAAGGTCAACTCATCCACCCATTGAAGCATCCCCCGTCCATGTTCTGGTCAATCTGGAGCGATGAAAACCTAAATAAAGGTAGGTGGAGCTCATTTCATTAGTCAAATGCTGAGAGGAGGATGAGAAGGAGGAGGCCAGAGAGACGAAGTAGGCGGCTTTTACCCGATTTGGAGAGGGGTCTCGACGCCCAGTGGCGGCTGTAGGAGCCCCTCGGAGTGGCTGGGCTGGCGGCTGTTGGCGGCGCTCGGGCCGCCGCCGCCATTGCTCCCCCATGACAGCTGAAGGAAGCTCTCCTCACCCAGATCCTGCAGCTGCAAGATCAAACCAGAGCTTTCAGGCAGGTCAACCCTACTGCTTCCAAGTCAGATCTCAATCTCCAAGCTACTGGGTTCCCTTCCCTCTACTACTGCTACTACTACAAAAAAAAAAAAAAAAAAAAACCCTAAAACATTGGTCAAAGTCCTACCTTCCTCCTCAGGATACCGTTGGATTCCTGAAACACGTGCTCCTGGGGAAGACGACGAGATTTGTCAGCAGTCAACGGCGGCCACATGATCCTGAAAAATGGGAGGAGGGGTGCAATTTTTTCTTTACCTTCCTCTTGAGATCGCACAGCTGGTCGAGCATCAACTGGGTCTAGAGAGGGGAGAGAGGAAGGAGGGTTAGAGGGCTTACAGAGAAGAAGACCAAGGAGTAGTTCTCATGGGGGGAGCTCACCTTGGTTGACCTAACGTGCTTCAGGGACATCTCTAGCTGGATCTCGAGCTGCTCAAGCTCCCTCGTGTTCAGGGAGCCGATATCTTCTCCCAGGAGGTTTCTGCAGATGAGAAAAAAATAGAAAGAAGAAGAAGAAAAACCCCATCTTTCATGAAACCAGAGCTTCTCTCATGGGTCCTCCTGTTCCCCAGATCTTGCATCGCGATGGGTGGGGTTACCTGTGGGAGCGTTGCAGGGCCTCAACTCTCCCCCTCAGCTTCACGCACTCCTGGTAACTATCCTGCATGAAAACGTGAATGATGGACAGATGAATGAACATGAAGAGTTTTATGGGCACGAACTGGAGGTGAATCTTCCCTCAGAATTTCTACTGGGTATACGTATTTTTCTTTCAATTTTTTATTTTTTTTTGTGCTTATATACATAACCAGTGAAGAGAGAGAAAAAAGAAAGGGAGAGCACGATTACCTGCATCTCCTTGGAAGGAACAACGATCTCTCCCACAGAATAGCTGCATCTCTCATAACGATCCAGCGTCTGTAGCATGCTGAAAGAAAATTACACAAACGTATTGACTTACGTTCATATTTATGGCAAAAATATCATCCCAAACAAGCTCCATTCCCTCCGCATGAATGTAAGGAGGTGGGGTGAGATGTCCGGAGAACCCACTGCAGAGAGAGAGAGAGAGAGAGATGAACTCACCCACTTCTCAAAGCATGCCCAAGGAGGAGGATGTTCCAGGGTAAAGATCAGAGTTATGCTAGGCTTAGCCAGTATGGCGTTGAAGACTGATGGCCGTATCTAGGGAGGCCTAGGATACCTTCCTTATTACTCTTGGAAGGCCCGGATGCTAGCAAAAAAAATATCCTAGATGGATATGTTGACCAGCTGAGTTTCTAACATGGAGAGAGTGGCAGTAAAATCTGAAGGAAAATGGGAGAGAACAGAAGGGGGGATGGTCAATCCGGACATCAGTATACTGTCATCCAGCATGCTCAGTTTCCGTTGACTTTTAGCTTTTAACTACATGGTCAATGAGAGTAGACTGCAGCACCTTGGAAGGACTGTCAGATTTTGTATTGCTTGGAATTTTTAATTTTATTTTTTGTGATGATGATGGTCTAAGTGGCATATCTCATTACGGGTAAGAAATTTTGACTTTCATTTTCTTAATAAAACCTTCAATACTTGCAGAAATATCTTGGTCAAATTAGTGTGATCAGATGCCCACGATGAGGAGAGGAGTTTGCTCCATAGGACTCCCCAACATGACTCTGGTGACGATGATCTTTACGTGGAGTTCTAGAGAGAGAAAAGGACGAAGAAGGGAAGCTTGAGGTTATCCGCCATGCATAGAACAGCCCTACGTGGAGACGAACAACCGGCGGAGATACCAGAGATCATCGGATAGTCTCCAGCGAGAAATGACGATGTCTAGAACCTCAGGAGATCAGCGGGTAAGGAAGCAAATCATCCAATGGGGCTTTGGTTAGAAACGAATGAGAATGGTATGGATGGAGGGTGGGATATCTTCTCATGCGGATATCCAGATGGGGAAGGGAAGAGGAGGACTCAAGGAGGCAGACGGGTGGAGAACATCCGAGAAGAAGAGAACTCGAAGGGAGGGAGAACTTGCTCACAGAAAGGGGTGAGTCTGTTAGATGAGGGTAGAGGATTCTACGAAACCCTAATTCCATGACAAGAGACCCAAGAGGAGGAACCTCAGAAAAAAATATGAGCTACTCCGGTCACTAATATCGATCCCAGAGAGAGAGACAGAGAGAGAGAGATCATAAGAACACGCTAGATCCCGAGAGTTACAGACATGGAATCTGCACTAAACAGCGCAACAAAACAAGAACATACGGGTGGGAAGAGGAGGAAATGACGGTAAATCTCTCTCTCTCTCTCTCTCTCTCTCTCTCTCTCTCTCTCTCTCTCTCGCTCTCTCGCTCTCTCGCTCTCTCGCTCTCTTTCTCTCTCCAGCTCATTCCTATTGGTCCTCTCACTAGAGAGAACCATTAGGTCTCTAGTGGGGAGCAAGAGAGACCGGTGAGGGTTTAGGGTTCCACTAGAAAGAGAGTATTCTCTTCTTCCTCCTTTTTTCCGCCATCTTCTTCCGCCAAACCTTTCGATCTTCGTTTTTCTGCTCTCTCCTGTGTAGAAAGGAGAAGACAGAGGAGGACGAGGAGGGAACGGGGCTCTCACCTGGCGGTGCTGCTGAACTCGTAGAGCTTGCCGCGGCTTGAGAAGACGATCAGCGCTACCTCGGCGTCGCAGAGTACGGACAACTCGTAGGCCTTCTTCATCAGCCCGTTTCTCCTCTTCGCGAACGTCACCTGCCTGTTTATCTTATTCTCGATCCTCTTCAGCTCCACCCTCCCCCTCCCCATCTCTCCCTCTCTCTCCTCCTTCCCTCCGTTCTCCTACCCCCCCCCCTCTCTCTCTCCTGCTTCTTCTTCTTCTTCTTCTTCTTCTTCTTCTTCCCTCCGTTCTCCTATCCCTCTCTCTCTCTTCTTCTTATTCTCTCCGTTCTTCCACCTCTCTCTCTCTTCTGCTTCTGTTTCTTCTTCTTCTTCTTCTCTCTGTGCTTCCACTCTCTCTCTCTCTCTCCTCCGTTCCAGAAGAGATGGAGGTGAACAGTGAGGTTATGATGGCATCGGCTGTCGAACCTTAAACTGTCCGAGCGGCCCCCCAGGCCCACGTGTCGCATCCACAGTGGGTAATCTCAGGACCTGCCTAGACAGCTTTCCAAATTATCCATCTACCCCGTTCTAAATTTATTATTATTCTTTCTGCCTGTACTGTTTACTAATTAATGAATAACCAAGCAAAGCGGGCCTCCCTCCTCTGAAATATTACGATATAATCCCTACGTACGATATCTGTCGCTCAGGCCCCTAGAAGCATTTATTTACGTCAGAGCACCCATTGTATGACCTTTAGCGATTCATAACATCATAAATATTATAACGATAAAAAACAATAATATATACATAATTTCGACGTCACAATGGTAACGTCATTAGTCATGACGTGTCGATCTCCGATTGGATTAGACCCGTAGTCAAAGATCCGGACCTTTCGGACGCCACGTAGGACCCATTCAGATGTTGAAAAGACCATACTACCCCTATTCAGACACCAAATTTTCAACAAGGGCCAATGCGGCGGATGCCAGAGTTGACATCCACCTCAGGCCGCCGTACTCGCCCGTACGCCGCCGGCCGAGGACCCGCCGGTCCGAGTCGAGAAGATTAGATTAGAGAGAGAAAAGAGAAGAGAGAGAATATGGGGCTGTTCTGGACACCAACCAGAAGAACAAAACACCCTGCAACAGCCAATCTCGAGGAGAGAGAAACAGGTGAACGGCGAATGAAGGTTGCAGGAGGAGAGAGAGAGAGAGAGGAGGGGGTGACCTATTTGGCGGAGGGTGGGTTGAGCTCGTTCCAGGCCTCGATCCAGGTGACCATGGCGTCGGCGAGCTTGGTGAAGTAAGGGTCAACCTTGCCGAGCTTGGCTCTGACCTGCTTGGAGAGCTCGACGTAGCACTGCTGGACGGTGGCGCAGTCCTTGGGAATGACGGCGCTCTGGAAGAAAGGGATCAGCTCCTCCTGCCAGTAGATGCCGTTGTACTCCTTCTTCAGGTTCACGAACGGGTTGCTCGCCTTGCTGTGCCAGATGTAGGGCAGCCCCGTCTTCACCCCCCACCCCATATGATCACATATCACCTGCACCATTATCATCACCACTAATTATATTCATGTTCATCTTCATCATCTTCGTAATGTTCAGAGAATCGGGGACTGAGAGTTCGACCTTGATGCACCAGCCGGCCCACATGTCGTCGTAGCGGCCGATGGGCTGGCCGTCGCCCATGAGGCCGAAGTACATGGCGGGCCCGATGAGCTCCCGGTCGAAGGCGAGGTTCATCCCGCACATGGGGAAGAGGGTCCCCTTCGGTATGGTGAGAACTGCGTCCACATATCTGAGAGAGGGAGAGAGAGAGAGAGAGATTTGAGAGGCTGTCTCTTGGTTGAAGAGGGGAGTTGGATGGGATTTGGATGAGGTGGGTACCTGGTGTTTCGTTCAAGGGGCTTGACGAGTTGTGTGGGGGCGTCGTAATCTGGAATGTTGAGCCAGAGACCGTGGGAGACGGCGGTGGGGGCGCCCTCGCGCATACTGAAAGGGTACCCACGGACGAAGTCCGCGCCCTCCCTGTATGGATCGTAGAGGGTGTTGAAGAAGTGGGGAGTCGATGGGCAGAGGAGATTCTTTACGTGCTGCTCGAGGGCATTGATCTCTTTGCCAGATGGGTCTTTGGCAACCTGTTGCCAGGGGACAAATTAGATTTAAAAAAATAAAATTGGAAGGGAAAAGCTTGAGAAAAGGAGCTCAAAAGGAACCGAGATGAAACAGATCTTACAGGACAGAGCACACCATATAGAGCAGCAACGATGTAAAAATGATTCTACACTATCAAATGACGCAACCATATGATAAGAAACAAAAATCAATGGTAACTTCATTCCCAGTGATTGTAGAAAAATATTGAGGTTTAAGATGGGAACTGATTGCTACCAAGTTTAGCATCAATAAGCAGAGGATTACAGGACTTAATGCCAGGAGTAGACATCTCCATTGACAATCCGTGAACAAGATCGAAGAGATAAAAAACACTACATATCACGAAATCATTTGATAAACAAGGCAAAAAAGACACTGCAAATTGAAGTAAAAACCGATAGGTGATGTTAAATGTGAAAGGTACCAAGCAGCGTAGTTCCCTCTTCTTCGCTTCAGTTTAATTTTTCTCCTCACGCATAAGATGATGCGACCAAGGTCAAGAATGATAAAAGAGTTATGTCATAGAAAGTTCAAAGTTTACACCCCTCCGCTTGCCGATTTATTCCTCAAACCTTCCAACAAATCGCATACTACGGAAAGCGAACGTAACTGTTATGCGTGATTCTGATTCTGTGGGCAAGAAGCTGAATGAGCTTTGGTCGAAAACAAGGTTCAATGAAAAGAACAATGTAATCTTGAAAAAGGCATTTACATTGTTTTGCAAAGACGAAGACTACTGGAAGATCACAATGCATGCCAACTTAACCACCCCACAGCCGAAGATGCTAGAATGAGAACTAGACCAGTGAGAATCTCTTTCCAGGATCAGAAGGCAAATTTCCATTCCATCAATATTAAAAAGAAACTTGCATTACCAAAGCACAGAAGCCCCCCTAGATGTTCTTTACGTTTCTTTGTTGCTAATAACATTCAAATAGTTATTCACACTGCATGTCCCAGTAAAAATTGCCTTCCAGACAACGACTGTGCCATCGCAGATCACAAGGTCATTGCCGACAAGGGATGAGCCCAAGAACAGAACCAGATCCGCGATATACAGCACACAAAGAGTAAAGCCAATTCATAATAACAAAAACTGCCAGTAAAAGCTGCTTCCAGACAACGACAGTGCCATCGCATATGACAAGGCCATTGCTGAGAAGGTACGAACCTAAGAACAGGACCAGATCCGGGATATACAGCACACAAAGAGTAAAAATAATTCATAATAACAAAAACCGTTGTGATGAAGCTGTGGAAATGCACATTCCGTAATTTCAAGTCGAAATCCGTAACGAAGGACATAGACAAACAAGAAATTGGCCAAATTTCTCACACCAAACTCCGATCGTAAGGCCACAAAAGACGAACCATCGACAAGATCGACGCTGGAAATAGGAACCAAAAACTACGATTATCCTCAAACGGAACGGGAAGGGGTGAAAATAGGCGGATTGTGACTTACAAAGCAGTCGTCATCGATGGTGTAGATGTACTTCTTCTTGGAGACCATGTAACCAAAGCAGCGACAGGCCGAGTCCTTGAAGGAGATGCAGGAGGCCTTGGGCCCCAAGATGCGGTTGATATCATTACGATTGTAGAGCTCATAGTCGAAACCCTCTGGAACATGGATCTTCCTCGAGGGGTCCCCATCCTGCACAATGATGAGGTGGTAGGGCTGGAAGAATGGCCGCCACATCTCCAGGAAGTCCAGGTTCCGGATCGTCGGAATCACGATGTCCAGCTCGTCCTTCAGTAGCGGCGTGCTCGGCACAACCGCCCGCGCGCCTCCTCCCGCCGCCATTTTCTCCGGCGACCTGATCGGTGCAGAGGAGCGACGATGAAATTCGATCTGGATGGAGCTCCGGAAATGCGACTCTGGATCCGAGAGAGGGGGACTTCGGGAGAAGAAAGAACAGTCGCAGCTTTATGTAGGGCGACAGGGCGCACGTACCACGCGTGTCGGATGGGCCCCACTGACTCGTTCAGACCGCCAAGTCCACACGGATTTAGGCAGGGGACTCCGTCTGCCCGTCGCGTTCCGATGACTCGCAGTGCGTTCACTCACACCAACCCATCCCTTTGTCGTTTGGGGTTGAGACAATATGAGAGACATACAGTTCCGAAAAAAATTCAGACCGGTAAACTCACCGAGATCAATTGGGAGGTGAGATATCACACGAGGGCACGCCCCCTCCACCCCCCCCCCCAACGAAAAAGGCCGAAAAATATCACTGTCTCTGGGTTGGATCGGACGGTCAGGATCTTATGTTAAATATTTAATTAACATAAGAGCATGGTTTTAAAAATAAAACCCATCTCGGTCTTAAAAAACCAAAAAAAGCAGCATATTTAATTAATTTAAATAAAAATAACGGATGTTAAATATCAAGAAAATCCTGGTTTTTCAAAACTATAGAAGATACTCCTTTGAACCCAGAAAATATCACTCTCTGGTTGAAATCGGACGGTCAGGATTTTATTTGATCGATCATGGTCTCAAAAAACAAAAAGGCTGGATATTTAATTAATTAAAATAAAAAATGGATTTTAAGAAATCATGAAAACTCTGGTTTTAAAAAAGTATATATCACATGAGAAAGATAGAGGATATTCCGTTAACAGGAACGTGAGAATCGTTACGGAGTAGGTACCGTTAATATCCGTTTGCTGTTGCAAGAATGTTTAAGGCGGGATCCGGAGGCGTGAAGACCTGGCGGCGGAGGAGATTCCTGCGCCCTCCTCCGTTCGCGCTGACCTTCCAGGAGGGGAGGGTAGAGCTTGAGGGAGAGGCAGGTGGGAACCCTGTACAATCCTCCGCTCCTCTATTGGGAGTTTTCTCCGCAGGAATCGAGGTCTCAGACGGAGGGATAAGATCGAGAGGGGAGGAGGTGAGGGGGCCGGGATGCCGACCATCGTGAAGTTGTTCTCTCCGCAGGAAACCGCCCAGCACGACACTAGGGAAGACTGCTGGATCATCGTGGACGGCAAGGTGAATGACTCGGAGACTTGTATCTGTGCGTATTGATGCGTATCTTTTGCTGTTTTCCTGTGCCTTTTCCGTGTTTTTGTTCGTCACTGCGATGTAGATTTGTAAAATGCATGCGCCAAACTGATTGTGATATCGCAGATGCGCTCTGTCCCTTTGGTGTTTTCAGCTTACCGTGCGGAGAGTTGGGAGTTTGTAGGTTTTCCAAGTGATGAGTGCATCAAAATGATCGGATTGGAATCCTGCGATTCATGGACAGTAATCTTCATTTTGGGACATAGTTAAATCTGCGGTTTGATGTTACCTTTCATTCCTTGAATTTCTCCATCATGGTGTGGGATTTGGAATTGTTCCCAAGTGTTCGGGTCAGCTTGATCCTAATGCCCTCCCATGGAGAGTCATTCCACTGTTCTATTGGCTGTCATTGTAGTTTTTGCTTGATCTTGTGGATCCTCCATGCCTTTGGCTGTGCTTTTACTTGTCCCCCAATTATATCTGGTTGGTAAGAGCTGTTGCTCAGCTGACAATAAGTGTGCACTCTATATCGTTTGAGACTATTACACTCGGTCTAAAAAATCCAAGAAACCTAGAGAGATGGTCCCTTTAGCAGCGCTCATTTCCTTGTATAGCTGCTAAACAGCGAAGAAGGAATCGGGTATCAATTTTCTTCAGGAAATATGGAACGGCTTTTCCTTTTTGGCCCCATTTTGGATCCAAAGACGTATTATAATGGATTTTTTTGGCAAACCATACGTTTACCCTTTTTCACTCCTGTAAACAACGACATCTTTATTCATCTATACGACGAAGGCTTTTGTTTTGATTGCTTCCTTGGTCCAGCTGCTCTGCTTGGCCTGTGGATCACTTTTTTTATCTGTTTCACAATATTACTCGAGATAATTTTTTCCATTTTTAGTCTGCGATCAGTTGCCTCAGGATTATGACGAACTTATATTCGTCTGTACTCCCATATATTGAGTTTGGATTGTCATAAAGTCCAGCCTGCTCTAGTTTTTCAGTGGTTTTTTTTTTTTCTTCTGACCCACCACCATATTATTCAGGCTATTTTTTTTATATTTTTCAGTATGTGATCAGTTGGGTATGGACTGTGTGGTTCCTCTTATCGATTTCTATCAATCGAGTATTGTTACATAGGAGAGCAGAGCAATCGATTTCATCCCTTTTTTTATATGAAAAGTGGCGCGTGATATCTTGGTCCATATGCTGATGTTATGCTGCTAAATCAAATATTTCGGACGGCTCTTTCAAGAGTTAAGATGGGGTGTGATTCAATGAGAGTTTTTCTTTTTCTTTTCTTGGCTTCCTTATAACATTGAATGTATCCATCACGAGCAGATGCCTTTTTTCTTGCACTCTCATATGGTTTTTCCTTCTGAGAGCGACGAGGAGAACTGCTGACAGCAATAGCGTATATGTTCTCCCCTTAACATAATCACATATTACAAAGTCGTGGTTATATTATTTTATTTTTATTTATTTTCTAAACCGATTCGCCCTCTTCCCTCTGGCCACACAAAACCCCTGTTCTCCTCCTTCATCTTGCATCTTTTATTATGCTCATATTTCGTCGGATTATTCCTATTTTTTTCACGAATTATTGGCAAGAAAAACCCCGAATTTTCCCCTTAATCTGCATTTTTATTACTGTCGTATTTTCACTTTACGGAAATTCTTTAGTGTGGGTTTCTATTTTTGGAAAAGTCAACGGTCGCCATTCTCATGGGTTCTTGGTATATATATCAGGTCTACGACGTCACCGAGTACCTGGATGATCATCCCGGAGGGGATGACATCATCGTCTCCGTCGCCGGTAAGATTTTATTTTTTTTTGTTTCCCAAGTTCGGTTTTATTTTTTAATTAAAAAAATGAAAAAATATTCGATTCGATCGTCGTGTTTGTTTCTGATTAATCCGAGCTCTGGGTTTCAGGCAAAGACGCCACCGAGGAGTTCGAGGACGCCGGACACAGCAAGACGGCGAGGGAGCTCATGAAGAGCTTCTGCGTCGGCGAGGTGGACCCCTCGCCGCCACCGCCGCCGGCGGCGGAGCCCCAGGCCAACTCGGGGGGGACAACCTCCGTGTTCTCGCAGCTGCTGCTGAGCTGGCGGCCGGCGGCGCCGCCGCAACAGCTCTGGGTGGTGGCGGCCGCCGTCGCCGTCGCTGGGGTCACCGTGGCGGCGGGCTTGCTCTACTCGCGCAGGAAGTAAGCTTCTCTGATTGGCGGGGTTTTGTCTTGTTTCTTTCTTACATCGGATATAGTAGACCTGTTCTTCTGATTCGAAAGTGAGAAGATGGGGGGGAAACGAAAGTGATAAAGGCGAACATCAACGGAGAAAAGGTAGAGAGAGAGAATAAGGATAAGGATGACGCCCTCCGCGCCTCTTCTCTCTCATCTCTCACAAACTTTAGAACCCTTCTCCTTCCTCAAAACCAGGGGCGGCGCCTCCAGTTCCGCCGCCATCCCCCCAATCGGTCAACCCCCCGTGATGGGTCAATGGCGAAAGTCAGCCCAACGATGGAGACGGAGAGAAAGCGCCCAACTTCCGGGCTGGCGTGGACGGATTATGTCGGACCAGCCCTGTCCGACTCTTACTTACCTCTTCTGGGGGGCAATGATATTTATACACAACCAAATTTGTAAACCCACGTTGATATCTGAGCATTTACCTCTTAGAAACTTGATTCTTGCCAATGAATTGATTGGGGAGAGAGAGAGAAAGAGAGAGAGAGAGAGAGAGAGGGTCATATGATTTGATCGTGGAAGACGTAAATCTCTAAGAATATGATCATCATATTTTTCATAGAAGAAAGGCAGCAGACAGGCTGAAAACTTAAAAGAGGGCGTTGACATGGGGCTAGTGGTCGTCGGCGGTGGCGGCGGAGGCGGAGGCGGAGAAGTCGGCAGCGGGGAAAATCCAGGGGCGATTGCGGTAGAGGAGGTGGCGGAAGCCGTGCTGCGTGTACTTCTCGCCCTGCTCCGCGTTGTCCTGGATGGGCGTCATCCTCTGGGCCTTCTTGATCCTGCAACCCCACACACCCCATGGGTTTCAGACTGATGGCTAAACGGATAGAGAGAGAGAGAGAAGAAAGAGAGAGGGAGAGAGAGAGAGAGAGAGAGAGGGAGATCAAACCTGACGTCGGGGTTCATGAAGGCGTTCCTGGTGAGCTGGAAGATGCACATGCTCGAGACGAATCCCATGGCGGCGATGAGCGGATAGACCTGACAAGGAAACCAAACCAAAACCGGGGCCACCATGTTAGAACACCGGTCAACTCTTCTCTCTCTCTCTCTCTCTCTACTATGGTTTCATGCATGAGAAACAACAGCAGACGAAGAAGAAGAAGAAGAAGATGATGATGATGATGATGATGATGATTGGAGAGAAAATGGAATAGAGGTGAACACCAACCTCTGGCCTGACCCAGCGAGACATTGCGAGGAGGGAAATCCTTGTCTGGAGTTAGAAGACGATGGCTACTTAGTGTGAGGTCACCTGCACCTCCGGCGGGTTTATATTCTACTTACCGGGAGAGAGAAGAGGAGGAGGATACCCCAGGGGGAGCCGCCATGGTTTCCGGTGGGCTGCCTGTGGGGTTGACCGGAGGAAACCAGGAGCTCCGCCGCTGTTTACCCCCGGTCGTTGGCGGGTCAACGGCGACTTCCCGGTCGAGGAAGAAACTCGCGAGGAGGGGGGGGGGGGGTGACGGCGGAGATAATATTATTATTTATTTATTACACGGCTGATGACGTGTCGATACATGGCAAAATGGAAATCCATGAAACTGAGAACGATGGGGTCGCCTGAGAAGGAGCGTTTCAATGTCGGTTGGAGTTTAAAGAACTTGGGAGGCGGAGCGGCCATTTCATGACGTCAAACCCTTCATAATCTAAATCCTCTCTCTCTCTCTCTCTCTCTCTCGTGAGTTCCAGGCTCAAAGTTGATATCGTCCGGGCGTTTCATGAGCAGCCAGCCAGCTGATAAGAACACGAGTCTTTTCTACGACTGAAAAATATAACTCATGGATCTCTCTAACCATAATAATAATAATAATCCTAACACATAAATAAAAATTTAGAACATATGATAATAATCACCTTCCCAAACCCTAATCCACGAAAACTGTATATAAGATTGCGAGGAACCCATCACCCATTCATCACCTTTCAACCCCCTCCCCCCAGACAGCGGATCAAACCAGGGAATCTTTAGAAGAAGATCCAAGACAGCAGCAGCTTACCCTTCCTTCAGTCCCAGTAAATCAGCTCTCACTGCAGCCAGGCCCTCCAGAGGTGATCAACGGCGTTCATCTGCATATATCTGGCGACAATCTATCTAATCTCTCTCTCTCTCTCTCTCTCTCTCTCTCTCTCTCTCTCTCTCTCTCTATCTATGCATGGAAATATATAGATATATATATATATGCTAGCTAGAATAGGGTGGGTCTGACGATCGATTACCAACATGGAAAGTTTTACGGCATACAATAGAGATAGATAGATATGGCTCCAACAGGCTTCAGCAGTGATATGTTGGAGGAAAACATAATTCTTTCACATATTCATGCGAATGAAATAACCAGGGGACGTCGTTGACCTCAGTTGCCTCCACCCCCGAACAGGTAATCCAGGGAGGATCCGCCGCCTGGGGCAGCGTGGACCTTGGTTGACCGCCGCTCCTGCACGGCATCGTGGGATGAGGATTAGAACCACGGAAGAAATAAGCTCACCTCCCAGGAAATAAGATTTCCTGATTAACATATTAATCAGATGTCTAGAATGAAAATATATATATGAATCGTGGAAACCTGAGAAGAACTGCCATATCAACAGAGGGTCAACTTCTCCGATCCTAGTATCTACAATAGTTAATCATTAACATAAACATCTCTGATGGTTTATGTTAATGATGGTGGTAATGATGGGCGGATGAGAGATTGGACTTGGCTCTCCCTGGGTGTATGATCTTGATGAGCAGCCCTGGAAAACCTAGGCCATGCTTCCACAAGGCTTGAACACAAGAGAATGATAGAATTAGGGCACAAGGGTTTAGAGCCAACCGTGATGAAGTTTCCACTGTTCTGGCCATCTGCTCTGAGGTAGTTGTTCACATTGTTGCCTTGGATTCCAGCAGGGATCTGCCTGGAGTTGTCCACTGGAGCAGGGGCAGCGGGGTTCTGAGGAGGGGCGGTGACGTCAGGGGGAGAAGGCTTAGCAGGAGACTTGGCAGGTGCTGGTGCCTCGTCGCTACCGAACAGATAACCCAGAGAACTCTGTCCGCCGCCGCTGCTGACGCCACGACTCATCCTCTCTGACTTCTCTTCATACAACAAGTATCCCATGTCAAACAAATGTGTTTTATTTAGAATATCATTCACTAAAATATCAACATATTTATCAATCAGAGAAGCCATGGGATTGCAAGATCTCATCGTGATAAGAATTTAGTCAAAAGAAGAAGTGCCGTGGTGAGACGTTGACAAGGCAAGATGAACACAGAATTCAAGGTGCAAGAAAATCACTTTTCTTTGAGGTTTCCAAGGCTAATAACTCAGATGACCGAGTCATAGGAACTGCTAAGAGCCGGCCGCAGTCATTCTTGGATGTTTATTTTCTCCATTAAAGTAAGTAAGGATTCTCTTCTACGAAGACCAATGTTATTCATTTCCTTTTTTTTAGTTAGTTTCTCTCCGCTACCTTTTTCATAAATTTTCCGAACTGTGATCCTTGCTATGTTCTTTGCACTTATTCCCATCAAAATAATACATTTAATCACGCATAAAATAAAATAAAAGCAAGCAGGAACAAGGTGGAAAAGACTAAAGGCATGTTGGTTAGTGACGATTCGTGGAAACGGGGAAATTAATAGTTTAACTAATTTCAATACGCAAACTTAACGTAAGCAACCTTCCCACCAGGGGAAAACATTCAAAAAAACTTATACTATCGGACACAAAGGCTACAGAGATCATCTTTAAACAAGAATCAGACAATGCCATCATTCAAAATGACGGTGTGGTCATTAAACCAGTTTCACAAACAAAGTTCATCATTCTTCAGATGAAAAAATTTCAATCACGTCACTTTAGGTATTGCAACCATCTATATATTTCATAATCGTAACATCTGGTTTCCAGAATGATGAAGAAAATGAAGGAAACCCCAAAAACAGACGGAGGGAGTATAATAAACAAAAGTTGAATATGTATTTTTCACACAAAAATAAGCCGTGCATGTTCAAGTAATCCATGGGAATAACTCAAAACAAAACCAGACTATTATGAAAATATTTTCGTACAAAGTTCACAAGTATTCTCCATCCAATTAATGCATTTATTGCTTGTTTTAACAATTTCAGACCAATAAAATGATATCAGTTTATCAAAGCCAACGGAAGTGACACTAGCTTTCAGTAAATTTGAGTTGGATTACTGTGATATACTTTGAAAGTTATTTTTTTCTAAATTACAATTTAAAATGATGTATAGAAAGAAGGGCAACAAAATAATTGCCTTTTGATTCGCTGAAAAGTCATTCAAGGAGATACCATAAACGTTATGGTCCCATATACATAAAAAATAGAGGAAAACATTATCAATGGGAGATAATTTCCCTTTTATCTGCGATAAGCTTCTCTCCATTGTACTGACTTGGCATTATCATGTCCTAATGAAATCCACAGTTTATTCTCAGCATGACAAGAATGCATATATAGTCTAATCGCATACATTAGTCCAAACAGATGCCCATCTGATGCTTTGAACGAATGTAAGCTAAGCCCATGAATCGAACATCGAAGGAGTTCCACTGAAAAATTCGATAATGAAAGATAAAAAATAAACAAAAATTGAGGACGAAATGATATGGATAACATTTTAAGGACTGAAGAATACAAAAAAGTAAAACTTCTTGGAAATTATGTGATAGAGGAACTCGCTGAACCAATAATGTATAAAAGCATGCGTCGTGGAAAGAAAATATACAACGATCTCACAGTGCTGGTGAAAATGAAATGATGTGATATTAAATACACAAATTTACCCAATAACTTTATCAGGGTTAGCAAAGCCAGTAGTCGCTCTTGCACTAATTTCACCCATTGATGTTACCAACGTGATAAAGATCAAAACTGGGTCCGTAAATGAGAGAGCTCACATAACTAGAAAAATGGAAATCATTCGAATAAATAGATACGCCTACTTTACTCATCACAAGTTGGTTTAGAGTTGGAAAACCCAATAATTTTATTGATCGTCGCGTAAAGTTAAAGTATAAGAGCACACGATGTATCAATCTAGGTTGTACAGAAGCCAACATCACTACTGCAACAATTACAACACGTCTTAATCGATTTAATAGAATAAAATGATCTCAGCATTACCACGAGCACAACTCTCCCATAAAAAGACCACTAGAAGAAACCTACATGTTTTAAGCTCGATTGAACCGGATGAAAAACAAAACACCCAGACAAATGATGAGAATCAGCACGTTCCGATAAGAAACAAACTAGTTGCTAGAGACGTCAGAAGAATGCGCCAAATCATCTGTAAATATATCAGCTAGGGAACAAACAGCACAAAACTTAACGACAAAAAAATCCAGCTCGCAAGGGTTCCATACGTTATTGTCAATGCTTACAAAAATGGGACCTCGATATTTCGCTCTCTTGTTCGATAAGAAAGGCGGATCAAGACCTCAACCACATGTCCGGCCAATGCAGCCAAATGGATCTCAGCAATCCAGCACACCACAACTCAAGCCGTTAGCACTCCACCCGTTGTAAACATGAAACTGGTAGATGCAAAACATGCATTGGAAAAATGCAGTAAAAAAAATACAAAAGATAACGATTCAAACGGTTTTTAAACCTCTGACCGCCTCAGTCGACCCCCGTAGTTAGGAATCAAATCAATATATCCCCAAAATCGAAAAAGATAAGGAATACGAACAAAATGGCAGACGAAAACACAAGATCCAAGACCAGCTCCTTCAGCAATGCAAAGTCATGTCTATAAAAATGGGAAAATCGCAAACCCTCACTGCAAGGATGCGGCATTGCCGTTTCATCGATCCAACCAGGGATCTGAACCTAACAGTCGGAGGAGACCAACAAGAAGCATCAAGAATCTCGAAACAGGGGCAGAACCTCGAGTTCTCACCTCGTCGCTCGACGAAGAACAGCGAAGGGAAGTCGGAGAAGCGGCAGGGAAGCAAAAGATCTGAAAACTGCGCTGGGGAGAAAGATCGGAGGGTGGGGTGTCTATTTTTATATGTGTTCAATAAATGAGGGAAATTTAAATATTTAATTAATATATATCTTTCGCATTTAAAATTAAATATATATATATATGTCCTAATAATGAAAATATCTTATTAAAATTAATATTTATATTTATTTATACTACTCAGCAGGTGAGAAGAGATCGGAGGGCGGCGTGTCCACTTTTTATATATTCAATAAAATCAGGACATCTTAAATATTTAATGATATATTTACATGTAAAATTAAATATATATGACACATATTATGAAAATGTCCTATCAAAATTAGTATTTAGAATTATTTTATACTACTTAAACGGGGAGAAGAGATTTGAGGGTGCCGCGTCCATTTTTATATTTTCAATCAAATCATAAAAATGTAAGTGTTTAATTAAATAAATATATTTTCACGTAAAATTAAATATCTCAGATATATATTACAAAAACATCCTATCAAAAATACTATTTTGATTTATTTTATACTATTTACCAGGAGAGAACAGATCGGAGGCTGGAGTGTCCATTTTTATATATCAAATAAAATGAGGACATTTCAAGTATTTAACTATATATATTGCATTTAAAATTAAATATCTCTGATAATTATCATGAAAATATCCTATCAAAATTAGTACGTAGATTTATTTTACACTAATTAGCCGGGGAGAAGAGATCGGAGGGTGGGGCGTCCAACTTAAATATTCAATAAAAAGATAAATTATAAGTATTTAATTAAATATATATATATATATATTTCATGTAAAATTAAGTATATCTGACATATATTATGAAAATATCCTATCAAAAATTAGTATTTTGATTTATACCCGGGGAGAAGAGTTCGGAGGGTGGGTGGGGGCGTCCATTTTCGTATATTCAATAAAACGATATTTTAAAGCATTTAATTTAATATATATATTGCATGTAAAATTAAGTATATCTGACATATATTACGAAAATATCCTATCAAAAGTAGTATTTAGATTTATTTTATACTAATTAGCCGGGGAGAAGAAATCAGGGAGTGGTCTGGTCCGGGCTTTTTTTCGGGCCAAGCCCGATAAGCTTGCTCGGTTGGCGTGGCCCAATGGTAACCCTAGAAATCACCCGTCGCCTCCTTCTCCAACCTCACTAAACCCTCGTTCGACCTCCCCTCGGCCCTTGGCGCAGCAAGGTGGGGATTTGATCTCGCCTCCTGGTTTCCGTCTTCCTGATGCTTCCGCTTCCTCTCCCCTTTGCCACGTTCTTCCGGTCGATTTTTCGATTGCGGCATTGCACTGCCTTACACGATGACTTGTGACAAGGATAGCCAAGTTCTGATGCCTCCGTCTGTTGTCTTAAGTAGTTCGTGTTATCTTTTCTCGGCTTTCCGATTCTAACGATTTTAGCCTTCCTGCAGTGGGAAGCCTGTTTATGTTTGTATTCCCTGATGCTTGTTGTTCCTATGTTAATTTCATGCTTATCGATCATCCAGTGCGAGTACGGTTAGAGGGAACTTGGATCGAGATGTCCTTCAATTTAGCTGTGTTGGCCTTGATGTCCCGCTGTTTTAAGTCTTGAGCCGCCTCACTTGTTTGCTAATCGATGAAATGACCAGTCTCCATTCGGTGAGCTTTATCGAAGGCAGGTTTGACGTTTTAGGCGCGAAATTCTTCACCCGATTATATTGTATTTTTTTAATTAGTTGATGTATTTTCATGTTATGTGATCATAGAAATTGTTTTTAAAGAAATCAAATCACTTCTGGTTTCCGGCATATCATGTTTGGGAAGATGACTATCTATAGCTCCTCGATCTTGTTATTTCATTTTATACTATAAGATATTTCGGAATTTTAATCTTTAGAGCGAAAAACTATGAGCAGCCAGTGGCCCAGTCGCGAAGCTGCTACAGCAATGGCGAAGGCCAAGACTTCTGTGGAGAAGGTGAAGGAATTTTGGAACTCCGAGGTCATGGACGAGGAGAGATGGGCGCAGAACTCGGTAACAGTTTGTCCTCTCTCATAGATCAAACGCACTATGTTCTCTCTTTTTCCTTGTGTTCATCTCCTCCCTGTTGTCAACTGGTGCTTTCATTTCGGGATTTAGGGTTCCCTATGGCAGTGATATCAGGGTTCAGGCTTACGGTTATGTGAGGATGAATCATCACCTGCGGTCATCTGTCGTATCAGAGTTCTGAAGCCAAGTATTACATGTATCTTTAATCTGATATAGAATCTTGGATCTGAAGACAGAAGATCTATAACCTAAATCAAATTAATTTTGTTCAAAACCATTGAATTTTGTGACAATATTGTCTGAGAATCTGAAGCCTCCTTTCCTGGAGGATCTCAGGGCATTTTTTCAGTTTGATGACTACTCCAAGGCCTCTGGATCATTAGCCGGCTGAAGGTTCAAATGCTTTTATCTTGTATTTTATCAATGATAAAACCCCCCCATCACAAACTTAGAGTGCAATACGTCCAAATTTTTTTATTGTTCATTGCACAATCTTGGAAATATGGCTGTTCTTGGATGAACTCTTATGGGTAAACCTCTGCAACGTCTTAGAATATACTGGAAGTAGTCTCTGGGTTTGATTATCTTCTCTATCATCTTGGTTTGGGTGTTTTTAATTTTTTTTATCTAGTAACAAAAATAAATATAGCATACATATTTCCTCCATCATCTTTACTTAGGGTGGTCTATAATCCGTACTTTAGAGACTAAATAAATAATCTAGATGCTAGATATAAAAAAACTTGCCAAATTGAGAAAAAAATTCACACGGATATTTCAAGAGTAGCTGATTGAAGCTTCACTGGCATCCAACATCTCGTTGATTTTATCGTTCCTTCCGAAGGAAAGCCTCATCATTTACAGGAAAATTAATGATTAAATATTTTACTCCAAATTGCATCGGATCACATCCAAAGGATTCCTAGTGATTGACTCATTTCCAAATATTTCCATTTATTTCTGATGTTTCTCCTTCCCGAATTTAGTCAACATACTCAGTATCATTAACCATGGAAGATTCATTTCGTCTCTGTAGAAAATGCTGAGAGCTCTGGGATTGTTTGCTGCCTCAATACTTCTGATGCGCAACTATGGAGACCTAATGGCAATCTGAGAAGATAGAGAGAGAGAGAGAGAGAGAGAGAGAGACTACTACAGCAATTGTTTTTTCTGGTCAATGAATCTTGTAATGAATTCTGAGTTTTAATTCCACTGATTCTGTTGGTATCAAAGGCTCTAATCAGTCAACAGTAAAGTCTACTCTCGGTAAACTGATTGATTGAGAGATGGGCGTGAATAGGAAAAGACATGCGCCACGTGGCAGATGAAGTGGGCACTTCGGCCGGGACTCCCTCGAGTGTCATCCCCGTTGACGGTGCCACGTGGCACTAGATGATGTTGACATGGTGTCGAACGCATGACTACACGATGGAGACACAATCCATCTCACGCAGTCCATATCTACCGCCGTTCTTTCTGCTGGGTCGTCCCTCGCAGGAAGGCCAACATCTTACAGGGAGCAGAACCCGGAGTGCAGCTGAGAACACAGTTGCTTGCTTCCTCTTCCTCTCTCTCTCTCTCTCTCTCTCTCTCTCTCTCCCCATTGGACTCCAAGCCCCAAAAAACTAACCATACGCAACATCAAGATCATGAAATAATGTTATGAGTTTATATTTGTAATTTTCGTTTGTACCCTTTTCCCAATAGATCGCCGCCACCTGCCCAGACAAGAGTGTCGACCACATTCGCGTCTCTAGAAGTCAACCCCGTTGACACGGGAGAGTCAGACTTCCCACCCATTAACAAGAACCCGTCTCCACAGGGCCGACTCTCTATAGAAAACCAAGAACTTGGTCGTTCATCTAGTTGACTACTCAGGATCCCAGACATCAGAATCAAGCTCCTGCAAGGTCAAGAAGTCAACCGGGGAGCTGCAGTCTGGAATAGCAGTCCCACACCAAAAGGGTGGAATCAATAAAAAGTCAACAACCGACTGCGAAATCTTGTTACAGGTGTCGTCGCTCAACACCTGCTCACTTGAGACATGTGAGAATATCTCAGGAGAAACTAAGAACAGCATCAGAGAGATACAACCTAGAAGTAGGTAAAAACACCAGAACCTGGGTTTCTCCTCTTTTTGTTTCCATCAGTTGTTTCAAACACGTGAGTTGACTTACCCCACCTTACAGGGGCGACTTGAGGAGTTGACCATAAGCTCCCTGTTTAGTAAATCGGACCTTCCTCAAATGGCTAGTCTACTTAGGCATTCATGGAGAGGCCCGGCCCCCTTCTGTAGAAAAATGAAGCACATGAATCAAAGTTCCAGGTTTTCTCCTCTTTTGTTTCCATCAGTTGTTTCAAACACGTGAGTTGACTTACTTACCCCACCTTACAAGGGCGACTTGAGGAGTTGACTATACGCCCCTTTGGCTAGTCAGTCTCTTCCCACCCACTTGGGAAACTTGATGGCTGAGATACGTCCCTGATTATATTTCTAGAGAGGCCCAGACCCCTACTGTGGATAATCAAGCATATGAATCAAACCAGAATAGGCAATCAGTTAATGGGGTTTTATCACAATCTAAATTAGAATAGCTAATCAGCTACAGATGAACACATTCGTTGATTACTAAACTGAACCAAACTACCATCTAGAAGAATCCACCCACACAAAAAAAGATGTAGTACCAATCAGTAGCTGCCATCATCATCATCATCATCATCGACGAAATTTACAAAGAAATGGCAAATGAATGATCCATCAAAACCTTGCGCAATGTTCTTCTCAGAGAACAATGATGCTCGAATTCCCTTGAAGATGACATAAGTTTATGAATAAATTGAGAAAACGGCTCTTATGTGGCGAGATGCCATTGGATTACTTGAAGCTAGAGCTGACTTATACGAAACTGAACGACAGAGATAGCACGCAATTCAGACAGTTTTGCACATATAGATCCACTAAGATTTCATACTAAAAGCGCCATGATTCACCATAGGTGTTCTTTGTTTGTATCCATAAAAGGGAAGGTGGACCTGAAAGTCAACAGATCGAGCTCTGAGATTCCGATTACCAGTTTTGTTCTATTCATTGCAGCGATCTGGCATCATAATATGGGGCAGAGGGGGGAGAAAAAATTGCAGTCTGTGGTATAAGAAGGCCTCACAAGGCCCAGATAGAGAATGAAATGACTCGAGACATCAAAATTTCTGGTAGCAGAGTCGAGAAATGAGGCAAGAATCTGTCAGAGATGACATATCTCACTACCCCAAGTCAACATGGGCATCTATTCGGCCACCTGCTTCTTGTCGCCGTAAACATAGGTGAGACCGCACTTCCCGCAGTAGTGGCGGTCGTGGTGGATGGCCATGAAGGTGCCGGCGCCGCACTCGGGGTTGGGGCACTCCTTGCGCAGCTTCGTGACCTTGCCGGAGGATTCATCGACCTTGTAGAACTGGAGCACGGCGAGCTTGACCTTCTTCTTCTTGTGCTTGATCTTCTTGGGCTTGGTGTAGGTCTTCTTCTTGCGCTTCTTCGCCCCTCCGCGGAGGCGGAGCACGAGGTGCAGGGTCGACTCCTTCTGGATGTTGTAGTCCGCTAGGGTTCGGCCGTCCTCGAGCTGCTTCCCGGCGAAGATCAGCCGCTGCTGGTCCGGTGGAATCCTTTCCTTGTCCTGGATCTTGGCCTTGACGTTGTCGATGGTGTCGGAAGGCTCCACCTCGAGGGCGATCGTCTTCCCCCTGAGGGTCTTCACGAATATCTGCATCCTTCCTCCGATCTACGGGGACGCCGACTCCGCGAGAAGGAGGAGGAGCGGAGGAACAAAGAACAGGCGCCCACTGCCGCCATTTGAGCTAGGGTTTTTCACATCTTAAAGGAGACGATTTTCTTATCGGACCCGGTATCCATTAGTATCCGAATAAATCGTTCCCACTTGAAGAGGTCAACGTGGGCCCATTTACAATATTGGGCTTCATCTTGATACCCAATATGTCAACTGGGTTGACCGATATGAAGTTCACTATACCCATATTTGACCTAAATATTATAATTTACCTGCCTAAGTTCATGTTCATAAAACAATGGTCTATAAATCTGGCCCTATATTTAAATTTCTATGTAAACCTTGAGCTTATTCTCCTAATACATAGCCATCCTTCACCACCTAGAAGATCTTGGGCATGAGACACCCATATGATTAGAACAACCCCATACTTAGGACATATGATTATAAAAATAGTTACATATACTAGATATTATAATAATGTTCTCTTATAAGGAGAGGGAACCTTATATCATATGGTAAGGTTTTTCCATCATGTATTATCCTAAAAGAGTAAGGTCAAAGCCACCCATAATTAGTACATATGATTATACAAATATAGTTACAAGTACTTAGACAATATAATGTTATTTTGTAAAGAGAAGGGACCCTATATTTGAGAGTAAGGTTTTTCCATTATATATTATCTCGAAAGAGTAAGGTCAAAGCCACCCCATAATTAGTAGATATGATCATATAGATAGTTACATGTACTAGATAATATAATAATGTTCACTTATATTAGAGAGTAAGGTTTTTCCATGATATATTATCTGAAAAGAGTGGGGAATGCTCATCACTTGAGTCCTTTTGGGTTTCCACATATGGGTGAGGATGCTTGATACTGGGTGAATACAAAAGTCAAAGCTAGCACATAATTAGTAGAGCTAGTTTATAAAGATCTAGTTACAAGCACTAGTAAGAAATACTCATAACTTGAGTGCTTTTTAGGTTTCCACATATGGGTGAGGCTGCCTTGATATTGGGTGAATAAAAGTCAAACCCACCCCATAATTAGCATATATGATTGTAAAGATACAGTTACAATTACTAGACAATATAATGATGTCATCTTATAGAGAGAGAACATTATTATACTATCCTAAAAGGGTAAGGAATACTTATCACTTGAGTCCTTTTTAGGTTTCCACATATAGGTGAGGCTGCTTGATATTGGGCGAAAAAAAGTCAAAGCCAGCATTAGGAGTTGAGAATGTATGAGCTTACAGACCCATGTGATGGGTCTCCTAAGTTTAGCCTTACTCCCATGCCTTCACATTTTATGGGCTTTTTTGTACATTATATTGGAAGAAATAAAGTCCAACAAAGTATATTCCATTTAATATATCTATAGATTTTTTGATTTTAAGGAAAATAATTATCCACTTGTTTTGTTGTATAAAATTTTATATTTCATTTTTTATATTTTTGTGTAAAATAACGAGCTAGACATTTTACTGAAAATGTGATAAAATTAATAATATTCTAAATGGCGGTAAAATGGATTATGAACGGGAAGATATTTATTTCATTAGTTGTATCCATCAGTATTTTTTTATTTAATATATTAATTTTAAGGGAATATGAGTTTCTCCTTGTGGGCCTATTTTCGTAATAATCCCCAAAAACGCTGTGCGGGGTGGCATTATCGTCTTCCTGCTCGGCGCCTCTCCTCCTGTCCACCGCACCAGTCTCTCTCTCTCTCTCTCGCTCGCTTAAGGTTGGGCAAATGCAGGTTTAATTTCTGATATCTGCAGGGATTTCCACAAAATGCCGCAAGCTATAGGAAACAAGACCTTGTTTAGAAACGCGTTTCCGAGATTCCACGGTAATTCCTCCGTTTTTTCGTGTTCTTCCTTCTTTTTTTCCAGTGACGATCCTGCTTAAACATATTCATTTAAATTTAGTTTACGCATAAAAAAATCCTGATATCATGGCACCAATTCCCGAAAGCTTCGTGCATTTTAATCCATCGTAAAACCTAACTGTCGCACTGTATCTTCTTTCCAGGTAGCGCATGTGGAGTTATACAATGCTCTGTATTTTTTTCATTTAATCCGGAATTTTGTATGATTTTGATCTGATACATTTACGACGAGATATTTGCCGCAATTTCTTGCGAAGAAAGCCAGATGATGTCCAGAGTCGTAGAGTTTTATTGATGGATGGTTTCCCGCAATTTTTTTAAAATAAAATGATATAAAAAAGAATCAGAAGACAAAAAGTGCGGAAATCTGCAGATCCTATGTCTGAAAAAAATCGAGGATCATAAATAAACGTTATCGGGAAATCTGTGCATCCTCTCGATTACTTAACAGAGGCTAAATACTTGATGATAATCATAATCATCATCATAATCGTAGTCTGTTGAGGCAATCTGTATTTTCTCTGGGGAAATGTAGAATGGATCATCTCTGAGGAAACATCCAAGTGCCACTGTTTATTATCCTCCAGATTAGCTGCCAGTCTCACCATATTAATTCGCATGCAAAATTATTTAGCCAACTCAGTCTCACCATATTTTTGCCCTTTTTATCTTATATGGGTCGCTGAATTAGAAATCTGTGTTGACTTTTAGGCTGAATTCGATTAAGTCAACTTCTCATATCCCTGAATCTTGGAGTTCACCTTTTCGCCTTTCCCTGCAGACAGGTTCTTTGTTCCAAGTCAACGCTTGAGACATCGGCCGGCATCAGTAGCATCTTTCTCATGTTCTCTGCATCTTTTCGACGCTCCACAGTCCCCACACAGTGATAAACGCCCAACTCAGGTAGGTGCCATTCCATTTCCCTTCAAATCTTTCTAATTTTGGCCGTCTTCATTTATATATACGTCAAGAAAAATGGTCCTAATAATCTAATAATCTAGTCGATATTAGACCTAAAAATCTAGTCGAAATCATGGACCAGATTCAAAAATTGCCAGCAGATCAGTTTCGAGTCAGAACAATCCGATTTCCCAAGAACTTCGGGTTTCTTATTTATATAATAAATGATAATGCTCTCTGGAGAACAGATTAGAAAAAAAAGGATTTCCTGTTGTTGCCATAAAAATTACCCATGCTCATACAATAATCAACGACACAGTGTGAACTTGCTGCGATTAACTAATAATAACGAGCATTTTATGTTGATATCATACAGAGAATATACCTGCTATGAATTTCTCATGCCCTTACATTTTATTTATCTAGCTCAGTAATTTAAAAAAGAACAGTATGAACTTACTATCATCCACTAAGCATTAATTATCACAGTGTTACAAAGCCTTCTAGAGAAAAAGAAACTAGATCAGAGATGGAATATGGCTGCCATCAGCATCCCATGCCGACGGATTTTATTTATTTCACACAGTTATGAACACAGTGTGAGCCCGTTAACATTAACCAGAAAAATTGAGATCCCTCTTCCTCGGTGGAACATGAATCCAGATCACAGCAGTCGGCAGGAGGAGGTCCTACTTCCAGTCAGACACCTACGTCCTGTTGGAGCCGGGCAAAGGGGAAGAGTTCATCTCTGAGGAGGAACTGAAGGTGCGGTTGAAGGATTGGCTGCAGAACTGGCCCGGAAATAATCTGCCCCCTGATTTGGCCAGGTTCAAGACCATCGACGATGCCGTTGACCATCTTGTGAGATCTGTCTGTGAGCTTGAGATCGATGGCGAAGTGGGCACCGTCCAGTGGTACCAAGTTCGACTGGAATGAAGATGATCTCAGATATTCTTGGACAGAAGGATTTTGGATCATATGTATGGTATTATTTATGATCCAGTCGTTTTATTCTTTTGACCCTTTTGCCTTTTTGGATCGAATAGTTGACTTATATGGTTTTTGTTGTTGGGCTGGGTCAGCTTGGAGACCAGCTCGGCCTGTTGCTCTCTCTTTCTCTCTCTCTCTCTCTCCGTGATCGAATAGTTGACTTTAAAGGGTTTTGTTGGGCTGGGTCAGCTTGGAGACCAGCTCGGCCTGTTGCTCTCTCTCTCTCTCTCTCTCTCTCTATCTGTGTAAGTGGAAGGGGGTGGGGGGCAGCCTTGGGACCTAGGAAGTTGTATATGTGATCAACGGAAACCAGAATCAAGCAGAAGCCATGAAATATAACAGAGTGTCCGATAGAAGAGGAAACTTTTTCTAAGATAACTATCGGGGTAGAGAGAGGAGAGAGAGAGAGAGAGAGAGAGAGAGCTGTCCATTCACCTTGAAGAGTGCCCAACGGCCAGATCTCCAATATTTTTACCAAGAAATGGCTGGTCTCCCTTAGTCAGCGAGAAGACCAATATGGGCCCACCCAGGTGACGTGGCTAATTACCCCACACATCCTCTCGATGGAGCACCAGTAAGATTGACGGCATTGTAATTATCAATAATCTAATGTCATGGTTATCGATAACTATATTAATAATATTCTTATCATCACTAAGCTATTCACACACTAAAATGACCCATTAATACCCTGCTTTGATTATGCTACATTTTTGATAAATAATTATTAGTGAAAATGATTTCACAATAATATTTGAGTTTACATCATTATGGTCCATGAGATAAAAAATATTATGATATAATATATGGGTTGCATTTGGGATTTGTTGTAATTTTATTTTATTTATTATCTAAATATTTAAAAATGTGAAGATACACAAAATTGATGGAAAATATGATTACTATATAATTATCCTTTAATTTAATATATAAAAAATGGAGAATATTAAATATATTATCAAAGATAATTCACAATATATTTACATTGAGCTTTTCCAAAAGCATATAGAATCATTGTATTTTAAAATAATTTTCTTTAAAAATAGGTTTTAAAAAATTGGAATTTTCACAACCAAATGTAATATATGGTCCATTAATGTCCAGCATTTAATATGCCAAAGGGTGTAAGTTAATTGCTGGGCACCTCCGGCCTCCCGGTCTGGAAACCCGGTTCAGTAGAGGTTCCGGTCGAACCGGAGAACCCGGTTCAAGCCCCAAACGAAGAACAACCGTGCTATGGACAGCTTCTGCTGGAGCAATGGAGGACGGAGGAGAGGGGCGGGGATCCTCTGGTATTCGCGGCCCCGCTTCCTTCACGGTGGAGGAATGGAGGGGTTCTTCCTCCTCCAAGCTCACCAGAACAGCCGTCATCACCGCTGGCTCCTCCTCGCTCTCGCTTCGAAGGTCCGTCGCCCCCCGGTCTTGGATTTCTCCCCTCTCCCTCATCACCACCTCTGATTCCGGCTGCCGCGAGGTCGCAATTCCGTGGACTGAAAGTTAAGTTTCAGATCGGGAAGCCGATGGGGCGAATTACGGAGGAAGATCGTCGAGGCATTCATTCCCGAGGTATGTGCGGTCGATTAGAAGTGGTTACGTTCTCCGATGGCTCGTTTGCTTCAGTCCACTTCCCGTGTCGGTTTTGCGTTCTCTATTTTTACATTTCTTAAAATTCCCCATGTGGCATAGATATACATATTTATTTATTTTCTCAGTCTCAGAAGCTGTGGTGACTCGAACCTTTGTTCCCTCTTCATCGTCAATGCGAAGCTTGTGAAGTCCTTCATATCGTGTCTCGGATAAATTATGGAACATAATTTTCCCTAAGAAATTATGGATCATCTTCTAGGACATAAACACAAAGGCGGGGCTTCCTTTAAAAAAATATTTCGGGAAACTGCCTTCTGCTTCGATATTCTCATTCTTCATAACACACTCGAAGGAAACTTTAATCAATATACTTTAATTTTTTAGTCGGTTTTTTATTTCATGATACCCTTTTTTTGTGCACCTAATTCAAATATCCTGGTCATGCACCACGTACATCAGGCAGCAAAAAACGTCAGATTTTTCTGATTTTTTAAAATGATTATATTTTATTTTCTTGCGTCTTGTTGTTGGTTGAGTTGGTCGATATGGTTTACGAGGAGACGGGGAATCAAGACTTTTATCTATATCCTTCTTCTTTCGAATTCTTCTCCTTTTGTCTGTGGTGATAGAGGATCCATGAAATCTCATAGCTTTGTAATGCAGGGGTTTCCTGACAGTGTGACTAGCGATTATCTTCCTTTTCAGATATGGGACTCATTGCAGGTGATGTTTCAATCTTTTTTTTCTTGGTCTTGTTGAAATGCAGCATCCTGTGCACTAAAATTTAGATGATATGACTTTAGGGGCTTTCTACTTATATCCGCTCAATGCTTTCCACTCAAGTAAGTCCTGAACCAACTCTTCACGTTATTGAAGGCTCAATATGTAGTTTTGGATATTTGTCTTTGGTTTCTTTGAGATATCATCTTGTGTGTTTGCTCTATAGGCTTTGTTGAGTGCTATTGGTGTTGGTGAGAAATCTGCTACTGTTCTTGGTGCTACATTCCAGGTATGTACTTTCGGTCTACCAGTTTTTTTGGTCAGATTCATCCTTTTCATGGTATTCAGCTTCTCACCTCCCTCATACAGTTAGGTCAAGACATATCAGATGATAAAAGAATTCAGCCTTTATATTTCCCGAGCCTGTAGCATATTTTGATAGAAACATTTTTTTTGGATGCGCGAAAACTCTAATCATTTTCTGTTGATCGCAATACCGATAACCAGATCTAGAAACCCATACCATGTGTATCATATTGGTGACACGGATCTGATGATGAAGCACGAGCCAGTGAGTACGTGATGTGAGAAGAAAAAAATCCAAGGTTCCACTTAAAGAAGTTCTGAGTTGGGCGGAAAGAATATAAAGGCGTGAGAGGAAAGTAATGAAAATATGAGAAGCACTATGGTATTCCTTAAGATCAGTATGTATTAACATCAAATTTTTCATGATGCACCCTGGAAGAAAATTGCTTCAATTCTTGTGATTAACATTAATGTTGGAGACATTTACTGCAAGTAGATCGCCTACACCACGACAGGAGTACCTGAGCATATATGGCCGTCTGAAAATATTTCATCATCCACTGAATAATTTTCTTCGCTGAAACTCATGTATTACTAGTACTTTTTAAGAAATAATGTGGGAACATGACATATAGATGATGGATAATAGAATTTTTGTGCTGTCTAATGAATAAAGATACTCAGCGTCATCCTATGACAAAGGTTACTGTGTTTCCCCTCGAAATTATCTCCATATCCTGTAGGTGAAGTATCCACGCTTTTAAGGAGGGCTGATAAAAGCTGACGAGACATTGATGTGCTGGGTCCGTACCATCGAAAAGATTTTGACTGCTTTAATTTCAAAATAGTCGATATGTGCATGATGATGACATGAAAATTAAAGGTACTTGGATTTTAGTTTTCTGGAAAGTTTGCGAGTAAACCGTAATTACTGATTGAGACTGGGGAACGTTGAGGAATATGAGAGTTCAGGGTGAGAAAACGAATACTACAGCCTGAAACGATTCTCTAATACCGATTCCTGCTGAAGAGCAGACCTGATTTCCAAACCAAAACCATTATCATTCTGATTTGTGTTTGCAGTATTGGTAAGAAAAAAATATAAACACAGTGCCAGACCTCGGAGCTACAGAGGTCACCACTTTTATTGTTTTCAGTCTGATGGTTTGGTCTTCAAGACACTATGTGGAACAATTCTGGAAGCGAAAGTAAAGATTTGGGGTCACTATGATTAGATGCGTCACTAAATTATAGCTGCTGAGATGCGAACATGGAGTGCCCTTTTCCCTTGGCGCACGCTACACACCTTCTGTTCGTATCTCAGTACATATAATTTAGGACCTAATTGATCATGAATTGATGGCTTTACCTCGCTGTTGTAAGAATTTGGGTGTAAGATATCTCATTTGGGAGGAATAGTATTTTTTCTTCATGGTTCATTTGCACCTCTTCTTTGGGAAGCAGCTTGGTATCTTCTCTCTTGAATTTTATTTTTTCTACCTTGGTATCTTCTAATGTGTAGAATCTTACCAGTGGTTTTTGAGGGATTTCACTGGGATGCTTGGTGGTATCTTATTCACCTTCTATCAGGTAATTAGTCTTTATTTGACTGTATGTTTTATCTTTCACATTGCCCCTGAACTTTTTGTATGTATGGCCTTCTAAGTTTCATATTTATTTGTCCCATGAAAATCGTTGAAACTTTTATTTACTCTTATATAAAAATAGGACACAGTAGCAACAGGCGTATGGACTAAAAGTTCTGTTAATGAAAGTCATGTACAGTCCCTGGTGTACAATCCATGTGTTTTCAATCTTCTACAAGAGCTTGCATAAAACTCTTAATCTTTCATTTGATTTTTTTCCCTCTTATGATGCGTACCTTCATTGCAATTATTTTTGCTTATTTTTCCTTAGCCATTGATTTCATATGGAACATCAAATGTAGCTCAATATTTTACAGCTTTAAGCCTTACAGACTTTAGGTTTTGATATTTTTCCTTTCATCGTTTTTTTGATGAATAGTCAGTTCTCTTCTCTTTCAGGGTTCTAATCTTGATAGCCATGCCAAGATGTGGCGCTTAGTTGCAGATTTTATGAATGACATTGGTATATTCTTCAATCTTTTCATCTGTATAGTTATTTTAATTGTGTGTACCTGTTTTTTTAATAAATTTTAGTATTAATGAATATAACTTATATTTTTTTCGATCCTCATTAATCTAAAGCAAAGAATTCACGGTTTTGCCAGCTATTCCTCTGCTTCTCGGGAGCTTGAATTTATGAAATATGAATTTTGAATTAAATGAGTTTCAAGAATTCAGATGATTGAACATTTGTGTTGGAGAAAATATGGTCACGTGAAACAGTAGAAAATCTTAAACTCTGTTGTCATTTGATCGTCAAATTTGCCAATGGAAGTTTAAATCTTTGTGGGTTTTAAATCAGTGCCGGTGGTGCTAACTTCAAAACGTTGCATATTTCATATATTCTTACAACCGAAAATTCGAATTTACTATGAGACGTGCCGTTGGGAATTCTGATTATTCCCCTGCCGACAAGGGGGTTGTCTGTGGGCAGGCATCTAGACTAGAATTATTACCCATGACAGTGGTCCATAACAGGAGAAATACAATATCCATCCTAGCAAGGCCTGAGCTCAAATTAAGCTAGACAGACCTCGCGCTACAACATTAAACAATGCGACGTTTTTTAACTGTCAGTGATCCTTCTTGGGTAGACCTAAGGTTGGCAAAAAATATTGTCTCCTCGTTAACGTTATGGTCGCATCCTTAGGAACTTGCTGGGCCCAGAGAGACACTGTAGCTTGTTGAAAGCCCTTATGTGCCCCAGGCTTTATACACTAACTTTTCCAGCTACTATTTGAGGTGTCTGAGATCATGATTTATTGTGCTCTTAGCTCCATATTCAGTTGACTCTGAGTTATTCTGTTACTAATCACTTTCTTGACTTAGAACCTTAGTGATGATATGCACTTTCCTGTAAATTTAATCATTTTGATTACTTCTCTATGTGTTTCCCCTATCAGACGTCTGCGAAATTTCTTACCGCATTCCTTTGATTTGGCTGCAGGAATGCTGATGGATCTTATTTCTCCGTTATGGCCCTCTGCCTTGATTGCTATAGTTTGTCTTGGGAGCTTGTCAAGATCATTCAGTATGTCCTATCTATTCTCATCACCCTGAAAGCTTACACGTTCTCTTCTGCTGTGAAGATTTCCTTTATCAGGATATTTTAAGAAATAAATACTGAAGTATTTTTTCTTTCATTTTATTTACTGGGCTGGATGTGACAAGCGACACCTACGAAAGTCGAAGATTTCTCGGATATTCCTTGTAGCTCATTGTACTTTTGATAAGTAAGCTGTATCGTGCTTTCTTCAGGGGAAAAAAGCCAGTAACCTAGCCTTCCTGAAATCAGTTTTGGATATGCCGCAGTGAGATCCCAATTGATTTATAGAAACTGAGATGATATTTCTTAGGTTCTGCTTCTCATTTTTATTTCTATGTCAGTGATGATGAGAGGAACCTACATCTTGAAGTTTGAAAAATTCCTTCCAGAGACATCTATCTGCTTGGACTTACCTAGTTTCATGAACCAACTGCGGTATCTGGTAAAATTATTTAAAAGCTGTCCTCCCTGCGAACTTTTCGTTTTAGCTAACCCTCAGTCTGAGTTCCTAATTTTGTAGGAAAAGGGCAAACATATATGTCATTATTGACGGTTTTGGTGAGAAAAAGATAATTTTCAATTATGAATATTGTATGCACCCTAATGGGACCAGCAGCTATGAAGTGCTCTGGAACCGTCATCTAATTTTCCAGTGGGGCGAATCGCACCCAGTACACAGCTTTGAAGTGAGTGCCCATGCAGGAACTAAGCTCTGCTCAGGCTGTTGTCTTCTTCTGAGTCCCTACTTAGTATTTGATAAGAAACTTATACATAAAGCCCTCATAACAGTCTCTGCTCCAGTTGGGATGATGTGGTGGATATTGGAGCTTGTTCTCTGGTCACAATACCTCAACTATTTTTCTTGTATTAGTTTATTTGCCCACTTCGTATCAAACTCACAGATCATGAGCTACATATATTTTTACTCAGCTTTGAAAGCAAAAAAAAAGCTTGACTAGGCGCCTTCTTTTGTCCTAACCCCTTCGTCTCACGTCCATGATTAGCTGGTGTTGCTAGTGGAGCGACCAGAGCTGCTTTAACCCAACACTTCTCCCTCGAGAACAATGCTGCAGATATTTCTGCCAAGGTCTGAGGAGAATTTCCATTTTCTGACAAATCCACCACCGAAATATGATGAACATGCGCGCATTAATTGGCCCATAAACGCTTTCGGAAATTTGGCAGGAGGGGAGCCAGGAGACGGTTGCAACAATGGTGGGTATGGCATTAGGGATGCTCCTTGCTCAGGTTACAAGGGGGCGGCGTCTGGTCATCTGGCTCTCCTTCCTTTCCTTGACTGTATTTCATATGTTCGGTGAGTGATCCCCATCCAGCCGTCGGATATGATCCATTTTCTGTACTTTCATTGCACACATCATAATTTAATTGAAGCATGTGGATTTACTAATCATGGAGAAAATATTTAGTCAAGCACTGTACATTTGTCTTGCTCCTTTCCAGCAAACTACATGGCCGTTCGATGTCTCTCCCTGACGACGCTGAATGATGAGAGAAGCTGGTTGCTCCTGAAGCATTTCATGAAAACAGGAGAAGGTAATGCTTCAGATTCTTGAGCTTAATTTTTTCAAAGATGGTGTGGTCGCATGTTGGTTAGTGGGGAAGAAATTTCTGCGAAGTATAGGCATATAGATTACAACTGAGGTTAGGACCAAGCTAGAAGAGCCCTCCTCTCTGCCAGAAGGAGCTGTAGGAAGAAGCCTGAGCAGGAGAAGGACTCTGTCACCTGGTGCTGAAGGAAAGAGCAGTCACTCTCTTTGTCACTGGCCAGCGGGAGAGGAAGAGGAAGTAGAAGAAAACGGCAGAAGAAGAATAAGAAGGCGGCTAAAGGAAAGAGTAGCCATGCTCTCTGTCACCGTCGTAGGGTTTGCCCTTCCCCATGATAAGTGGGGAAGGTGGGTAAAAATGTCTATTTTGCTCATGAAAGAAGACTAATGCCTGAGGGTGTTAGTATCTTTCGGAGAATGCCACCCCGTTCCCTTGGTTCACAACGAGGAGGTAATACAAGGCATTAAGAGTCCTTCACAAAGTAAAAGGACCCAAGGCAGCCCATTTTAGACACCAAAAACAGTCCATTTTAAGAAACCCAAGCCAGGGTTGATCCCAAGATCAAACTAGAAGTCACACTTGTGAGAAAAAAAAACCTTTTAACACCAGTCCGCGGGCTTAGTGATTTAGATCTAATGTAGACTTATGCAAGCCTCGTACTCAGTAGTATAGAGCCAATAAAACCCTATGTCGCCCTCATGTCCAGTGGCTTAAATCAATAAGACCTAGAGTGAACTTGGGTCCAATTAAGACTTTAAACATGCCAAATTTGATAAATGTATATAGATGAGCTTCATCCCAAAAATTTGGCAAATGGACCACTTCTCATGAAACATACTAAAGTAGGTATCATCTCATAATTATCTCCAAGTTGGGCTTATTCCATAGTCATGAAAATTGCATGATCTACAAATGAAGGCATTCACTTTATAATTTTTTTGAATGGGCTTCATGTTATAGAGTCATAAATTGAGTCTATCCTATAAATTTATTGAAAATGCTTCGTCCCATGAATCGCAAATGGGCTTCATCATACAATTTTTTTGAATGAGTTTCATACTGTAAACTCGTAAATGTGGTTTCATTCCACAAATCACAAATGAGCTTCGTGCTAAGGACTTCTCGGATATGCCTCATCTTACAGTCTCTCAAATGGTCTTTCAGTTCCATGAATCATAGGTCGGCTTCATCAACAAGACTTGGTGAGTGAACTTTATCTATTCCATGGACACCAAATGAGTTATATATCCCAAGAAATTCTCAAATAGGTCTCATTCTAAAAGCTTGTCAAATGAAATTCGTCAGATAAATTCAACAGTGAATGGGTTTTATCTCAAAATCTTGTTGAATGGGTCCTACCTTGTGGGCACTCAAACACATTACATCTCATAAACCATAGAGGGGGGTTTATCCCAAAAGCCATTCGAATATTTTCATTTCAGACATTGCACATATAGACAGAACTCTAAAATTTTATATCTAAATCTGTTTTATCTGACAAACTCTCATAATGTGTTTATCTTTTAAACGGGAGGACTGAGATTTAAACTCCTAATGAACTTCATTCCAGAAATTTTGAAGGGCTTGTGAGCCTCATCCGAATTTGTACATGGTTCATTGATTTTTGAATTTTTTGAATTTAGTGATATTTTATAGTAGATAAACAACGATGTTATTTAGTTAAAGTGGTTGTAATTTAAAAAAGGCTCTGATCAGCGGGCAAGATCCCAATCTGTACTGATCCAGAAAGCAAAATCGATCAAAATGGGCAAATTCCTTTGAAAATTAAAGCCTGGTTTCTGCCCTTTCAAAAAATAGGGTTCATATTTCTAACCGCCTTCTGCCCTTCTTCTTGCCCCATAAAAGTCCTGTCACCACAACAGGTCTCAGCAATGGAGCACGTATTCCCCATCTGGGCAAGCTTATGGAGCTCGGCGCCAGAGTTTCTCCACAAACGCGTACGCTTGGGCATCAGAGTTTCCTCTCTGAGCCACTCTGATGCGTGAGCAATCCTCACATTTTCTTTGATGTTATATCTCATACTACATTACTTGTCCAAAGTGGGTGACTGGCTTCCGATCTCTTCGAATCAATCAATACCGGACAGGATGGAGCTCCAGAGCCTCTCGAGTTCTCACTACCGGAGAGGTCCTTCTCCGATCTCAGATCCTGAATTCTCGGAAGAAAGAAAGATTTCTTCTATCTCACGTGGTTTAGCTGGAATTTTGTGTCGATTATTATTTTGTTCAGAGAAGTATCTTCTCCTGGAGAGAAAAGGGTGGATCCGCGTGGTCATGCACAGGCGATCTACGCCAGGAGACGTTCTGCAGTCGTTCGTCCACGGGCTTGTGGTGGCGAGACTGGCGAATGAATCGAAGGCTTTGCATGCGGAGAGCTGTCAGTGGATGAGCAGATACTACCCGGTCTTCATCAGCAAGGTCTGTAATTATTTCTAATCCCTGTTCCTTTTCAGTAACCACAGATGTTGACCATGCCACCATAACCTCATGTAGCTAGCATCAATCTCTCTCTCTCTCTCTCTCTTCTCTGTCTCTCTATCTCTCCTCTCTCTATTCGAATGGGTCTGGCTTTCCAGTACATGGGCTTCGGCCTAGCCCATCATCACCCCCCTTGACTTTCTGGCCTTACCCTTCATAAATTCTCATCAAATTGGTCGCCAATTACTCTCACCATAACCAAGCCCTTGATCACTTTTCTAGCTACCCCTTTCGTTCACAACATGCTTATCCATTTTGATTCGATAATCTCAACCAGCCCATGGATCTGAATCAAGGGTCGGTTCGGTTTCTCCGTTGACTTGATGGGCATCTTCCGATCTACAGCTTCAGTCGTTGGGATGGAGTACAGAGCGGCTGCTCTCTCATTCGATCATCTGGAGGGCTGACTGGGTAGTCGACTCGTCGGGTGACAAGCTCGAGTAGGTGAAGTCAACCCACCCCGCCTGCTATGATGCTCGGTGAATTGGCGTCGAAGGTGGAATATTCTGTTCCTTGGGCCGTGATGGGGGGGGGGCGCTTTGTTTATTTATCAACGGAATGATTTCGGTCGTAAAGGGTCTGACGGCAGGCTCAGACCTCTCCGCTCTTGTTTTTGTACTTGGTTAGAGAGAGAGAGAGAGAGAGAGAGAGAGATGATTGGGTGTATTACTCTTTCATGTCCACATCCCAAACTCTTTTCACCGATCATGGATGTATGCTTTCATCACGTGGCCGTATATATATATCTCTCTCTCTCTAAAGAGACTAGTTGACAGATGTATTCCTCGGACCCATGTCTCTGTCTCTCTCTCTGCCATCTCATCAAACTAGAGGCCCTTTGACTGACATGGTCGGGCATTATGAATTGACCGTTCTCTCTCCTCGGTTCTTTCACTAAAACAGACCTTTTAGCTGACGTAGACGGACGGATTCCTTGGACGTGGCCGAATCTCTCTCTCTCTCTCTCTCTCTCTCTCTCTCCACTGACTTAGCCGTTTTCCTTGGATGCTACGTCTCTCTCTCCCTCTCCTTCACTGTCAATATACAATTCTCTCTCTCTCTCTCTTTCTCATCTCTCACTCTTATCCCAAACCTAGTTCAGTCCTGTTCCTACGAACTCCACATGCATCCCCGCCGAAAAGCCGGGATTTCCCCACCTAACTTAGCCGTCTGGAAAACCAGTTGGGTATCCAACCTGCTCCTTTCTCTCTCTCTCTCTCCGCTCTGAGTCCTCTTCTGGGCCCCCATCTCCGCTCCCATGCCCTCACTGTCCGCCAGGAGACCAATAGAATCTCTTTATCGATCATTCAGCACACAAACCCCTCCACTGAAACATAAATCACCCATTTATAGGCCACTATCCACATAACACCATTAAAGCTAAGGTTAGGCTGCTTCTAGAGAGAGAGCGAGAGAGAGAGAGAGGGAGAGAGGTGAGCGTAAGGCTAATCTTCTGTCTACCTTCACTCATCAGCACTCCTCGATTCAGGGATTAACAATAACAAACAAGTACAAAGAGGAAAATAAAACAATCCACATACCTTTGGGGGCGCGCTCAGTTCTTCATCTCGCTCCTGGGTTTGCTCTTCCTTAGGAGAGATGCCCACTTGCCTTGGGATTCAAGCTCCCCCATGAAAACCTAGCTTGCTTAGCTGAGAACCAGAAGAGGCATCACCAAAACCAGATGACCCACAGGCCATGATTCCAACAAAACAGGAGAAAGAAAGATCGAAATTAACAGCAAATTTCCCCTTCTTTCTATTTATATAAGGAAGTGGGCAATGATATTATAATGCATATATACAGTTGATTACACCCTCATCCCAGAAAAAAAAGGAGAAAAGGGAATTGATAAAAAAGTGGGCACCAAAAAAAAAAAAAGAAAAAAAAAAAAGAAAACCCTCAAACCTCCATTCAGCCACCCTCTTTCTCCCCCCCCCTCCCCTTCATTCCCTGCTCTACGTGGAAGATGGGAGTTTCAGTGGATGAGGAGGTCAACTGGTGGACTAAAGAGAGAGGCATGTTGCCGCTTCAGGAAGGTTTCCAGATATTAGGAGGCCAGTAACATATCTCTGAGGAAATATCTTCCAATGGGAATGGGGGGCAGTCTCTGGAGCTGAGGATCCCCTGACGGCTGATTCAACCTGACCTCGGCCATGGAACTTGGCGAAGCGGTTGATGATGGAGAACCTCTCTAAGTCCTGGCTCTCGATTCTCACATCTAAAATCGCTGCGCTCTTCTCCAATCTGAAAGAAGAAATATGAGGAGATCAGCACAGAAGATGAACCTCCATTCAACCACAAGAGATCAGTATTACTAGAGAATCCCTTGGGTGTGTATTAAACCTGATATTCCAAGGAAAACAATACAGATGAAGATAAATCATTGCACGCATACCTTGTAGTTGTACAAAATTATTGCATCAGCTACTGATATTGTTCTCACAATTTTCATGATGATTAAATTTATTGTCACTAATGTAGACAAAAATAATAAACAAGAATGATACGATATAATAGAATTAATCATTATATACAGTGCCATTTAGTGGTTCATATTACATTTTCTGGTCACTCTGTGCAACTTTTTTCTTCAAAACCCCATCATAGATGAGTCTACAATAATCCTCTTAACAATTACCACAAGTTCTGTAAGGCGAAAATGTGAAGGGGTGATCTGATGGCCAGATAAGTTTAAGAACATCCTTCTCCACGAAGTTTGATAAATTGAAGCGCTTAAATTGAACAGCCTTAATGCAGAGATAATTTAGCATCGGCTCAGAAAGTAATAAGAAGATAGAATAAAATTATAGGGAAAAGTTATTTCCCTTGATTTCAAATTACAGAATTTCTCCTAGGACACATACCTTTGTAATTCTCTTTCCAACTTGCTTGCTCTTCCAAGAAATTTTTCTGCAATTTCTTGAAAGAAGTGCACTCCAACACTGCCAGTATTATTTAAATTCTCGGATAACCTGGAAGGATTAAAAAAGGGAAGTCACTTTGAAAAGAAAACATTGTTATAAGATATAAAACTGAAAAAATGCACGTGATATGTGATCATTAATAAAAATAAAATTCTAAATTATATCTATCGTTATATAATCATAGATTAAGTGAACCTCCAGATACAACGAATTTCAGGATCAAAATGTAAAAAATGAGAATGCTTACGTATTTATATCGTCATATGGGACATGAAAGATGCTTCCTAAGTGAGAAACACCCATGCATGCTTCTCTTAATGTTAATTTAGTAACTAGGTAAGTCACAGTCTCATATTCTGAGGTGGCATTGGCTGCCAGTATTCTCGACGGTACAGAAGGAAGTAATTGCTGCATTAGTTGTGTAGTCAAGATAAGTCTTCTTCTTGCTGGAGGCAAAGACATTCCGTCTTCATTCACTGGAGCTTCATCATTGACCTGATGATATATTTAACCATTAACATCTTGCCACATTGCATAACTACTGAAAGGGCGATGATATATTTTATGCAAGTTGTGAATGACTATGAACGGACCTTCTCAATCAACCTATTTGAAGCTTGTGCCCAATCTAGTTCTGCCATGCTGTTAATGAGAAAATATTTAGGAATAGATCACAAAATAAAACAAGGAATGAATCGGCATTTGGCTGTCAAGTTAATAAAAAAATAATGAAACATTGAAAATATGGCATTGGAAGACAGCTCAAAGATATATATTCGGTTTATCATAATCACCTGATGCTGCACAACTTCTTAGATCCCTCTGTGATTGCCTTGCTCCATGGTAGAAGATCAGACGGCGAAGTTTTACGTTTCTTCAGTCTTGGGACTAAATTATGATCAATGTCATTTGAGGGCATGTAATTGGGGAAAAAAGATAGCTCATTTGCAGCAGTGGTAGAGCAACTTTGCCAGGCATTGCCAACCTGACAAGAATCATCTTTCTGCTGTGTAGTAGTAGGGTTAACTACCTCAGAAGCATTTGACAACAAGTACTGTCTGGCAGAAGGTATTTCAGTCTTGTGTTGGCCATACAACCCATTGTACATCGATAAAATCTGACTGTTTTTTAATTTTCCATATTTCTCAAACCAAGATGGGGCCATCCGTGGATCAATCTGCCTAGGCTGTTTTACTCCTACCAGAGTGGACATAAAAGTTCTTTGGAAACCATCAATCCCGGCATTAGCAGTATCTTGAGAATAAACCTCACTGAGAGCGAGTTCAGAACTACTTACCAAATGCCGGTTACCATTAGCTTCTGTTGGGAAACATAACATTTTTTCATCTGAGGTTAGTGAACTCTGCTGACCAGTTGCACGCAATTCATTATCCAAGGGAATTTGACTTGTTTTATTATAATTATAGATAAAATTCTGGGACAATTTCTTAGCCATCTGCTGAGCATCAACACTGGCATCAGCTCTTTCAAGTCTCTTGCCATAATGCTCGCTTGAATCTGCTTCTACGGCTCTCATAGCCTGCAGTTGTTCCAGAAGAGCATAATTCTGATCTTGAACAGCTGGTGCATTAAAATTACGAACTAAACCACCAATATCAGAGCTAGAAGAGGTAGCGCTCAACAAGGAAGTGTGTTCTGTTTTCTTATCAATGTACAAATCCACCCCACACTTTGGCTTACCAAGATCTTGCTGATATGACTGTATCATGGATGGCATAGGTGCAGAAGAATTTCCAACTGATGTATGTCTTGGCGTGCATTCTTCTTGCAGTTTGGAGGAACTAGCTGTTCGTGAAACTTCCTCCAAAGGCAGAATTTGCTGCAAGGACTTGTCTTTCCCTACTTGGTTTTCATTATATCTGAATTGTGGAGAATTAACTGCAGAAGTACCAAACTCCGAGGTAGTTTCTCTCCTGTTATTACCTTGATCATCAGGCCTTTGCAACGTCCAGAAATTCATGTCCGAAATACTAGAGTTTACAGGCTGAAGCAAATTAGCGCCCTTGGTAGGCACATTACTAGAAAATTTTTGCTTCACTGACACATTAGTCCACACATTTTGCAGCATCGCTGAGAAAGCCCCCTTCTGATTCACGGTAGGTGTCACAGAATGTTGTGATGCCGACTGCATCTGTGACCTATCAGGTGTTCCGCTTAATCTTCCCAAGTGGGAAGTTGCACCAGCCGGCATCTGAGGTTCAACAATATTACTAGAGTATGGAGGTAACATCACAGGTGAACGAGTACCAAAAGAAGATTCAAGCTTTGGAGCAGGAATCAGACCAGCGGAAGCAGGCAATAATTGACGATCAGATTGATCAACCACAGTTTTACCAAGCTTGGTTTCATTATGAAGATCATCGAGTCGTCCAACGCACATAAGACTTCTGTTGGAGGCATCTTCATCAAGTTCATTCCCATAAGGCATATCTCCTGATTGGTCTCTAGTCACATTTCTTCCGGAAGCTGAGGCTTGCTGGCGTTGCTGCTTTTGCTGCCATTGTTGGCATTGCTGCTGCTGCCATTGCTGCGATTGTTGTTGTTGTTGCTGGTGTTGCTGCTTTTGCTGCCATTGTTGCGATTGTTGTTGTTGTTGCTGGTGTTGCTGGTGTTGCCGCTGTTCCAACTGATTTCTAGAGCAAGAAAATGAACCAGACATTGATGGGGAGTTCACTTGCGCATTGGATCGTGGGCTTTCCTTACTTGGCAGACCAGACAAGTTAGACCTGCTATCCCAATTATCTCTAGGAGATGATTCGTGCAATGGGGATGAGTTATAAATGGAAACCGGAGATGCTGAATGCGTCTGATTTTTCTCTCCCACTTCTGAATCGAAAAGCCTAGAACAATGATGATGGACATCTTGAGGAGATGAAGAACGGTTTACGGTTGACTGATGTTCTGATGGCAAAGCCAAGTGTAAACCAAATCCTTGCATGGTAGAAGGCTGAGTGCTCAGTAAATGAAATGTCATGTCAGAAGTAGTATCGACTCCCTCAGATGCCATACTATGATTAGAAAGACCAGAATGTGAAGCCGTTAAGTTTTCCCTCGATTGGTCTACCTTGTGAAGTAGTTCAAGCATATTGTGACTGCATTAAATGGAACCAGTTGTCAAAAACCAACCTCCCACCAAGTATCACAAGAAGAAAGACAGAACAATTTTGGCAAAAAAAAAAGAAAAAAGGCAATGGAAGGGTAAGAATAGTAGCTTAGTAGTGGTAATATAAGGTATCGAAAAATCTTATAAGACAGAAACACGCTTCGAGGATTACAGTGACAAACACTAAATGGATCACCTCATTTGACCACTTTTATTTTGTGCATGATTTGCAGCACCTTCTCCAGATATAGACGGAAAATTTCCTCTAAAATTTATCTCATCCGTTCCCTTTGCGTTTCTTTGTGAATAAAGAAAATTTTGCTGAAAAAGGAGAGCACACATTTTAAGTTGAGATTCTGGGCAAACAACAAACAATGATCAGAGCATATTATCTCCATTTACCTCATCCGCAGTCATTCTGATATCTGACCCAGCAAGGCCAGAAAACTGCGATCGTGCAATAAGATCAAGCTCCTGCCCTTCCATTCTAGAAGGTACTATCGGGGATTCCGGTGAATCAAACTGAAATCTGCGAGGCCCAGAATTTTTTTGATCAATCCGATTTATAGGGACTTTACTCCCACTAGCTAGCTGACCAGAGCCACTTCCAGAAAGCAAGAAATTTTCTCTCCCTGCGCCCTGGTGGTCATGAGGCTGAGCACGTTGTGGGTTATTAGACATGTAAACCGTGTCAAATACATCTTTCTGGAAGCCATTTTCCAATTTATTGTCAAAGGCTACGCCAACTACTTTCTCCGGTATATTCATAGAAGATTCCCACGCTTGAGGATCTTTGTTTGTTTGGAGCTGGTACCCATTGATATCATCATTTCCTCTAGATTTCACAGAAGAACCACCCGATATGACCTCCTCATGATCAGACTGATACCTGGAAAGGGACTGTTGATGTGCCTGCCGATTAAATTCTGAGTTCTTTGAATGCATGTCAACAAATTCCCGAACATAAGGATTTCCCGTTGGGCTCTGCCGGTTGTCAATCCCAGATTCTACCGTATTGAATCCACTAGTATGAAAAGAAAACGAAACAGATTTCAGACTCTCAACAGCTTTCATGAAATTTCCTTCCTCGTCTATTTGCATAAATTTCGCTCCTTCAGGAGAATTCACGTGGGAATGATGAACAGAGGTGCAATGATCATCTCTACCAGATCGTAGCAACTCATTGCTATTCCAAGTGTTTGTCTTCTTATAAGATTGCCTATCAACACTGTTTAATGGTTTATTTTGTTGACCAACCCAAGTGCCATCGAAATTCTGTTGACTTAACTTGGGTTCCACACATGTGGTGTGAAGCCGCTGCTCATCCAATTGTCCTACCCAAGCACAGGTAGAATTGTTTACGAAACGTGTTTGCGATCCAGTAGCACCCCCAATAATTTGTTTATGCGGTTGATTCTGTTGATAGCTGGCAGTGGTCTCTACACCTAGTCTCTCGCCATGATAATTCACAGAGTTCAAAGAAGATTGGTGGAACACTGCATTTGTGGGATTCTTTGAACTCGCATCTCCAAAATCTGATAATTGGAAGGGCCTTGAAAATGACGAATTCTGCAGATTGTCAACCCATGTGGTGCGCTGCTTTCCACCGTCAACAAGCGTTGTAGAGGCTTCAGCTACAGCGGTGGAAAGCTCTTTCTGCTGAGAATTCAATCCACTCCAATCATCCTGTAAAGCAGTGTCACTGGTAGAGGCTTCAGCTACAGCGGACTGCATCAAAGCACTCCAGCTGCCACTGTTGAAAGACGGGAATGTGCCGAAATAATCATTACCCTCCAGAGGACTTCCGTGGGAAGAACCTCCTGAAACTATGCTTGCATTCCTCCCAGCAGCCTCAACCCGAAAATTTTCTCCATCTGTGCCAAACAAGAGCTTTTGTTCTGTTGGATCCAAGTTTGTCATACCTGGGGATGATTCCACCGGTCCTACCTTCCCCTGCGATCCTCCTGACCAATCTGCTTGCCCTTGTCTACCTTGAAAGTCCTGAACTTGGATATTTCTTCCAACATAATTCAATTCCTCAGCATTCCTTAACATAACTCCATTATTTATGTTTTGGGTAGGAACCTCATAAAAAAAAGCTTTTCCTGGAAAACTCTGCTTAGCGCCAAGATCATCCTGCATCAAAACTGGCTCTGGAAACAGAGACTGCTCACTTTGAAAAGAGCTGAGAATTCCAGACTTCATTGGATATTTCTCAGCTTGGTTAGCAATAGATCTAGTCATCATATCAGCACGGTTACTAGATAAACCAGGAAATGGAGAAAACTGATGTAGGATGTTACTATTTCTCCTAATAGGTGTCCCATATAAAGACTGATCAGGCTGTTGCTGGACAGGTTCCGTTGACCTTGATACCCGATCCTGATTTTGAGTAAATCCAAATCCATTTTGGAGACCCTGCACAGGCATGTCCCCTCTTTGTTTTGTCCAATTCATGTTCCCAGCACTAGAGCTATGCGAAGTGGCTGGCATCTTTGACTCTCCTCTCACGTGTTCATTTTGCCATGAAAAGTTAGATGCATCATGAATGGGCATGCCATTTATCACCGAGGGTAATGTATCACCGCCTACCGGCTTTGCAACACCTAAAAACTGATTTGATGAGCTCTGCTGCCTCACTTCCTGATCTAATTGTTGAAGCTGTCGTTGCTTCTCAAATTCTTCGAGTTGCTTGTACCTTAGATATTTTTGCCAGACCTGCAAATCATTAATCCCTGATTGCTGCCTTGGCTGAGATTGTGACATACCTGGGTTCTGCCCCTTCATGAGCAATGCCTGATGTTGCCAACCAAGAATTCTAAAATCAAATAAGCCTCAGGTACTTTAGTATTTTCTGAATTTCTAGGTATTCATACTCTAGCTGATTTCCCTTCCACACTACATATTAATGGTGGCTATCAGGAATTATATCATCTGCCAGATTCTCTGACTCCTATAATCCTGACTGGATAAAAGAAGAGCCATCTGTCTAATGATCAGTGTTTTGAACATTTTTAAAATCCACTGTCAAAAGCCATTTAATCGAAGTTCCTCCAAAAAGCATTTCAGGACATCGCTTGTGATTTTCTCTCTTGGAATCTGTCAACGGAACAAGAGAGTAAAAAGTTTCGAAATTGAAGAAAAAAAGTATAAAATGAGTTATTGTATGTGTTCGTTAAGCAAGACTAGGAAGGTAAAATTCTGAAATGAGGAGACTAAACCCAAAAAGATAAATAAGAAAGCAATCAATTGCCGGAGAACAATACTTGATTTCATGGTTTTTTGGCTGGAATTTAGGGGCATACCATTCAACCATTTATTGCAAACCCACGAAATCCTGTTAATAACTGACCAGCGTCCACCAGTTCCAACTAAACACAAATGATCTTCTGATAAGTTGTCTAACTCAAAAAAATGGCGAACATCCTCTGCAACTGTGTTACCCGGCATAGACAAATTGACTTAAAAAAATCTGGAATCTATCTTCTTTCTAGGCAGGGAAAATCGTGCTCAAAAGCACTAACATCAAAAAGACCATCTAAGCTGATATAGAATCAGGGAAATCGCTACACTTATCTAACAATATTAAGCAATGAAACAGCTCCAGAACACCCTGAAAGTTGATAACTTCAACAGAAGCTGCAGCCTTAGACTATCCCAAACAAAAGAGGTTCGTCCTGCAGAAGTCATGTCCACTAAAATATGAATATAAATATAGAAATAATGAAAAGAATAGCAGGTTGATAGGAAAACTCTAGCAAATAGTCACGAGGCTAACACAAATTTAATTCACCATACTATCTGATAAGGCTCCACGCACATATGTTAGAAGGAAGAAGGCCCAAAGCCCAATAAGTCAATAATGGTTAGCATTATTGAGGGGAGGCACAGTTACGGCAAGGAGCAATATGACAAGGAGCAGTTATGGCAAAGAATGGTTATGGCAGGAGACTAACTGCCTAAATAAGAGAGAGAAAGGAAAGGATATAAAGGGGGGCGGATCAGGAAGGAGGGGAGAGGAGAAATTAAAGTTAGTATCTCATGCATCTACGAGAAGGGTTGGAGGGTTGTATGCGACCCTCCATCTATTATAGGTTCTAGGGTTGTATGCGACCCTCTATCTGTTCTGGGTTCTTGTACTGTGTTTTATCTTTGATATTTCTATTCTAGAGAGTGTTCTTTCATCTAATACGAAATATTCGTAGTTCTTTGATCTGGGTTCTTATCACTATCCGACCATTAGAACCTAAATACATTTTGAATCATCATGATTGCATCATTTTGGACCATAAAAATGAAATTACAGATTTATCTTTTCAGATTAACACATATTAACGAACTGCTCAATAACCATATGGGTAATGGTGGAAAAGACTACTGCATTAGATGGTAAAACGTTTGCCTCTCATTCTCTTCTATTCCACAATAAGAACATGGAATATGGTAGTTAACAGCAACGAGAAAAATGGTTAATAAAGGTTCCAAGGTACAATGACTTAACATCCTCCAAATCATGACTATTACCTATATTGAACCATAGAATCTCTAGGTATATTCAGCAAACATCAATGGACATACAGTCTCTTTAATCAGCTCAAAATATGTCACAAATGCAAGATGTTAATAGAAGAAAGAAGAGAAAGTTGTAAGAAAGTTGAAGGAAATATAAAATCGAAAGTGAAAATACAGACTGTTTATCTTGAAAACGAATTGAGTAGAACCCCACCAGTTGAAAAATCAAGAATTGCAGTCAACACATAATAATAGTAAACTTTCTAAGCTATGAAAATCCCGATTAAGAATCACATCATGTGTCAAAGCCCCTGACGACCTCAAGCAGCTAAACGGATGGATGCAATGTATACCAACCAACAAGAAAAAAAATGCAATGAGCTAAACAGCTTCTTAATGGCAGACAAAGCCACCAGGAAACGAAGAAAGAGTTCATACAATGCCTAATCAACACTCGCTTTTTACTTGTCCTACAGCATCCCCGAAATGACGAATCGATGCAGTCAATGGAAGTATGATTGACCGAGCAGACATTCAAGACACTCCAAGCAATCTCGGCCAACCCTGAAGTAATCTAGCCTGTGGACCAATATCCAAAACTTTCCTCTGTCATTTAAGAATATGCCAGACAAAACACGCAAATGGCATGCGGCTAAAGGAAACAGTCATCCCTCGTGGCGAAGCTGACACCCGGACACCATGAGAGAGGAGTCAAAAAAAAGGAAAAAACCAAGATGTCGATCTTCCCCTAGGAAAATTTCCGAGAACCCATTTCGGATGCAAAGAATTCCAGATAACTGCGATTAATAGGTCACATGGGCAGCCAGATCGGAAGACCAAGAAGGAACTGGAGTCTGCAGAAGTCCGAGGACAAGATGTCACAGCCAACGATGAACGCGGGAGGAAAGGGTCCCAGCGATGACAGAATTACGTACATTTCCAAGGTTGAGAAGCGAGACAGATCCTATGGGAACAAGAGAAGCTTCTCCTAGGTTGGAAATTGGTATCGATTTGAGCTGTGGCTTCCGCTCTCCGCACAGCCAGCTGCACCTGCCTTTCAGCAACTCCCCATAAGCTTAGGGTTCCTCGGCAAAGCCTGGATTGACAGAGGAAATACTGCTCTCTCTCTCTCTCTCTCTCGCTCTCTCTCCCTGTAAAGCCTTTCAGACTACTTCGGGGGCGAGATAAAGGTGTCAAAATCGCCGGGAGATTTCAGCGAAGAAAGATATCGCCGTTCGGACCGGCCGGTTTGTTAGCTCCGGTTCACCGTGTACAAGACCAATGAAAGCCGAGGGTAAACAAGTAATATCATAGTTTCTAATATACCTCCCCTCTCAAGGAACACGTGCATTAATGTCCAACTTAAATTTATCGATATGAGAGAGAGAGAAAGAGAAAGACAGAAAGACAGAGACAGGGAGACAGGGAGAGAGAAAGACAGAGAGAGAGAGAGAGAGAGAAAGACGAGAGAGAAAGACAGAGAAAGACAGAGAGAGAGAGAGAGAAAGAGAAAGACGCACAGAGAGAGAAAGACAGAGAAACAGGGAGAGACAGAGCAAGAGAGATAGAGAGAGAAAGACAGACAGAGAGGGGAGGATGGGCGGACTATTTCATCCATAAATGGTTGGGATGAGAGAGAAGTTATAGAAGAGATGGTAACAGCTGTCGCGGAAGAGAGAGATAGAGAGAGAGTGCAAGAAAATTATTAGAAAAATAAGCCTTTACGTGATAATATTTTACGAAAAACTAAATACATTCAGTGAGAAATTAATTCTGTAATTAAAGCATTTTAGGGGGGGGGGGATGCTCTGTTTTTCTTCTACCCTTATAAATTCCACGACTGTCATATTGACCCTAAACGATGCTTAAATTGCGTCAGGAGTCACTGGAGTCCAAAGCAGACAAGAACCGTAGACGTGGCACGGCTAGGGGAGATTAGATAATACATAAAGTTACGGGGTTTGGAAAATTAGAGAAATATTTTGATGGGGAATGGGAAGCCTTTTCCATTGGAAATAAAGAAAAAAAAAATGAAGGGAGAGGGACGCAGGTGCGATCGTCGCCTGGTCATTCTAAATGAATTATATACATAAATATATGTATCTTAAAATAATTAAATAAAATATAAATTCCAACTGTCTGCCAGCTCAGCAGTGGAGACAAGGAGAGAGAGGGAGCGCGGAATTGTGACGTTACATTTCAATTTTAGCAGAGCTTATTGTTATTGTGAAGCTTCACGAGGTTGTTTGGATAATTTGCAGGGTTAGAAATAAATTAATCACTCGGATCATAGACGTAATTTATTCATAAATTCTCAGAATTTAGAAAACTTGCAACTTCTGCAATGCATCTCTCTCTCTCTCTCTGTCTCTCTCTCTCTAGACGATTCAGAAAGCACAAGTGAACTGACTTCAACAGGACAACGAGAGGTGACCCAAGGAAATATATTTATAATTTTAAAAATCTGAATTCAGAAAAATTGGAATACAAGCAACGAGAGGGGAAAAAACGTCACGAAAGCCTATTTTTTCCTTAATTAGCCAAATTACGTCGAGTCCAGAAAATAAAGCTTACTAACATCGTTCTCTAAGACCCATCAGACAGACAGAGAGAGAGAGAGAGCCGTTGGCCTGCTACTGGTCCAACCGGATGACCTGGCACGGGGTCCACGGGTTGACCTCGGATTCTAGAGTCAGTTCTTCTGAAATTTAAATAGCTGATTTTCTCAAGCCATAAAAAGAAAGAAACCTGATTTATCCCTAAAAGGAAAGCCAGAGGCTATGTTAATTTGGCCCTCAACCCCCCGGCATATATCTTCATTCCATCTTCGTCTGCAGTTTTTGGAAGCAAAATCATGGAATGAAATCATTAAGAAAATAAAATTAGCAGGCAATCTGAGGAATCTAGATGGAACAGTCCCCCCGCATCAGTCAGGGGCAGGGAAAATTATTTCCATGATTTAATGAATGGATTATTGGCATCATAATCCATATGCTCACAGAAAAAAATAATCAAGCTCGAGATTACAAGAAACCATGGATAATATTTGGATTGTCAATCATTTTCTCACAGAAAAGAGAATAATCAAGTTCAAGATTAAAAAAAAAGGCTAGTTTTGGGCCAAGACCCATGGACATTATAACTAGATGAATATTTGGATTATCAGGCATATTCTTACATAAAAAAATAATCGAGTTCAAGATTAATCAAAAAAGCTAATTTTGGGCCAAGACCCATGGATATTATAACTAGATGAATATTTGGATCAGGCATATTCTCACAGAAAAAAATCAAGTTCAAAATTAATTAAAAAAAAGCTAATTTTGGGCTAAGACCCATGAATATTAACTAGATGAATATTTGGATTTTCAAGGAATTTTCTCACAGAAAAAATAATCAAGTTCAAGATTAAAAAAAAAGCTAATTTTGGGCCGTGATCCATGAATAAACTAGATGAGTATTTGGATTATCAAGCGTATTCTCACATTAAAAAATAATCCAGTTCAAGATCAATAAAAAAAGCTGATTTTTTGTCTAATACACACGGATATTAACTAGATTAATATTTGGATTCTCATGCATATTTTCACATAGAAGAAATAATCAAGTTCAAGATTGAAAAAAATCTAATTTTGAGCCGTGGTCCATGAACATTGATTGATTGGAGGAATTTAATTCTCAATGAGTAGATAGGGGCCACCTTCTTCAGGAAAGTCTTTCCACAGAGTCAGATTGTCCCTCAGAAGCTGCATTATCATGGTGCTGTCCCTGTAGTACTCCCCGTTCAGGTTGTCCAGCTCAGGGAGCGACTCTTCGAAGACCTGCTTTGCCAGCTGGCATGCCCTGAAGATTTGACCCAATGTGTCAACAAGGTTGACTGAGAGTCATCGAAGAGTGCGGTGGGGCCCACGGATACCTTTCAGGCAAGTTCATGATTTCATAGAAGAACACAGAGAAGTTGAGACCGAGGCCCAGACGGACCGGATTGGTGGGCGCGAGATCGACCTTTGCTGCATCCATGGCGGTCTGGAAGAGAAAGAAATTAGAAACCATAAGAAAAGAAACCTAAAATTGGCATAAAAAGGGATATTAGATCTCTAGCTGAAATGCTTGGAGGAGAGAGAAACAGAAACAATGAGTAAAAACAATAAAAAAAATAATTGGCATAAAAAGGGATATTAGATCTCTAGCTGAACACGCTTGGAGGAGAGAGAAACAGAAACAATGAGTAAAAACAATAAAAAAAATTGGCATAAAAAGGGATATTAGATCTCTAGCTGAAGATGCCTGGAGAGAGAGAAACAGAAACCTGAGTAAAAACAATAAAAAAAATTAATTGGCCAAAAAGGGATATTAGATCTCTAGCTGAAGATGCTTGGAGGAGAGAGAAACAGAAACCATGAGTAAAAAAATTAATAATAATTGGCATAAAAAGGGATATCAGATCTCCAGCTGAACATGCATAGAAAAGAGAGAAACATAACTCATAAACCAAAAACAAAACCAAAATGAGCATCCAAAACAGTAAGATTTCTAGCTGAGCATGGCTGGGCATGAGAGAAACAGAAACTCTAAAAAAATATAAAATAAAATCAGCATTAAAAAGAATAATATAAAACAGGATGCGTAACAACAACAAAAACCCAAAATTACCATATAATAATATTAGACTTCCAAGATGAATGCACCTGGTAGTTCTTCAAAGCTTGGTCGGCAGCATCTTCTCTCTCTTGGTCGGTCTTGAACTCTGCCAGATAGCGGTTGTAGTCGCCTTTCCTTCATTGAATACAACAAAATATTCAAATTTTGAGCACCCAGAGCCACCAATTACAACTATTTCATGGATCATTAGGTACGATTATGCAGAGCTACGAACTATTTATTATTGAAATCAAAGAACAAGAGTATGAACTTTCCTGATTTGTAGCAGATTATCTTTCTCACTGTGATCTATAAGCTCATTAAAAACCTTAACTCTTATTACCGAGTGACTTAGTTAATCACGGTTTAACATTTTTGGCTTTTTGACCCCATATTGTAGGGTGGATCTCGAAAGATATGAAAGATCTCCCTCCAAGCCGTACATACGACTTTCATCGAATACGGCTTTCCACAGAATTCTATATGTATCCATGAGATCGAGTATGGAATTCTGTTTACTCACTTTAAATTGAGTATCCGTTTCCCTCCTTTTCCTGCTAGGATTGGAAATCTTGTATTTTACATATCCGATTTGTTTTCGGATGCCATTGAGAGATAGAGACAGATACAAAGACAGGGAATGGGGAAGCAAGAAGGCAAGGTGAAAAAGAGGCAGAAGAACTTATCAAAAGTTCAAGTAGTTGAGTAGGAGTTCAAGAACCCTACCTTCTGGATGAAATCAGATAGCAGAAGAGAAAATGATAGCAAAGAGATGAATAGATGAACAAGTGTATAATCACTCACATATTGTGAATGAAGATCAAATTATGCACAATAAACCCAAACATTGCTAAAGGAAATAATCAGCATCTTGTCATCATGTAATCACTCACATCTTGTGATAGAAGATGATGGATTCCTCAGAACCAGATGACGGAATCAGATATTCATCGAGGAGTGCCAGGATTTCGTTGCAAATTTTTGACAGCTCCTCCTCCACTATCTGACGATAATATCTGATTAATTTCATAGTAGCCTCCTTTGCCCTTGATTGCTGTTTTAGCTCTATAAATGACATGATCCGCCACGATGCTCGACGAGCTCCGATGGCATTCTTATAGCCCACTGACAGGAGATTTCTTTCCTCAACTGTCAACTCCTGATTGAGCTTGGCAATGTTCTTCATGGTTTCCACCATTTCTAGATCACAAAACAAGAATTTTTACAAATTCTCTACTGAAGAGAAATTATTAAAAGATTGAAACAATAAGATTTGATGGTGTTATGAGATCATAGTCAATGGGTGATTCAAAAAACGATAATTTATAAATCAACGAAAAGTCTAAAAACTGAGGAAGAGAAAGAAGCTTCAATAGCAAGAAAAAAAACCCATCAATTCTAACATGATGAGGATGGAATCAAAAATGGTAAAAAATCAACGGCGATAGAGTCGAACATGGGGATGCATCCCATCTTTGACATAGTTTTATGATCTGAATAAACGATGTCGGAAAATGCCAAGAACGAACGTAACCAATCAGATGTCGCGTTATTTATTCATAAAATACTACGAAATCTATGAAGATTATATTTCATTCGTATGCATGCCTTTTTTGTAAGCGATCTTACGACTTCATTAACCCAAAAAATTATTTATCTGTGGTTTTATACTTTCGTCATTCGATCTACACGCATACGAGAGAGAGAGAGATTTAGTTCTCCTGGGGACATGATCTATCCCGATCTAATGAATGGAAAGATTTAGAAGTCCTCCTCTGAGAGATCATGAATCATAATTTAGAGAACTGGCCAAAACGAAGAATGACACGGCTTTTCGATCAATTTTACTTCTTTAAAAAACAAATGAACAGATAAAGAACAAGAAGAAGGAAATGGAAGACAGAGATGGTGGAGGCACAGGGGTCGACGTCTCACCGTCGTATCGCTCGGCCTTCTCGGCGAGCTTCGCTACGTACACCTGGGACTCCCTCTCCTTGTCCGTCGACATTGCACCCAGAGAAAACAGACGGATGCAAACCGAGAACTTCCAAACTGTAACGAGCAGGTGGGAGGCAAAGGATATCCGCGGAGGAAAGAAGGATGGGAGCGACGGAAAATGGAGAAGCAGCTCAAAGGAGAGGAGAACATTTTATTTATAGCAGCAGAGAAAAACGGGAAGACAGTCAGAGAGAGAGAGAGAGAGAGGGAGAGAGAGAAGGGTCCTCGGAATGGGGGGGTGGAGGGCGGTATAACTCGAGCGGATCCACAGGATCGGCGGGAAAAGCGGCAAGCTTTTGGCTTGGCGGAGTTCTGTTGTTCTTGTTGCCCGTTGCGGCCTCAACGCCTTGACCGAGATTGCTGCAACGGTTCTCCGGTCTTCGAGTATGGGATTTATTTTCATTGAGAAAATAAAAATGGTATCGAACGTACTCTTGATACGATTAAATAATTATTCTGCATGAAATATTGACTGATATTTTTCGTAAAAGATGTCCTCTCTCAGCTGCCCAACGGCTACAACGGATCCCCATCCCCCGCCAAGCCCTTCTACGAAATCTCTGCTCCGCACTGCTATCTCTCTCGCTCTTCTCGCTCTACTTTTCTCTCAACCAGCCGGCCACTCTCTCTCTCGCTCTCTTCCTGCTCTACCTCTCTCAACCAGCCAGTCACGCACTCTCTCTCTCCTGTTCTCTTCTCTCTCAAGTAGTCATCTACTCTGTCTCGCTCCCTCTCTCTTCCTGCTCTATTCTCTCTCTCTCTCTCTCTCTCTCTCTCTTCTTGTTCTTTTCTCTCTCAAGTAGTGATCTACTCTCTCTCTCGCTCTTCCTCTCTCTCTCTCTCTCTCGATAATACCCACATGCAAGCTGCTCTCTCTCTACTAGGGCGACACATCACAGATCTCTTGACCGTCGGTAGTCAAGGTTGAGCGTGGTGTGGGCCCCAAGGAGGTCTGCCCAGTCCGCCGCCGGCCGTATTAAATGGCTCCGAATGGGAGGCGAGTCAACAGCGGCGGCGGCAACCCCCCGGCCAGAGAGTATACTAGAGCTCCCTTCCCCTTCCTCCCTTCAACTCGTCGCCGCTGCCTCCGCCACCGCGTTTGGAGAGAGAATCCGTTGACCGACCGTAGGCCGCCATGGCCACCGCCGCCTCCCACCACGCTCTGCTTCTCCCGTACCCCACTCTGGGCCACGTCCTCCCCCTCATGGAGATTGCCCACCGCCTCGTCGCCACTGGCTTCACCGTCACCTTCGTCAACACAGAGCACAACCACCGCCGCCTCCTCCCCGCCGCCGCCGCCGGCCTCCGCCTGGTGGCGCTGCCGGACGGTCTCCCTCCCGGCGATGACAGGGAGGATATTGGCCGCCTCACCGCCGCCGTCGTGCGGATCATGGCCCGCCACTTTGAGGAGCTCATCCGCGAGACAAACTCCGGCGGCGACTGCGCCGGCGAGATCACCTACATGGTGGCGGACCAGGGTCTCGGTTGGGCCTTCGACATAGCAAAAAATGCCGGCATCCCTGCGGCGGCGTTCTGGGCAGCTTCGGCGGCGACTCTGTCGACGATTCTCAGCATCCCCAAGCTCGTCCAAGACGGAATCATCCTCCCCGACGGTAAGAAGAAGAAGAAGAAAGGAGGAAGAAGAAGAGAGAGTTTTGTTTTATAGGGTTTCGGGTGACTGGTGCAGGAAGGGGGACAGAGAAGGAGACGTTCCAGCTGGCAGCGGGAATGCCGGTGATGAACCAGAAGCACCTGAGCTGGAACCGCTTCGGGAACCCGGCGGCGCAGCAGGTGATGTTCAAGCTCTTCGTGGACAACAACGCCGCCACCGACGACGGCGAAGTCCTCCTCCTCTGCAACTCCTTCCCGGGGATAGAAGCTCCCACCTTCTCCTTCCTCCCCCGGATCATCCCCCTGGGGCCGCTGCTCGCCGGCCGCCCCCGCTTCATGCCGGAGGACCCCGGCGGTGCCGCCTGGCTCGACGCCCATCCTCCCCGCTCCGTCATCTACGTTGCCTTCGGGAGCCTCACCACCTTCCACCGGCGGCAGCTCGAGGAAATCGCGCAGGGGCTGGAGCTCTCCGGCCGGCCGTTCCTATGGGTGCAGCGGTCCGCCGGCGGTGGCGACGACGACCCGCCGGAGTTGCACCGGCGGCGGGGGAAGGTGCTGAGGTGGGCGGCGCAGCAGGAGGTGCTGGCGCATCCGGCGGTGGCGTGCTTTCTGACCCACTGCGGATGGAACTCCATCGTTGAAGGAGCGGCCAACGGGGTCCCCTTTCTGTGCTGGCCGTGCTTCGGAGACCAGTTCCTGAACAGAGATTACATCTGCGACGTTTGGAGGACGGGGCTGAGCTTGCCGGTGCCGGCGGAAGGGGAGGGCGTCGTCTCTGGGGAGGAGATCCGGCAGGGAGTGGAGAAGGTGATGGGAGACCAGGGGATGAGGGAGAGGGCTCTGCGGATCCGGGAGGCGGCGGAGAGGAGCTCACGAGAGGGAGGAGACTCCTACCGGAACTTTCAGAACTTCGTCGACGCCATGAAGAAGAAGAAGCTCTGAGGTGAGAGAGCCTCGAATCAGATAATATAGAGAGAGGTTTTCTTTCAGAATAAAAATTATATACGGGTTAATTTTAAATATCTCGAGCCCAGATGATTTTTTCCCGTATTTAGTTAATAAAAAAATAAATATTTCTTGAAAAACTCTCAAGGCGTTATCTCTGATTTGACAAATATTAGAAAATATCAGTGGCTCGGAAGGATAATTAGACCGAGCCTAATCTCTATCCGCGCTGGGCCTAAGCCTAGATTTGACCCGACCCGGAAGCCCAAAGGCCCTTTCTCAAGCCACGTTGCCGTTGACTTGGAAATTAACTATTCAAATACCCATAATTGATTCCTAATCAATTAGCGACACTTTACCCTCTGTCAGCGAGAGAATTCATAGAACAAGAGCAATTCATCAAGGCAAATCATATTTTTTATGTGGCATTTGGATATATATATATATATATCCATATATGTTTATTAGGAATCAAATGCCTAATGAAATAAATAATCGGGAAAGAATAAGTGAAAAATGCAGAATTAAATAATATGTATGGTCGGTTGCAGTATGATATCTACATTAATTAAAATTGTGATAATATATACAGGTGAAAAAAAATCAGATCCACAGATTAAAAACCAGTTATCAATGGCAGAAGAAATCCCATCGGATTTAAACCAAAACTAATTTTATCTCACTTAATATAAAACCATTCAAAGACACATCAAACCTCAGGTTGACTTTCATGGGTTTTCCACCAACGAAAAGCTCTGAGACTGGGCACTGAGCTTCATAGCATACAAGATCAATCTACAATGGTGCAAGCTCTGAGAGATAACCTCAGGGTATTCTCATCTAGGTTGTGACCTGCAACGAAGAGGAGCAAGATCAAGAGACTAATCACATGATTTTCGCAAATAAATACAACACAGGAAACTCAAGAGCCCTTGCCTATGAAGACTATCCGGCTAACTTTCTTCTCCCCCTCTCGCCATGCACGAAGCGGGATGATCTCAAAGAGTTCCTTTACAGCCTGAGTAAGATGAAATCGATATCAGAAGTTTTCGGTATAAATAGCCTCTTTTTTTTTTTTTTGAGACAAACAAGTAAGAAATCTGGGCTAATCTGAATTGGTATAAGTGAAAATTAATGAAAACTTTTATTTATCCAGTAAGACTTGCAGGTCACATTAAATTATTTTCTCTTCAATTATTCAATTCAATGACTGTGAACAAACTGGATCAGATATTATAGATTCTGATCCTGAGCAAGATCAGGATTGCATTCGATTGGGCCAAGAATTGCATTTGTCTGTGAACTTGTCCGGGACTAAACCTTCCTAGAGCTGATGAAGATCATGATTCATAGGGGCTAAACCCATGCTTAATGACAGCATGATAATATTGATCTGTTAGAGTTCGACGAAGTAAACGAGGAAGACTATGCGACAATAAACGAGAGATCTACTGCTGAATTTTTAGAGGAAATTGAAGTCTCAAGAAGTAAAAAGTAGGACTAAAATATGGATCTTGAGAGTGAAATTATGTGACCTAATTAATGATGAATATGAATAATAGACAAGATTTTATGTTTTAAAAGGATACCTGCAGCGTATGAAGCTGATCAGAGTCATGCACACTCAGAATCCCTTTACAGCGATAGATATCGACGTCTGATTTCTTCTCCCAAAGAACTTCCTCCAGCCATAAATAAACCTGTCGATGAAGGCCCGGGGAGATCAGAAATATTTTACAAAAATATTAAAAAAAATTAGCTAAGATGATTTTTTTTCCAAATCTCAAGATTTCAATCGTGATAACTTTCCCTTTTTGTAATTTTCGTGTCATTGTTCTTTATAGAATTCTTCAGAAGTTTGTGTTCTTCTCAAAATTTCTTATTCTTTCATATCTCTACAGATCCAATCCGTATCAAGCCTGAACAGGACCCAATACACCTGAATCAGTCATAATGAGACATTTCAGCCGATTCAGCCTCCTATTTTTTCCTCAATGTTGAAGAACATGAACCACTGAAAATCTCTAAAATCCAACCGGACATCATCACAAACGAATATTAAAAGAATATTTTTGAAAGGAATAAAATATTTTGATGAAATAATTATTTAAAACTATTGCAGCTACCTTGTTTAAATCAACTTGCTGATCTTCACATATGCATAATGTACGGATGCTGTAGTCATGAATAAAAGAGGATAACGACTTGCTATCTTCCAACAGTGCTTTCTGATGGGCTATATGCTGGTACGCCAAAAAATTTGCACATGGGAAAAATTTAGAATATCTTGCTGATTACATAGAATACTTAGTTTGAAAGATCAAAATTATTTGACTGACTGATGCATCATAGGCCTGGCATTCCAATATCTTCGATAGATCAACCTGGCATCGAACAGAACGAATGACAGTAGCAAGGGAGTTTATGTTACGAATATCCTTCTCCAAATCTTCCACATAATGAGATGTGGCAAGACCAAGTTCGTCTGGAGAAACCAAATCAACTTTGTTAAGAATTATGATATCCTGCCAAGAAGGGAAAGCACAACTTAGATAAGTGAAAAAAAATCTGTGAAATGCCCATGGGGGGAGGGGGGGAGGTTGTAGGCAAGATACCCGATTTTTCATTCAAATTAAGTATATAAAATAAAAAGAAATGTATATAAAAGGCAGTCATAACTTAGGCTGTAAGAAGTTTAAAACTACGGGTTGAGAGAAAATCAGTATAATAATTGAATACCGCATAGGCAATTTGAGTATATGCTTCAGGGAAGGAAGAGGAGTATCGATACTCATCTATCTGTTGTCGGAGATTTTTAGCATCAACAACCTGGATGGAAGTAATAGAATAATTTCAATATTCAACGGGACAGTATGAAAAGGCATAAAATTTTCATTTGACCACAGACACTGTATGATTACTTTGGAACCAATACTCAAAGCATTATATTTTCCCAATTATATATGCTTCCATAATATTACACTGTGGGGAACATAGAGTTTGCAAATAAACATCAACTAAAAATATAATATTGATGGAGGAAGCAGTTGTGTAGTTAGCATGATGAGTGTAAGCTTACAGTGATTATAGAATCAAGTTTCACCGCAGATTCCAGTTGATCATCCAACCAAAGTATGGATGCAAGCGGAGCAGGATTCGCCAATCCTGTGGTCTCCAGCAATATATGATCAAGTCTGTATGATTACAAAATCCCCAATTTATGCCAAAATAATCAAACCAGTTTTCAAAATTAAAAATCAATTTTGAAAATATGGTAGCAATCATTGAATGACAAAATCAATTTGAATTGGCAATCATGTTGATTATCAAAGATAGAAAAGCTGTCAAGGAATTAGATTAAAGTAAACAGTCCCTTGTGCAGTATCAGAAGAATCAACCATATTATCATGGGAATGTAAAAGCTTCTAAAACTGTGAAATGAGAAACAAAGGCCATTGAATATTCAAATTTAAAAAATGCCGCAAAGGATTACTTATAGAATTCAGGAAAAACAAGGAAAGGACAAAATATCTTTTGAAAAATGGAAAATAAAATATCAAAAATCTAATAAAAAAATTAACATCCGACTTTAGAATAGTGACTTCAAGGCCTGTAGCACCTTACTATTGATATTTTCATAAGAGGGTGGCTACATGGCTCAAATTTCTGTGAAGAAATTTTACCCGACTAAAGTGGGGATCTTTAATACGGCAGTTTTCAGGACAAGGCACAGTCATTTGGAATGACAAACGGCCTAATACAGACTCTACACCGCCTGGATCAAATTTCCTTAACAGAAAATTATTAAAGCTGGTGTCCTTTTTCAAGATGAAGGCTTTCACCCTGGATATGGTGTCTGTTCGATAGACGGACAAAAAATAATAGAATAACAGCGTTTATTTGGCATTAACCGCGTGGGAAACTATTGCTCTATTTAATGAAAGTACGGTACCCACTGAGCATGATTTTTGCCATGAACAGGAATTCAATGGCCTATAGAGAGGCGATGAGAAATTCAATATGCTTGGATATTTTACCACGAACTATAAACATGTTGACTCCTTGATTTCGTATGCCGCCAAGAAGGATTTATGTCTCACCATTTTCGTCTCAAGTCATGGGCCCCAACGTCTTTAAACTGATGGGATATTATCTACTCATGACTCTCTCTCTCTCTCTCTCTCTATCTCTGGCTGGATGCACATATATATAAATATATGGAGACCAGCCAATACTAGCTGAACAATGAATCAAAAATAATCGATTCCAATTCAAGAAATGTTGAGCAAAAGCCAGAAAGCAACTCAAATGCAATACAAGCATCAAGAATGCGAATTTCAAATAAATCCACTCGACTAGCAGCTTATTATTGGAACAAGTAACAAGAGGAGGGCTAACCTCTCTTTCCTTTGTACCAGCTCTTCCAATGCTTGAACTAGACTGTGCTTCACAGTGCAACAGACACAGCCATTAGCAAGCTCAACCCACTCCTCAATAACAGCCCCCCCTTCACCTTCGTTGATCATTGCCCTCTCGACTCCTATTTCCTCTCCAAACTCATTGAGAATTACTGCAATCCTCTTCCCATGTTTCCCATTCAATACGTAGTTGACCAACTGAGACAAAACAACACGGCAAAGCAACCATTTTTCAGATTCCATCCACATGGAATGTGCATCATTTGATTCTGATAATCAAATCATCATGAAACAGAGACGATATGTTCTATGAAAAAAAATAATTGTGTTTTCCATGAAAATTTCGTTCCATTGCGATCTCAAACGGGAATGTGTTGCTCTCTAGCTTTACAGGTTCTGGATAAACCAAGACACAGTGTGACCAGCACTAATAAACGTATAGTCTCAGTCGAGAAAATGGGTACGATTCCTGCAAGTATAGACTACGATCCTCGCTTCAAGAAAGAGTGGTCGAAAAATCTGACGAGTTCAAAGCTCACACCGTTTGCAAGTCCGGACCAGGGAGTAGTCTCGCTTTCCCCTGTGATCCGATTTACAACATGCACTAGAAAGTTATCTCCATGAAATACAGTACAGATATCAATCGAGTTGGTGCCGGGGAGTAGGAAATTTCTGATCATCGAACTCGGAGAGAACTCGAAAACTAGGTCAAGAATGGGATGCAGAAGGAAGTGGAATAAACACAAAACCATGCTCCAACTGGGGGCCACTAAGGGTTCCACAAAGGATCGGATAACCGCGATGCAGTCGAAGTATACCGATTTTTAGGGATTGATTATATCCAGAAACGAGTATGGGACCGGGATGGGGGTACAGGAGCACGAGGAACTCGAAGGGCGGCCTCACCGTGGATTTTCCGGCGCCAAGGTAGCCGGTGATGACGGTAACTCCGACAGGGGGGCCACCTTCAGTCCCTCGCGAATACTCCTCAGGCTTCCCCAGAGATTCCGCAGGGCGGGTCTCAGAGGTCTCTCCGATTAGAACGGCAAGAGGAGGGCTGTCCTCGTCGACAACTTCCATGGCTGGCGCTGCCGAGAGCAAACGAAGCCTGTTCGGAGCTTCCCAGCAGGAGAAGCGCACTACGGCCTATCGAACGATAAGAAAATTACATCCTTTTTTTATTAAAAAAAACTAAACTAAATAATTAATTTATTAATAATACACATTAAACAGGATTTCTTATTTTCTTGATTTCATCACAATCTCGCAGGGAAAATTAAACCCCTTTAAGAATATATTATTCTCAAAAGGATATGAAATGCCAGAATACTAACAATATTAATATTATACCATATTTTTCATCTTCATATATAATCTTTATTCACGCATTAATAATAAAAAAATATATTTCATCTGTCCTCTCAAAACCTCTTGAAACCCGAAGATTCAGAGTGTAGCTTTCACATCAGTTTGCAGATCCCCATCACACAACTATATATTAACATGTTAATATGGAAATTACCTTGAAGAGTAAATTTTCTTGCATTTTAAAACAGAAATTACCTTGAAAAGTAATTATTGTTTGGGATAGGGTCACATTTCTTAAGACTTGATTTGGGTCCACCCCTTTGACATCCCTGCTCATAAAGCCTCAATCTTGAAAAACTTAGTCATTCCAAGAACCCTAATTTCAAATGGGAGAGGAGATTACCATCTTAATTGTAAACAAATCCCCTCCTTGTTCTACCATTGCCGCCACATTCACACCCACCATTTAATTTTAAATTTTTTATGTTATCCTTTAACTAGATAAAGTTTATATCAAATATATTCCACACCACTTGATTCCTATATTATCAAAAAAATATTTATCTCCAAGGGACCTATAAATCATGGGTCAATTTGTGTAAAGAATTTTGGCATGATGTTCCTTGAATCTTATGAAGACATCTCATTTCTCCTCATACTTGGTGATAAAATGCATTGTATTTATTTAGTGTATGCATTTACTCTAATTTTTTTCATGATGAGGAATCATTAATGACTGCCACCTCAACTACTTCATGCCATCTTCAAGATCGAGGAAAGCACAACTAGTGGAAGAACATATTGGCATGACCTCAACCAAAGATCAGATTTTTGATAATTTTGGAAGGTAAATGAACTCCATATCCAAAATCAAGAGAAACATGACTCTCCTCTTAAAATAAGAAAAAAATGTCACTTAATAGTTGGAGCTCCTCATGTGGGCTTTGGAGTTACAAAGAGTTAAATATTGATAGAGAAGGTAGAGAGACGAATTAAAGCCAATCAAACAATTAAGGCCCTTGCCATTACCACTCGTGCCATGTGGAAAGAGGCCTTAGAGAAGTGGAGTTCATATTAAGCGGTCCATAGTCTAAGTTGTGCAATGAACCGATAACCACCTAGAAATAGTATTCAAGGTAATTGGCCCATTTTCTGGAGTAGTCGAGTCATTGAAATTGAATCAAGAGTTGTCATGCTATTGAGAACAGATCTTGAGTAGTCAAACTATCTAGAGCGAAATCAACACCTATGACATAAGTAGTTGACAAAATGAAAGCTAGGGATGACTTATAAGATTGTGTAACCTTAGGAGAAGAAGGGGAGAAGAATTCTGAAGTCTTTGTGAAGTATTGGACATTGACTATCTCTATTTAGCCTTCCCCCCTCTCGTCCCTATGGTAAAGTCTTCATTGGGCCCTCTCTCTCTCTCTCTCTCTCTCTCTCTCTCTCTATCTATCTATCTATCTATCTATCTACCCCTATGACCTATGTCTTACTATAATCAAGTCATAACTTCAACAATTATTAGTAATTATTTTCTTATTTACTTCCCTAACTTAGTTATAATGACTTAACGCACCTATTAAAATGGAAATCAAAGCTAAGACAAGCATCAATGGCTCCCAAGCTCCATGAGCCCAAGGTAGATCTCCTCAAATGAGACATTAAGGGATTCAAACAACATGTCACCACCAATTAGGTCAAGAATAGACATGTGTTCGGAGTGTTGACTTAGGTGATCAAAAGGTTACACTAACAGATGGAGTTCTTCATCTCGTGAGCTGACAAAGAGAAAAATCAACTCAAAATCTTGTGGATTAGGTTCATGGAGAATCAGTCAAGGCCAATCAACCCTTACTTCAATGACCGAGGGGGGTATGAGGAGCCCCAAAGGCTCCTAAATTCTAACTCCCAAACTTCACAATCTGACTCAACTATTAGTGATAGTCTATAGAGTAGTGACACATGTGGTAGTTTGAACCTCTCCATGTTCACAAGAGTTGATATAGAGAATTGATTGTTTTAAACCAAGCTTTACTTCACCACTTACAAATTGTCAGCCCTTGAGAGATTGTCCATTGCCAACCTTAGCCTCAACATGCATGCACTCTCATAGTTCAAATGAGTTGATGATAAAAAGTTATTTTGAAGTTGAGAAGATCTAAGCCCACATTTTCAAAAGATTCAGCCCCAAGCCCATGAACACTCTCTATCAACAATTATTGGAGCTCAAATAGTATGAATCGATGTTTGATTATATAGAACAATTCAAGTTACATTCACAATTAATCTAGAACATACTATAGCCCATCTTGGAGAGCACCTTTCTCAAAGGCTTACAAAAGGATATCTAAGTTGATGCTAACATATTGAACCCTCAAGACTTGGATACAATCATGAAGACTAACCAACATATAGAATTTAAGATCAACACACTAGTGGAGATGGAAACAACCTTTGAGTTAGCTCCCTCTAAGTTGGCAACTCCATGCTAGGAAGCCAAGAGACCATGCATCATAGGACCTTGTATCTTAGTATTTTCTATCACAAAGAAGATGGGATGTCTCACATAGCACCTTTGGATGTTTCCAACAATGTGGATAGGTTATTGTATGCTAATAAAAATGTCTCAACCTTATTACTAATGTGCTTAGGGCCTTTATTTTTTCTACAATAAAAAGTTATCCTTAGAGCATCGATGGAAGAAGTAACTATTGATCCTATTCACCCCAAATGAGTTTGATTTTCTTTTAAAAAAATTAGAAGTCCGATAAGTAATAGTTGATGAACCAACCAACTCAAAAGACGTAGCTAACCTTGAAGCCTCCTTACATTTTCTCAAAGAATAGTCAATTAGAACACTAAAGTTAAAGAGGAAAATTCAACATAAATTAATTACTATCTTGGTCAGTAGTAATGCAACACACTGTTATTTTGTCAACTACATGCTAATTAAAGACCTAGGATTCTCCATCTCCATCATCCTAATCTACTAGGTGATCATTGAGATTGGCGAGAAGGTCGCAAGATTTAGAATATGTTGGGGCATCCTCATCACCCTATAGACATAAGAGATTTGTGATAATTTCTTAGTTCACCTTTAGCCACTATGGATGTTTGTCCTCAAAATTCAGTGAATGATGAGAAAGAAAAGAATTAAGTTGGACTTCAAGTGTTGGACTCTATCCTTTAGAGTTAAAGTGAGGTATATGACTTTTCAAGCCTAACTACCAAAGGTAACAACAGTATGTGCCCACAAATCTCTATCTATAGACATAAAAAGGATAACATTCTCTTCAAACTATATCAATTGACATAATAGACCATCTTGAGTAATTCATCTCCTTTCGAGACAAAAAATTAAACCTTTAATTCTCGCATTGTTTCTCGACATTCAAGGACTACCATCACTAGAGTACCTTTTGAGTTGAATTTTAGCCTAGCTATATTTTTTAGCTTGACAACTTTACCATTAGTAGTCATTAACATGAGAGTCCTATGAAAAGCTAGCTACTCACTTCTTCAAACATTATCAAGTTCTATAATAAATTAGACTAGTGGAATGTAAGATGGATTTACTATCAACAGTCAGTCTCCACCTTGTCTTCCATGTGTCCCACCTCAAAAGTGTAGAAGGCTCTCCCACCTTAGGCCCAATCAATCATCTCTAACTGAATGAGGACTTCATTGGGATTGTAAAGCCCACTAGGATTCAAGTTGTTCGGCACAACTCATTTGGTCAAAAGTCCTTATAAAATGATGCAACTTATCAATTGTTGGAGTCACAAAAAAGTTCACTCATGCCACATACCACCAAGTCCCTGATTTTCACTTTGAAGATAAGGTGAAGTTTCTTAAGGGAGGTATTGTTGAGGCCATAACCACTAACCCCCTTACTATGTAGAAAGAGGCCTCAAAGAAGTAGAGTCCATGTTGGGTGATCTATGGTCTAAATTGGGTAGTCAATTGACATCTACCTAAAAATAGAATACAAGGTGATTGACCCATCTGCTCCAATTAGCATAGTCTAATTTTAGAATAGTTGGCCTGTTGAGATCAGATCAAGAGCAATTAGGTCATTTAGGATGGAACTACGGTAGTTAGGTCATCTAGAGTGGAATCAATAGCTATGATATTAGTCTATAAAATGAAAGATAGGGATAACTAATAATATCATCTAGCTTCAGATAGAGAAGGAGATAAGATTTTTGAAGTCTCTATGGAGTGTTGGACATCGACTATCTAGAACTATCCTTCCCCCTTCTTCTAATGAATTGACATTTTTTTAACAATTCACAGTTTTTTTGACACAACTAGTAACAACTCATTAGGTATTTTTGTAATGTGTTAACATTTTTTTCCATAACGGTAGCCATATAACATTTAATTAGAACTATTTAGTAAGATTGCATATTATTTTATTTTTATTTTTTATGTTGCAATAGAAAACATGTGGGTAGGTTAAGGTTTCCATTTTAAGGATGCAATTAGTGGTCCCACGTGTTGGAAAAATGCCAATTGAAATGGGCTTTGGGCTAGGCCCACGAAAGTCAAGCCCAATATTATATATATTAGGAGGGGTAAAGTAAGAAGTTAATGCAGTTGGACGTCATGGCCTATTTTGAAGCAGTAGCGTCCATAAAATATAATTTTAAAAAATATATATTTTATGCGAGAGATAGAGGTTGAGAGAGAGAGAGAGAGAGAGAGATGGGCTTGCATGGTCCTTTAAAGCCAAGCACGAGATATGAAGGTCAAATCAATTATAATATTAGTTCAATATTTGAGCAAACACGGGGTTGATTTGATCTTTAGTGGGTTTCACTTGGTGTTGAAAATAACTTTCTAGATAAACATAATCAGGAAAGAAATCTGAGCTTCATTGAAAGCCTCTCTTTCTCTCTCTAAATGGAGAGGTTGCCTTCATCCCACTGAGCTTTCAATGACAGGGGGAAGAGGAGACGATGCCGAATCCATCAAATCTGCGATCATCCGCCGTCGGAAGACCGGAGGAGACGCAGCCGTAACGGGCAACAAATCCCCCCGTTTGATACGTGGAAAACGAACCGGAGGCTATAAATGTAGCTCCAAGGAGAAGATATGTACAAGGGAACGGAGCAGCGGCAGGCTTGGAAGACCGAGATGGGCAGCGCTTTCAAGCTGGTGGGCTTCCTCGCAGCGGCAGCGGCGGCGCTGCTTCTCTCACCGGCGAGCGGCGCCGGCGACTGGCAACCCGCCCATGCCACCTTCTACGGCAACGCCGACCCCAACGAGAGCCGAAGTAGGAGACATCTTCCTTACAATCTTCCCCATCTTCCTCCTCTGTGGATTAATGGCTGGCGACTGTGAGTTTTCTTCCCATTGAAACTGAGCTCTTCTTCCTGAAACTCCATGCAGCGGGAGCATGCGGGTACGACGACGTGTTCAAACAGGGCTACGGCAACATGACGGCGGCGCTGAGCACCGCCCTCTTCAACTCCGGCGCCGCCTGCGGCGGTTGCTACGAGATACAGTGCGTCTCCGATACTCAGTGGTGCCTCCCCGGGACGATAACCGTGACGGCGACCAACTTCTGCCCACCGGCGAACAAGCCCAACAACGACGGCGGCTGGTGCAACCCGCCCCTGAAGCACTTCGACCTCAATTTCCCGGCGTTCCTGAAGATCGCCAAGTACCGCGCCGGAATCGTGCCGGTGCAATTCCGGAGAGTTCCCTGCGTGAAGTCCGGCGGGATAAAGTTCGAGATGAGGGGGAACAAGGACTGGATCGCCGTGCTCATCTTCAACGTCGCCGGCGCCGGCAGCGTCACCGCCGTTTCCGTGAAGGGGACGGCGGCGCCGCTGGGGAGGTGGATCGAGATGCAGAGAAGCTCCGGGGAGGTGTGGGCCGTGCGGTGGCAGTCGGCGCTGGTGGGACAGGCTCTCTCCTTCAGGGTGACGACCAGTGATGGGAAGACGGTGGAGTCCGATAATGTTGCCCCACCCAACTGGCAGTTCGGGCAAACCTACGAAGGGAAACAGTTTTAGCTAGAGCTGTTGTGTTGCGCCGGTAATGAAATAAGTCAATGTTAAATCCCATACTTCAATAAGATATCTCTGATTACCGTTAATATGAGAAGAACTCTCTCTCTTCTTCTCACTCTGCCTTTGTCTCTTCCTCTCCCCCTCGCTCTCTCTCTCCGTTCCGTTCTTCCTCTCTCTCTCTCTCTCTCTTCTTCTCTCTCTGCCTCTGTCTCCTCTCCCCCTCCCTCTCTCTCTCCGTTCCGTTCTTTCTCTCCCTCCCTCTCTCTCTTTCTGTCTCTTCCTCTCCCTCTCGCTCTCTCTCGCTCTCTCCCTCCCTCCCTCCCTCTCTCTCTCTTTCTGTCTCTTCCTCCCGCTCTCGCTCTCCCTCTCTCTCTCTCTCTCTCTCTCTCTCCCTCCCTCCCTCTCTCTTTCTGTCTCTTCCTCTCTCTCTCGCTCTCCCTCTCTCTCTCTCTATCTCTCTCTCTCCCTCCCTCTCTTTCTGTCTCTTCTCTCCTCTCGCTCTCTCTCCCTCCCTCCCTCCCTCCCTCTCTTCTGTCTCTTCCTCTCTCCTCTCCCTCCTCTCCCTCTCTCCCTCTCCCTCTCCCCCTCTCCCTCTCTCTCTCTCTCTCTCTCTCTCTCTCTCTCTCTCTCTCTCTCTCTCTCTCTCTCTCTCTCTCTCTCTCTCTCTCTCTCTTCCTCTCCCTCTCTGTCTCTCCCTTTCCCTCTCCCTCTCCCTCTCCCTCTCCTTTCCCTCCCTCTCTTCGTCTCCCTCCCTCTCCTTTCCCTCCCTCTCTGTCTCTCCCTTTCCTTCTCCCTCTCCCTCTCCCTCTCCTTTCCCTCTCCCTCTCCTTTCCCTCCCTCTCTTCATTCCCTCCCTCTCTTCGTCTCCCTCCCTCTCCTTTCCCTCCCTCTCTGTCTCTCCCTTTCCTTCTCCCTCTCCCTCTCCCTCTCCTTTCCCTCTCCCTCTCCTTTCCCTCCCTCTCTTCATCTCCCTCCCTCTCCTCCTCTCCCTCCCTTTGTCTGTCTCCCTCTCTCTCTCTGTCTCTCTCTCCTCCCTCTCCCTCTCTGTCTCTCTTCGAATCTCTTCCCCGTCGCCGGCACTGCCAACCCTACGACCAGCCCCGCCTCGCCGGCGGCCGGTGCAACACCGCTACCCCTCCTTACGGTGAAGAACTGCGACCCCATCCTCCCCGCGTTCGCAGCCTTTCCAGGGGCGAGTTCGCCTCCGTAGCTCCGGCGGCTTCTAAGCTCGAGGACAAGGGACACGAGAAACCGGATCGCTGTCGTCGTCCACGACGTCGCCGCCATCACCGGGGAGGAGAAGCCACCGGCCGCGGCGGAGGATATACTGGTCGCCGGCGGGAACATATCCTCATCATGGCCCCCCTTCTCTACGTTTTGGGCCTCATATTCTGCCTGAGAGAAAAAAAACAAGCCCAATTAATCCAGACCCGGTCCACTGTGCCTGTGTATTTATTTTTAGGTCCTCATCAATACATTCACTTCACTTTTTACCCTGTGAAGTAAAGAAACCTAATCTACGATTTAAGCCAGAGCTTTTATTTACATACTAATTAATAAAATAAAAAATATATTTCTTCTCAACTTATTATGGAATTCATCTTGGAAATTAATCAATATAAATAATATGAATATAATTAAATTTATTTATTTTTATTCTTTAGTAGTAGTGTCCGTCTCCCGTGTGGCACGAGCGAAGCACACGTGGGTGAAGAGGATCCGGAAGTGTGGGAGGAGGGAGAAGCAACGGTTAACTGATCATTTCGGTACAATCCGAACCACTAAGGTGGTCAATTCAATGAGGGTAATTATGTAATATTAGACATGACAGATCTTCCAAGTATAAACCCTAGCTGGTCCGTCGGCTTACCCTAGGGGGCGTCCGGGTATCTCTTCTCAAGCCTGCTACTTCTTCGTCGCGAGGAAGTCCGAGGTTGTGCCGCCATGGAGGCCGCCAGGACCGTGAAGGACGTGTCGCCGCACGAGTTCGTGAAGGCGTACGCTTCTCATCTGAAGCGGTCGGGGAAGGTCAGATTCATCTTCTTCGATTCGATGTCTATCCTTAACTTTGTGAGACTAGAAGGGGTTGTAATCAGATTAGGTTCTGTAGATGTTTTCTCTCGTATCTTGTGTCATCCTTATAGGTGTGGTTATGTGGCACTGGATTGTTAGGCCTTTGTTTCACTTGTAAAAATCGGTAGCGATTGAGATTGAAAATCTTCATATGTATTGTTTTTCTAATGACGTCGATCTCTAATTTTCTTCTTAGTAGTGGTCAGCAATGTCTAGGTTTCAACTCACGGAGAACTCTTTTTTGACGATTATCTGTTCTTTTTTGCCGAGTTCTTGGTTTTACTCTAGATGGGGCACATCTAGATTCTATGGCTCATTTTCCTTAAGAGTAAAATATGTGACTCTATAACTTGATAAATAGCTTCCTCCTTCAGAATCGCCAGTTGTGGTCCGTCTCATCTCTAGTTAAATGACCAATTGGTTTTGATTTCTGTCCTCGTAGATTCGAAGTTTTATGGGTCGTTTTCGGGCACAATCGTAGAACAGGTATGTAACAGTGTGTTTGTTCCTAGAACACCGGGAAGCTTTGCTGAGGAACGACACTTCATGTTTTCACTATGGCGATTGCTCTTCAGCAAGAGCCTGATCAACATGCTTCTGGATCAAAAACAGTCTATCATTCATCTCTGTTTAGTATCATCCAAGGGAAAGTGGTGAAAGTTTTTCTAAAGGTAGCAGCTAAGAGGAAATCAGTCACGTTGTACGGCTAAATACGTTAATTTCTATTCATGGGTAAAAAAAAAAAGAATAACTCCTTGGTTTCGTCAATTTCCTCAAAACATAGCTTCAGAGAGCATTTCAGGATATTCCTTTTTTTTTAACCCAGTCAAGATCTCTGTTTACTATAATCCAAGGGAAAGTGGTGAAAGTTATTGTATAGGTAGCAGCTAAGAGGAAATCAGTCATGTTGGATGTTAATTTCTAATAGGAAAGAAAGAAGAAAGAATAACTCCTTGGTTTCGTCAATTTCCTCATAATATGGCTTCAGAGAACATTTCAGGATGTCCTTTTTCTTTACACCCAGTCAAGATCGCTGTTTAGTGTCACCCAAGGGAAAGTGATGAAAGTTATTCTAGAGGTAGCTGCTAAGAGGAATTCAGCCACGTTGTACGGCTAAACATGTTAATTTCTATTCATAGGACGAAGAAGAAGAAAGAATTACTCCTTGGTTTCGTCAATTTCCTCAAAACATCCTATTTCAGCTGGTCTGTGGCACATTGCCATTGCTATCTCGTCTGGGCTTACCAACAAGGTGTCTAAATTTTGGGATTAAATATTTTTCTTCCCCATTGCAAGGTAAATGTTAAGATCACGTTTCTTGAATCGGGATGAGAAAGTGTTAATATCATCCATGAAAGAATGTTTCGGTGTTTTCCCTTGTAAAATGTGCTAAAAAACCAATTAATTGAGGAAGATATTCGTGTGATTTAATGCCTTTTTCTAAGTTAGATCCAAATAAATGAATCACAGCTTACATTGTGCTGTTTCCTGTTTATCAGATCGAGCTTCCTCATTGGGCTGACATTGTAAAGACCGGGATGCACAAGGAGCTTGCTCCATATGATCCTGACTGGTACTACACGAGGGCTGGTGAGCAGTCTTCTCCCATGGTTGTCCATTTCTTTTCTCAGTAATCTACGGCCCTCTTTTGCCTGCAATCTTTTTTAAAAGCTTTGGCATTTATGTGTCCATTTCCTCAACAGCATCAATTGCAAGGCACATCTATCTGAGGCAGGGATTGGGCGTGGGTGCCCTGCAGAGAATCTATGGCGGGCGTAAGAGGAATGGCAGCCGCCCACCGCATTTCTGCAAGAGTAGTGGGTCAGTCGCTCGGCACATCCTGCAGCAATTACAGCAAGTGGGCATCATCGACATTGATACAAAAGGGTAATCTTATTATGCAATTACAGCAATTACAGCAATTACAAGTGAGCTTTGGATGATTTCCTGAATAATTAGTGCGGTAAATTTTCTGTGTAATCTTATTATGCCGTGATTAATAAGTGATTTGGTTAATGCTTGTGAGAATTGCCTTCTTTTTAGCGCATCTATTTCGGATGAATGAATGAATAAGATCAGAAGATCAGATGCTCATTCATCAGATTTTCTGTGTAATCTTATTAATGAATGATTAATAAGTGCTTTGGTTGATGTTCATGAAAATTACCTTCTTTAACCCATTAATTTTGGATGAATGAATGAGATCAAAAGATCAGGTGCTCATTCATCAGATTTTCTGTGTAATCTTATTAATGCATGATTAATAAGTGCTTTGGTCAATGTTCATGAAAATTGCCTTCTTTAACCCATCAATTTCGGACGAATGAATGAGATCAGAAGATCAGATCCTCTTTGATCAGATTGTACTGGTAGTTGCGTTGGAGAGAATTTGTCACAAAAGCTTCCACATTCAGCATTTTAATTTACATTTTTTATTTTTCCAATAATGTCAGAGGGAGGAGGATCACTTCCCAGGGTCAGCGGGATCTTGATCAAGTTGCAGGGAGGGTAGTGGTTGCCCTCTGATTGCTGGAATCGTGGTTTCCGGATGAGGATCTTCTTCAGCCTAGTGGAAATTTTGCCGTAGAAACAGTGTTGACTTCACCCTGCTGTTCTTTAGCTGGTGGTTGCGTGAGCTTTTATAATTTTACTATCCTTATTGTTGGTAATATTTAGTCTCAGGTTTCTATTTTCTGGTATTTTCTCATGAGCAAATCCTTTTTTTAAAATAAATTATAATTTGGAATCCCCTAAACTATTTCCAATTGATAATTATCATTATGACATTATTCTTATTATTATTATTATTATTATTATTATCTAGCTAGTAATTAAATGATGGTGAATATGGATTTATCTTGATTATTGACCTCACCTGTACGTACTGCTTGTTGGTGGAAGATTGGGTTCAGATCATTTGCCAACGTGTGATTTTCTTGGTTGACCCGTAATTCAACTATAAGATTTGACTTTTTTTTTACTGACATTTTTTGAGCGAGTGAAAAATCATGTATTGATGTCCTATGATTATCAATTCAACCAATAATAAATATCATTATTATGATTCTATTGCATACACGCTTTTGTCATTTTTTTAATATTCGACTACGTTGATAATATGTTCACACATTTCTTTCACAAAACGATTGGAGAGAGAGAGAGAGAGAGAGAGAGAGAAGGGAGAGATAGAGAGAGAGAGAGGGAGAGAGAGAGAGATGCAAAAAAAGGGCCCCCGGTTGAATAAAAAAGAAAAAAAGAAAATGATTAATTTAATTTTACGTGAAAAGTATCATAAAAATCACTTTTACTATTGGTTTAATCGTCAAGAGGAATTAGAACAAGAGGAACGGGAAAAATTAAAAAAGCCGCCTTTCTTTCCCTCCGCCCCCTCGTCTCCCATGGATGCTCCGCCCATCGAAGCCCGAGGGAAAGTCTACCACCTTCGGGAGGCCACTGGCGCTGCCGCTGCCGCCCCCACCCTCTCCCACCTTCCCGGACCTTCGTGGCCGCCGCCGGTGCCCTTCCCTGCCCCCTCGTCCTCCCACCTCCCATGCCTCCCATACAGTCACTCCCCAAACCCTAGCTCTGCTCCTCCGCGATCTCAGGTCTACGATGTCCCCGATCTCTATGACCCGCGCTGGGGTTACGCCAGGTATGATCCGTGTTACGCGTACTCGGACGTGGGGACGGGCCCAGGTTTCCACGGCATGGTGGCTTCTGTAGCTAGCGAGGGGCAGGGATTCTATGCAAGGGACGCTATTCGGCAGTATGGAATGGATCCTCTCGCCTATGAAGATGTGAGTTCAGTGCCACCTGCCACCATCATCAGAGCTTCTTTACTTTTTAATCCTTTTCGGCTATTCTTTACTCTTTGATCCTCTGATTTTCCTTGTTTATGCCGTGCACTGTGGCGCGATGAAATGGGCTCGTGTGGTTCTGAGCACTGCTATGTTCGATCTTGAATAGCCCTTTGCTAAATGAGCATAGTAGTTTCTCAAAGTCGTATTTCTTCCTGGTTATTTTGCTTTTATGAAGAACCGCGGATGGAGAGTAACAATCGGATGATGTCGATGTGTTCTTTCCTCTGGCAGACGTACAATCCCTTTCTGTATTTTAGAGGAAACAAAGCCGTTGTGGAACTTGAAATAATTACTGGAGAGGAACTAATGTAGGATTTTACACGATCATGGCTTCAAAAAATTATTTCACTGTCTTATTTCCAATTTCCTCAGGAACTAATGTAAGCGTATTTCGTAACTTATTGCCAATTTTTTCAAAATAAATTGAACATTCTATAGATTTGCGAGGCTCCGTCTTCAAGATGACTGACTGATTGATACTCGTTTTCCTGAAAATACTGTGGCTGCTTGTATGTATGATTTTCTTTAAAGATTGCTTCAATCATTCTCATCCATGTTCTCCCCGAGAGCTTTGATGAAGCTAGCCACATGTGCTCGTGCTCTTGCTATCTTCTGTATGGTTCACCGTTTGGTTACAAGAATGAAGGATCAGTTAGAATCAATGGGTTTATGTCTGATACTTTGGGCCAGATGTGTAGTCTAAGCGGCTGACCTTAATATCGGTCACCATGAATGTTTGAAAAAGGGCCAAAACATGATGAATTTTCTTTTGTTTCTTTATCTTCTATAAAAAAAAATCTAGAACGGTGGGGAGGTGGGAACTCAAGATATCAGCTTAATTCAAGCACTACAAAGGACAGAGATGGGGTTTTATAAAAAATTATGTCCTATATTGGCAGTTGCCTTTCGATGTAATTCCGTTCTGATGATTTCCTACAGCCTAGGCTGTGATGTATATCATTTTATACTTTATGGTTGGAGTGGGTTCTAACCAATCTTTTGATTTTTATGTCATTTTATCTAAGATGATATTCCATTCCAAGAATCCAAGTTTCAGTTCTAAACCACCATTAGAATTTGGACATGGTTGGCCATATGCTGATCCAGTTCAGTACGCTGTGATTTGCCAAAACATAGTCAGTGTGAATACAAGAAGAATTTTTTTTTATCAAATGTCCTGTTATTTTACGGAATTCTGATCTTTGAAGATATTATGGTTTGACAGATTACATTGACTTATGTGGGCTGGTTTCAAATCGTTATTAGATAACCGGCAGTTCTACTGGACCGAACAAATTATCAGATATTTGATCGGGCTTTGGATGTACATCTCTGTATTTCTCAGAGGAGACAAGTAGAACAATACTGCCAAATAATAATAATAATAATAATCATAACCTTGTTGGGGAATATACTTATTGCCATGTTTCTCTGTAACTCTAGCCAGAATTACCTACCTGTGCATGGATGTAGCACAATCTAGTATGGGTTCTTGGGTTCTTGAAAAAATTAGACTCGAGGATCAGATCAAGCAATATCTAGCACGAGTTCAAGACCTCGTTGAAGGCTCTGAACCCCAATCTAACAATGAATTGATGATGAATGGATTATGCCCTTTTACTTAAACTGCATATTTCTCTCCCATTAAATGTGGGATTAGCCTGACAATTCCTAGAATCTCCAAGGTGTCCCTAGTTAATTGGTCCATCCAATCACGTGAACATGATTATTTGGGTGCATTACTATAACTTTTGTAACGGCTTTGAAATGAAGAATGTTTGGAACCAATTTGTTCCATCTTATTTTCATAATATCTAATATTTTACATCCTTGAGACAAATATTCATTTATTTTCTTCTATGTGGTAGGTTCTTGGGAGATCCCCTGGCTTACTTGTGCACCTTAACAGAGCTGCCCATCCTCATGGCAGTGCTGGAAAGAAGAAGAGAAAGAGCATGAAGATTGCCAAGATTGTGCAGTCGGCATACTGTGAGGTATGCAGTGTCGACTGCAACAGCCAAGAAGTTCTCTCTAACCACAAAGCTGGGAAGAGGCACAGAAAGAATCTTGAGAAGCTGAATGAACCCCTCAGACCGAAGCCCAGTAAGGCTCCACCAGAGGCCCCTCCACAGAAAGAATCCCCGGCTGGTGAAGATGATAAGGCTGCCATTGAGTCGATGAAGAGGAGGTCGGCCCCGGTGGCTGACCAGGATTTGGAGGTCAAGAAGCGGCGGCTCTTGGAAGAAGGGACGACGGTGGAATCCATGAAGGTGTGCACTCTCTGCAACATCGTCTGCAACAGCGAGATTGTATATGGCTATCACATTGCAGGCCAGAAACATTCCTCCATGGTGAGGAAGCTGGCGACATCTGTCAATTGAAGAAAGAGATTAAAAAAAAAAAAGTACAGGTGCTGATCCTCTATACTTATTTCTATTCATAACATGTTAGGGGTCATTGCTGTAACTTCGTCGGTTTGTGATCCAACTCATGCCTTCTTTGATCGGTGAGATTGCTCAATTAATGTGAGGGCCTGAAGACTCTGATGTAGAAAGCTTGATACCCATTTCTTGAAATTTTATGAAATTTTATCCCCAACCACCATCATTCGTAACCACAATCTAGCCCCTCAGTTCCTTCATCAAGTGTGGTCGAGCATCCTTCTACGTTATAACATCTGGTAGTTTAAAATTAAAATTTAAAATATGTGATTGCTTACAGGTTTATAAAATTTTGAAAAAAAAAAAAAAAACCCCTTCAAGATCATATATGGGTTGTGTCTAATCTGCCTAATCTGGTCCTGATCTGGTCAGAATAGGTCTTCCATTTGTGGAAATATTGTAAGTCAACGGCCTTGAGTTCCCATGTCATGATGCTGCATTATATCAGGGTATCTATCGTTTCTTCATTAAAACATCTTTACAAAGTCTTTACCACCCAGATTCTGACCCAAAAAAAAAAAAAGGAAAAAATAATGTTCTCATAGCACACATTGCTATCATATATGTGTTGTGTCTAATCTGCCTAATCAGATCCTGATCTGGTTAGAATAGGACACTTCCATTTGTGGAAATATTGTAAGTCAACGGCCTTGAGTTCCCATGTCATGATGCTGCATTATATCAGGGTATCCATCGTTTCTTCATTAAAACATATTTAAAAAGTTTTTACCATCCAGATTCTAACAAAAAATACAAAATAAAAAAAAATAATATTCTGTTAGCACACTTTGCTATCATATATGTGTTGTGTCTAATCTGCCTAATCAGATCCTGATCTGGTTAGAATAGGACACTTCCATTTGTGGAAATATTGTAAGTCAACGGCCTTGAGTTCCCATGTCATGATGCTGCATTATATCAGGGTATCCATCGTTTCTTCATTAAAACATCTTTACAAAGTCTTTACCGCCCAGATTCTAACCAAAAAAAGAAAAAAAAGGAAAAAATAATATTCTGATAGCACACATTGCACCGACAATTGGAAATCTATCGACATTGGTGGTTTTGTTAACAAATATTTGGGAGATTAGGATGGGCAGAAATAAGAAACTATCACAGGTTCCTATTTACAGCACTACAGCTTACAGTGGTATTTGGAGAAACCCCAGAATCAGTCAGGAGCAGCCTCCTTTTGCATCACACTTTATTACCGAAACTCTCACACCAAGCCTTTGAGCAGCTTCCTCACACTTCTTCGCTCTTCACAGGAGTCCAGCTGTTCCCTCCTGCAGCCTCTCTCCTACAACGGGAGACAAATCCAAGAACATAGCCCACAAAACCGCCCAGCAGCAGAACACTGGCCCCTTTAACATACCAAGACAAGGGGGACCCAAGAACCACCACCTCCCCTCGATCATTATCCCCATGTTCTTGGGCACCGTAACCTGAGAGAATCTCCAGGGTGTCGTGTACCTCCCCGTCATGGTTCCCCACATATGTAAGGGTGAGCTTCTCCTTCGTTGCAGTGAGCCTGGTGTAGCCGAACTCGCCGCCACGGTACATTGACTGCTCAGGCTGAGGAAAGATGGGCTCATCGGGGTGGTTGGCCCTTGGCTCCCAGACTGGCTGCCAGTCCTGCCCAGCCATCCCTATCACCACATGCACCGGGGCGCCCCCTGAGCGGATCCCTGCAGGGCCGTCAACACATTTGAAGTTCTTCATGGGGCAGAACCTCTCGTACCTGTGGACGTGCCCCCACAGTGCCAGGGTCACGTTGTTCTCCACCAGCAATGGCTCCAAGCTCTCCTGGAACTTCTGCCTCAGTGGGGCGTCCCTAACTTCATTGCTTGTGGTGTACATGGGGCGGTGGCCTTGTACCACCACGAAGGGGGTCTTCCCCCTGTCGAGGCCCTCCAAGTCATGCTTTATGAAGTTGTGCTGGTCGCTGCCGGGAAGAAAGTTGGTCTCTGTCGATATGTATAGAAAATGAACTGGCCCTGAATCAAAGGAGTAGTAGAGATTCTTTGTATCCACTGCGCCTGCTCCTGTGGGCAGAGAGGAGTTGCCTGGCATTCTAAACTTGAGGCTGTAAGGCACCCCACACTCACCGCCGCCGTCTTTCCCATATGAAGCAGAAGACCAAGAGGGCTTCCAGGGCTGAAGAGGCCAGTCATACTCGTGGTTTCCAATGCAGACATGGTAGGGGACCTGTGATGCGATGGGTTCAATCTGGTTGAAGAACTCGTCCCATATCCAGGAGTACCCCCTAGCGTAGCTGATGTCGCCGATGTGGGAGACGAAGGCAGGCTTGTTACCGAGGGCTTCGATGTCCCGAAGGATCCACTTGACTGTCGTCTTGCTCTCTTCTTGCAGGCGGCGGAAAGTTGCGTAGGGAGCCCAAGCGCCCATGTCCCCGAATAGGAATGCAATCGTCTCATCTGCGTTGTTATCTCTGGAGGTGAAGTTTTTAATGGAGCTCCAGCCCTTTGAGTCGCTGCCCACCTTCAAAGAAACAGTTGTTTCACGCAAACTGAAATGATATCTCAAAGGAATATAAGAAGGTTCAGCCTGATGCTGATGGGACAGAACAGAGATCGGTGTGTATCTGGTTGATAAAATGGAATGAATGACCCGAGATGAAGAGAAGAACATAGTTTCAACTTGTTATCTTTTATGAAACTCTAAAAACAGTAATTAGTGCTCTCAAAAGTTATCTAGAAACATAATACTCTGCCTGTGAATCAAAAAATTAAATAAATAATTACATATATATGCATCTGGCGATTGTTATTTAAAGAAGGACAGGTAAAATCTTCAAAGTCTCCTATATTTTGGAAAAAAGTTAGTCCAATCATCTAATTTCATTGCAGGGGCTTCCCTTCGATGTGAATTCCCTGTTGGTGGCACACTGCCACAGAAGCAGGTCTTATTGGCTCCCATCTCCTTAAATAATTTCGCATTTCACCTAGCTTCAACGGTCCCTGAGAGTCATCTACCTTATCATTATCGTGAGAAGGTGATCGATATATTACTTGATGCAGCTGGTTCTTTCCAGAGATAAGCTTTGCAAATAAAACCCCAACAAAAAACCACGTGGAGGGTTCGTGGAAAAAAGAAAATGAAAAAAAAAGAAGACTGCTGTGCTCTTCCTGGACATACATGATACACCAAGACTGCAACCGGGTTGAAAATAAGTAGTGAAAATAATGTTTGTTCTCGGATTAGGACAAATCCTGGATCAGGGGAGCTTAAACCCGGAATAACACATAATCAGATGATATGGACCAATTCAGGGAAATATAAAATACTAAATGAATAATCAACAGATTGTGGGTGTGAAAAAATCGAGTCAATGAACCAAAAATCGATCTATAGAATCAACCACCAGTTTATTTTTCTCTCAACTAATGTGAGATTATTGTGAGATTATTCAAACATGGAGCACCCGAACACATCCAGAATGAGCAATCCTGCACCCAATATTCAGCTCTGGAACAAGTAATGATTCAGATTTCACGAAAGAAATGATTCAGAGAAACTCGAGGATGATTAGGTTACCCGGTAATAATATCTCCTTCCCATCTTTAAATTCCGCATGACGCCGTCGTGGATGAAACCAGGATCCCGCCACGCAACGCTGGTATTCGCCGGCGCATCGCACATGTCCGACCGACTGTACCTCGTCACCTCCGTCTTCACCATCCCATCCATGCGCCCCTCCTCTCCGTAATTCACAAAACTCTCCGCGCCGTCCCCGGTGATGAACAGCACCCGCATCTCGTCCTCGCGATCGGTGAACGACAGATGAATCTGCTCGGGCGCCATGGGGGAAGCGAATCCGACCTCTTCCGAAACCACCAGAAGATGCCTCGTCCCCGGGAGGGGGTTCTGATCGTGATCGTGGTGCTTGTTGTCCACCTCGTCGCGGGTCCAGCGGAAGATCCGGAACGCGTAATTTGACCGGAGGTTGACCAGGGGGAGCTCCACCGCGCCGGCTCCCGTCTTCCATCCTTCGGCGGAGGAGAGGAAGACGTATCCGATGAAGTTATCGTGGGTTGAATCGGGCGGCGAATAGATGCCGAGCCAGTCGAGATCGGAGGGGCTCTCCACCCCCGACCATTGGATCCAGACCTTGTCGCCGGATCTGGAGAGGTTCTTCGGAGAGACAGAGAGGGACACATGGGAGGAGAAGCAAGGCGAGAGCTTGGCGATGCAGAGGATGACGAAGAAGAGGAAGAGAGAATCCATGGCGGAGCTCCTCCAGTCGCTGGGGGAAGACGAAGACGATGATGCCGTTTATATCCCCTCAGAGTCCTCCCATTAGTCTAAATTACCCTTATCCATTTCATAAAAGACATAAAAGTCCCAACCATTCAACAATCCATCTTGACCGTCCATCGTCATTTAATCCTTTCGGTGAAGGAGCGACTGAGATCAACTTGGATGAAGGGCATACTCGCTATTAAAGCACTAGTAGGGGTTAGAGGGAAAAAGTGATAGTCTTAAAGGAAAATTCATTGGTATCGCTTCGGTTCTCTAGTCAAAACCCGATTATGCGTATCCTTTAACAAACAGAAAATGACGTTATCCTATCTTTTAACAGCCCCCACCGATTAATTAATTATATATATAATCCAGACGCTACATCTAAATATTTTTTTTAAAATATAAATTTTGTATTTTAACTTATTTATTTATCGACGCCGGCTTTTAATTATCTTAGAAGCGGACCTTTTATGATATGGGCCCAGCGCAGCCCAAGAGCCCATTTTGCACCATTTTATCATTATCATAGTGGGCCCAGACTACATAGGAGTTAACCGGACGGTCTATTCTCCGGGCTGGTTCCCCACCCGTGCTTATACGCCTTCTTGACCCCAACCCCCCCCCGTTCCCATGGTGTTCAAACCTTACGATTGTTTTGGGCTTTCTTTCTCCTGATTGGCTAATCCCTTAATGGGCCTACCCAAGTAGCGAGAGAGAGAGAGAGAGAGAGGCGTCGTAATCGAAGTTAAAAAAGGGCCCACCAAGATGGGCCTGGGGAAGACCGGGCCCGGCCCGTTGACTGGGCCCAACTGCTGGTCCAGGGGGTGGATGTTCCGACAAGGTAAAGTCGGTCACGGACGAGGAGGTAAAGTCGATACATTTAGCCGCCATCAGTGGATCGAGGGAAGGAAGGAGAGGGGATTGAGGAGGAGGAGCTACCGGAGACCTCGGGGGCGGTCTCGGCCTGAGATTTTATGGTCTGGGTACGTAGATTTGACTTCTGGGTGGTAAGAGGAGGGGTGATGTGAGAGAGAATTGGGGGTGGGCGGGGAGGGGGGGTGGAAGTTCGGTGTCCCTGTCTCTGTGATAGCTGCAGGGATTCACTCAGCTGGGATAATCGTCGTTTTGTTTATTGATTTCAGGGCCTCTGGAGAATGGGTTGGGAGAGAATCGGCGGCTGCCCTTGACCACGCTTTAAGATAGCTTTGAATACGCTACCCAGATCACCTCTCTCTCTCTCTCTCTCTCTCTCTCTCTCTCTCCTGTGGATATTCCGGCAACTGTTGGTGCCTGCTTCGTTTTCTGCCGGTGCCCAAGACGAAGAGTTGAAAGAGTGGATAAGAGGGCGGCGTGGGGGGCGGCGGGTGTGATTTTCACTGCTGAAGGTGATTGCTTCGGTGGGTTCTGAGGGGGGTACTGAATATCGTCGGTGTGCAATTTAGGTGATCTTGGTAGGGGTTCGGGGGCTTCTGGGCCCGATTCTCGGGAGAAACGAGATCGATATTGGAGATAACTGTTGAGCGTTTCTTCTTCTTCTTCTTCCCCTGGTCTGCCGGCCTGCCGAGCGGATTCTGGAGAAGCCCCGGAGTAGGTTCTTCCGAATTCGATGATCTTGTAGCCTGGTAAGAATCCTATCTGAGAATTTCCTCTCCCTCGCTCCTGTATATCGTTTTCTCACCGGAAATAATCGTCCGATCGAAGGGGAATTCCTCTTCGCTCCCATCATCCCCTGTTTTGCCCAGCGAGATGATACCCGGGATTGCGCCCGATTTCGTTGGATTCGTCTTCTCCGAAGGGAAGCCAACCCGGGATTCAATCACGTTTTCCGAATTTTCCGAGCAACGCCGCCTGGGTTTTGGATTCTCCCTGTCTGTTTTCGTTGGTTTGAATTTGACTGACGAATCAAGCCGCTAAATTCTGAGGGATTTTCGCCTCTGTGAACACCTGCTGATCCAAGGAGATGTCTGGAGGGCAAGAGCAGCTGGAGATCAGGTTCCGCCTCCCGGATGGTTCAGACATCGGTCCCAAGAAATACCCTCTCGCCGCCACCGTTTCTACTGTGAAAGAGAGCATCCTTGCTCAGCTGCCTAAAGGTTTGTCTCCCTTGCTTGTTCATCTTCTTGCTGTTGCCGTGCCCATTTATGGGTGATAGCTGCTAAAATTTGCTTCTTTATGTTGAATATTTACTCTATTTTATAATATTTTAACATCAAGTAAGTATCTGGAGATAAAAAGTTTAATCCTTTCAAACTCTTTTAATTAGCAGTAGAGTTTTCCTCTTCGGATTGATGGAGATGACCAAGTGATTACTCCGGTTTTTGGATGGATGAATAAGAGAGGTTGCTTCACCGTGTCCCCAGAGAATCAGTGGGGCACTTAATCTCAGTATCAATCGGTGAAATCAAACCGAATGTCATGGATTCTCATGGAGAGGAGTTCTTAAGAATTCTTACGAACAAGATTATCCTCTGGGTATTTCTTCAACTGGTTGAAGAATTGTCCGGCTGCAAAAGCTATTAACTGATGTATTATTCTCTCTACCACGTCAGCATATAATTTTTCGAATAATCATAATGTGCTATACTCTGACGTTCATTGGATGATGAGAATCGGTGGCATTGTTTTCGGTCACCCTCACCCAGAAGCTGATGACCATAATAATTGTCAGATTTAGCCGTAAATATTTATTGACTAAAAAATAATCAAAATTGGTGTAGAAGAGGTATCAAAAGAGGTGTTGCTTAGGTGCAGTACCTTATTGCTCGAAAATGGTAGGTTGATGGAAATTTGTCATAGTTCCACTGAAGAATTGGTAGATTTAATCTCATGAAGATATTTTTTGCTTAAAATAATATCATGAGATTTTACTCAGCTGAATTCGATGCATTAAACCACGGAATTCCGTGGGTACCCACAATCAAAATGAGTTCGAGATTCAAAGGTAAACTGCACCTGATGATCCATAATCTTGACTGTGGATCATGGGACCTCCATTCCTCTTGATACTCCTACGTAGATTAATTATTTCGAATAATCCTGACTATGGAGTCTTCTCCCTCAGATAAGGAGAACTCATCAAGGACTGTCAGCGATATCAAGCTGATCCATGGGGGGAAGATTCTGGAAAACAACAGGACTTTATGGGAATGCAAGAACCCGATATTAGATGTCTCTGGGGGCATCACAACCATGCATGTTGTCATCCGGCCGCCACCTTCAGAGAGAGGAACAGGTAATTCTGTGAACTCCCACGTTGCAGCCTTCTCCCTTTTCCATTTTACTTGGAAAAAAATACTCATGGGAGCTTCCATTGTGGAACAGAGAAGCAGTCGAGTCTGCCAAAGGAGACCAAGTGTGGCTGCATCATCTTGTGATCCGGGAAGTGAGGCGGCCACATCAACTCCCCACCCCCCCCCACCGTCCCCCCGGGTAAGCTGGTCCATTGACCAAGTTCATTCGGACAGTTGAGTTTGCCCAATATGGGAAATTAACTCGTTTCCTTATTTTGTTGGATTTCAGAAAAAAACTATATAAAAAATTACCAAATGGGTATCTGTGATGGAAGGTTACTGCCTGAGAGGGGCGCGGGCGATGGTCGATTCCTTTATTCATTCTGTTGGTTTTATGCTGTATAATCAGGGTTCTGTTGTCCTTTGTGTTGACCAACTGTCTGCACCATGACTTTCATCTGTCAGTTCACATGCCCTTTGCTTCTTCATTCATTTTTCTCTAGTAGAGAAGTCACTTGTATCTCAAAAGTGCATCATTGGGTCCTTGAATTCTCGGTTGGACAGAAAGAAACGATCTCTTTGTTATTATTATTCAAAGTTTTTGAACTTGTATAACATGGAAAAATGATCCCTTTGTTGTTATTATTATTGCTCAATCTTTTTGAATCTCTTGGAAAAATCCTTACCAGGAAATAATTTCGATTTATTATTTTTATTATTATTCGAAGATTTTGAATCGTTGACCTATAACCAAGAAGAAATAGCCCACTGCTATTATTTGAAAATTTTGAATTTTTAGTTAATTTCCAGAATTGCAGTTGGTCTTCGAATCATTAAGATTGATGAACTTGTTTATAGCATCAGCATCTAATTGAGGAACTCCTTGGAAAGCACAGATTAGAGGGCATCTATAAATAATAATAATAGTGATATTTTCGTCAGCATATTGAAATTTGAACCAACTTACTACCTATTTACTTCTAATTTATATTGATATCGCAGCTTAAATATTGAGAAAATAATTTCACTTATATTCCATATCTAGCGATTAACTTTTGATTTTGCCAATGGATAAACTTGGGCCTTCTTTTCTTCGTTTAGCGTCCTTTAGTGTTTGCAGAGGTGATACATAATGAGCTGACTGACTCCTTTTACTCAGTTCTTCCCTGATCCATTCTGATCTCGCAGGGTTCTCACCTTGACCTAAATGTGAGTGGACATTTCTCAGTCTACTTCCAGCTGCCATGATCCAGTTCCTCGTATCCCACAGTGATTGGCTGCATATTTTATAGCATATTTATATAATGCAGCAAAATATTAACATCAATTAGGTATGTGTGTGTATGGACTAAAAATTTATCTATCTCAGAGTATGCGTGTATGTATAATTATCAGCATAATTGCTGCCATAGTAGTTCCCGGAATGAGATTTTTTATGTAATACTGGAATCAAAGGTTATTGCATGTGGAATCCATGCATAGGAAAATGAATTCCTCTCTCGCTCTATGGGCCAGCCGATATGTACATAAAAGCATAAATATTCTCTCTCTAGGAGCCGGCCGTTTTATATATTTTTAAATATAAAGTTTAGAACCATGACATCTCAGAATTTGAGTCGAATATATTAGTCCGATTATTATAGGGACGGAGGGAGGGGGCCAGTGTTCCGGCTGGCAACAGCTTTCTCCCTTTCTCTGGCGCAGAGAGAGAGAGAGAGAGAGAGAGAGAGAGAGAGGAACAGCTTTCTCTGGCAGAAAGCAATCTTTTGGGGAATCCACAGAAGCCCAGATCCCATCAGCCAGCCATTCCTTCCTTTACCCACAAGACATCACACGAATGCAGAGCATTACGTGTCCCCACCAGCACACCAACATAATATAATCTCCTCTTCCCTTCTTCCCAAGTTTTTTTTAAACGAACGTGACATTAAAAAGCTCCCCCCGCCCCACTTACTTCCATTCCCCTCTCTCTCTCTCTCTCTCTATCTCTTGGGAAGCCCGGATGGATCGTCTCTACAGCCAGATGAGGTAAAGCTCTCAGATGGGCTGCTCTCAAGTTCTCATTTTTTTTCTTGGATTCATCCATTGGAACCCCCACTGCTGGAATCCGTGGAGAACACGACCGAGATTAGCTAATTTCTCCCTGGTCTCAACGGGAAGCGTTTGAATGATCTGATCAGGGTGAGGCATTCCAGCCCCGGGAGGTACCAAGGAGAGGGAAGGATTCAACACCACAAGGCAGCGTCCTTCAAGGGAGGTACCCAGCCGATAAATGATCTCTCTCTCTCTCTCTCTCTCTCTCGCTAAGCATTTCCATCGACCCCAGAAACAGCCAACTCTCCAGGCCCTCTATATCTTCCCTAACTATTCTTTGTAGGTTGACGGGTCTGGCCGCAGGTTGACTGGGGGCACTTGTCGGGAAGCAAGAGCTCCAGGTCAACGCTCGCTGGTCCCGATCGACCATGAGTAGATAGATAGATGGGTCTGTTGTTTTTCTTCTTTTTTTTCCAGTGGACTCTACGAACATTTCTCATTCACAAATAAGCCCCTCCTTCTACCCCCAATAACGCAATCACCGTAGCTTCAACCCATTCAAAGTCCGGGGTGGGTTCATAAAGTCAACGGATGATTTCCTGCAGAGAAGAAGGTGAGGTGGTCCTCAGACCAAATGGATCCCAGGGACGAGCCCATGGACGGCAGGTATGCGGCGGCTGTGGCGGCCGCCGCCCTCGCCATCAGCTCCCGGGAGCAAGGAAGACAAGGTCAACTGTGGGAGGAAAGCACGCCGATTGGAGGTCAACGCAGTCTGACCAGGAGCAAGAGCAGAAGGGAGAGCAGCAGCAACTTGAGTAATCCTAGTGATTCTGGAAGAATTTCCAGATGGCTCACAGTTAAGGAGGGTAAAGAGGACAGAGACTCAGCAGGTGAGCTTCCAAAGCCCAGTTTGTTCTGATCTCAGCTCTTTTTGGAAAGAAAGTTTCCTCAAACTCTTCTTGCGGTGAAATCAGAGGCGGCGGTTGACCGGACAAAGTCAAAGAAGGAAGGGCCCGAAGCCTCAACGGCCAAGAAGGCTCCCTCTTCCACAGATATGGGGAGCAAGAGATTCGCAGGTGCCAAGGGAAACGCCTCAGCTGCGGGGAAGAACACCCTCAGCTCAAGCACCTCCAGGAGAGGAGAAACTCAGGCGGATGCATGGGAGCGAGCTGAGATGGCTAAAATTAGAAAGAGGTACAGTCACAGTTCATCAGCCGTCTCTCCTCGGATATCTCGGATTCATGGTGAGATGAGAAGATATGGGTTGACTTTTCATTTCTCAGATATGAGAAGATGCATTCGGCGATTCTCGAGTGGGAGAAGGAGAAGAAGCACAAGTCTAGGAGGAAACAGGAGCACGAGGAGGTCGTCTCCCATTCTTCCTCACCATGGCTGCACACATGCTAAGCTCAGAGAGTTGACTTCCTATCTATGGAAATTTGCAGGGGCAGCTGGAGAGGAGAAGAAAAGTGGCCCTACAGAACTACCGTGACGAGGTAAACAGGGTCGGCGAGATTGCTGACGGTGCAAGGATGGCTGCAGATGAGAAGAAGAGGAACGATGAGCGCAAGGTCATGGAGAAGGCTAATGAGATCAGGTCAACTGGGAAAGTCTCCTCTACGTGTTTCTGCTTTTAAATAGTCAACTCTGTGGGTCTCGGGCACCTTGGACAAAATCATGGTTATACCTTCTTATCTACCCAAATATGTAAAATAAAAAAAAAACTGTAAATTCGAAGCCATTGATAGAAATAATGCATATTTCTTGTGAAGGATCGGATCGGAGCAGAGAGTTGACACTTGTCAGATTGGGGAAACCAAAGGTGAACAAGCTCTGGATATTGAAACAATTGCGGGTGTTAATTTCGTTAGTTCTTCTAGACCAAACCTCCATCAGATGATGTTCATGAGCAGAGGGCAGGGTTTGGACTCTCCGATAACTAATAAATACTGCATCATCTGCTTGAGCGATGGGGCAACAGTCTGGTGTTACGAAGCTCTGGCAGAATCCATGGCCATGGAGAGATCTAAAGAGCCGAGCAATGACAGAACCTGCACAAGGAGGGCTACAGAGAACAAAGAAAAGGTTAGGGGAGGAAAGCGTCAGCCAATTCTAGATGGTCAAGGAAGGTAAGTCATAAGCAAAGCAAATGAAAAGCCTCGGTAGAGGGTAAGGTAAGGTAAGGTAGCTTAGGTGGATTCTGATCATCTTAACCAAACAATTTTTTTCAGATGTTCTTAATCTCACTCATACTGTCCATGGCAATGAATGCTTTAGAGTTGGTACGTTCCTGAGACCTGTTTATTGAAAATCTTGGCTCTCTGATAAATAAATTAATTAATTAATTAATTAAGAGGAACAACAAAACTAAACTAGCATCCAATGTGGCAGAAGAAATTCAGACTGTCTCGATCCACATGCACCAAACACTCAAAAGATGAATAAATAATTAAAAAGGTTGAGAGATAATGTCATTCTCATCTCAAAATGTAGCAATGGAAAAAGAAAAGTTCAACACAGGCATCAGAGTATTTCTATAAACCTCCACGCCCAACTTCCAAGAGATAAATTAAATCCACGCACTAATTAAAGAAATCAATGATAAATAGAGATAGATATGATTAAGGGATATAATCCGGGTCACATCCAATGGATGATGATAAAGAAAGAGGATTACTAGTTCTCAGTTATAAACGTCTATGAAAGAGAAAGCTTTAAAAGACATTTAATATCGAGCTAAGAATTGGAAATATTAAAAAAAAAATCGAAATAAAGAACATAACATTTAACAAAAATGATGATCAAGTGTGAGAACCTGAAAAAAGTCCTGGTCGTCATTCCAACTCTGACCCCTCTTCTGAATCAGAAAGGGGTAAGAGAATACAGAAACCAAGTAAATGCCCATTGAGGCAGACGTAATACTCAATACAGTCATCATATGCACCCAATCTGCTGCAGGCACTACTTGGAACCATGTTTGCTTGGAGCATGCTCCATAGTTTCGCCTTGCAGTAGGGGCACACCTCTGTGGGATGAAACTTGGCCTCCTTGCCGATCAACATTTTCTTCACTCTTGAAACAGCAAATGACTTGAATATACCACGAAAAAATCCCACATCATCGCCTTCCCCGTGATCAAGATGCTCGCATGGGTCAGAGACATAGAGAACGTCTGTTCTGCATTGGGGTAAAAGAAAGCTTTTCCCTGATGTCCTGGAAAACCGAGTCCTATAAACAAAGTGCCCTGGAATATGGATGCTTCTAAAGAGTTCTTTGTTGCATCCTGAACAGTAAATCAGCAGCTTTCCCAGTGCCTTCCAGTTTCCATCAACAATGTGACTTCCACCGGATTGCAAGTCAAGCATCATTTTAGGGGCACGGGTTCGGCAGAACTCTTTCCACAAAACTCGCTTTGCAATGTCGTCAAACCATTTGCAAACGCAGGACAGATTAGCAATTAAGCAAGGGTTCCAATTCAGATGTTGAAACACTAGGAATAAGACCTCCTCGCTGATATGACCTTTCTTGCACAAGCATGTTGCAGAGTGTATGCAGCGGTATTGCTTCTTCGCCAGCATTCTATAATGAATGAGTTGCCAACATAAGCCTGTAAATCTGAAATGAAAAATTTTAAGTTACAGATAGTTTCAATGGTTTGCCATGTTGTCTTCAATGTCTAAATAACAATACATGCTGGCACATAGTCAGCAATGCTCACATAAGAAGTACCACGAGAAAATGAATTATTAAAACATTTCTTCTTTGTCCTACAACAATACACTGTCCGTAATAATTCGTGTAAGACGGCAGCATACTCTGGGTTTTATCTGTAAAATTCAGAATTTTCAAGACATGAATGGAGAGGGATAGCAGAGTGAATACAGGTTAACATTATCCAATATTTACTTCCTACCATGCTCAAACACTTTTCCGCTAAGCAGTTTGTTTGCATGCTCGCAGTTCACCACTCACGAATTAGGCGGCACTCCCAAAAAGGCAATCACTAGTTATGTTTCATTCTACGGAAAAACATTATATTCTGTAATCAATCTCAGGTCGAAATCAAGGAGACAGTCATTCCCGGATTAATCTTTTCCGTCCTATTTCCCTACCCATGGGGTCACCAGAGAACGTCCATGGAAGAACTAGACAAAAAGCTAATATCTTGCTGATGGTCTCAGACAACTAAAACAGACGATTTCTAGCACCCCAAAACCAGATTAAAGACTTCTAACGATCAGATTTCAGCGTTAATCCAAAAACTCGTAGACGCAATGTTCTCTTCCGCTGGACTACAATAACCATTATATATGGCACAATTTTATTCTGCTGAAAGGAGCCTTACCTCCACAGGAACATGCACAAACCAAAATTAACAAATTAAATGCAGTCTGACATATCAGCCTAAACCACTAGATGTGCGGTGCTTATTCTCATGCAAACAATGCAGCGTTTCTGCAAGCATATCCTCATTTGTTGAACATATAATGTCGTAGATCTCTCAAGATATAATTGTGCTCTCGGTCTACCTATATTAAGGTGTGAAAAATGACTCCATAAATAATAATAATAATGCGATTTGACGATTTTCTGTCTCAACACTCAGATTACAGTTCAAAAGATCAAACCTAAGCAGCATTCCACATGCGATTGTTGAAAGAAGAAAGAAACATAGCCTCTAAGAGGGACAAAGTGAATCAAGGTGGTTGTTTCCTCAGTAACAGGAATATATGCGTCAGGGCACCGAAAGAAAAATGAGGAAATGTGGTTATTTCCTCCAAGATTCTGGGGTAAAATGACAATTATTTTGCGACAAGAAAATGAGGTTCCGGGAGGATTTCTCCTTTTTATGGAAGGAGCTACCAGTCAGAGTTGTGCATACAACTGCATATTTTGGGACTACATTTCAACCATCCAATGCCAGCCATCAACTTGGCAGATACTTTTATTTCGGTTTCAGGGTTTACCTTTCATACCTATCTGATGATAGCTAGGAGGTTTAGTGTCATATCTCAGTTAAAATAAATTTTAGAGCATTAGCCAAACGCTAGCAGAAATTTATAGACTTATACCAGTTTAGCTTCACAATTTACTACATTTTTTTAAGTGAATAGTGCCATGGGATCATTAGGTATGGGAATGAAGAACAAGGACAAATGCACAGATACATTCAACATTCGACATTCAGATAAAACATACACGCCAGGCTCGTGCAGGCAACTGAATACAAATATATTCAGAGTTATCAGAACTGAAGACTTGGCTTCTCCGGCCAAAGAAAAAAACCTTGCCTGCTCTCGATCATTCAAAAAGATAAAATTTTATCATCAAGCTTCACCATAAGAGGGAAATGCATTTATTCATAATTTTGTGATGAAAGAAAGACATAATCCAATAGTACCTTCTAAATATATTATTTAGGTTAGGCTCCTCATTCTTTTGATCTGTCAAGTGAAATGTTTCACCGGGAACACATTTGCGGTATGGAAACTTTCAGTCCCAGGAGATGACAAGTGGCAAGGATAAAAAAAACGTTTCTTTACAAAATAAAAGCTCCAGAATTGTGAAAAATATATTTATGGTTATGAAGCTAAAAAAACTTTGGAAATATCTACGATTACTCTGTATGAAAACAGAACCGATGCTAAGAGCTGAGACAATGAGATAGATAAATGCTGATGGAAAGGGGGCAACAGGCCCCACATATTTAAAATAAGAATAAATAGAGATATCTCTACTTAACCGAGATTAAGATGTAATGATAACAGTAAACACAACAACTTATCTCCCAACTGCTCTCCATCTGTGGCTAGCCCCAACGTGAGCCATTAGTTGATTGCACCCGACCAGTTCCAGCTCTCAATCAGATCACTTGCCTCCTCTGCCAACCCCATCAACACCCCCCCCCCCCCAACAACCTGCTGCTATCCAACTCCGTATTTTGTTCGCATGGAGTGAGTGACGATGTGGAGAGGGTAGGCATAATAATATTTCTGGCCAAAATAATGTTCAACATGGTAATCCAATCAATCAAGGCTACCGCTACCTTGATGTACGTCCAATGCGTCCATACTGCCATAAAGAGAATGATAGTGAAGATAGTCCATGATCTGACCAATTCAGTCAGAGCCGATACCAAAACCAACTGGAGGACAGGCGATCTCAGCCTGTAGCCAATGCTTTACTTTTGCATAAGTGAAAACTTACCTAAGAGGCGACAATCTATCATATCCCTAGAAAATATAATATGTTATAAGATTTATGTTTTTTAAGGATTAGGCGAAATTCCAATATTCCCTTGTTTCATTTTATCAACGTGTAAGATTATTTTATGTTTCTATAATTTTCACTCCAGCTCCTGGTGTACTGGATCAATCATAATCAATTTATTAATGATGTCTCGCTTTTTTATCCTCGTCATCAAGCAACAATTACTCTATCGAATTTTAATAGGAGTTTCTCTTGAGGTCGTAAATCAATAAACAAACGTCCGAGACAGGGATCTCTATACTCTGGCGGAACTTTCTCAATGTATTTGCAGTATTACTCATTTATTTATGTGCCAAATTTCCATGGACATATTTGTTACAGGTCGAAAATCAATGAACGAACAACCGAGACAAGGCCATTATACGCAGTAAAAACACATAAAGTTATCCGAGACAAGGTCATTATACGCATTGTAACTCATTTTTTTGTATGCCTTCCTTCACCTACAGATATCTAAAATAGACCAAATATATCTTCTTCCTTCCGACTAATCGATCATAAACTTCCCATCCATCCATCGGCAAATGAAATTTTATAAGTAATCTACGATCCCCCGTGAGCCATGGGTAGCTCACTCCTGATCAGATTTTCTCTATCGACAAAAGCTCACAAGCTTCAAGTGCCAAACCCAAAAAAACACCCTCTCAATATGTACAGTCATGCCGCCCCCCACCCCCCCAAACCCAAAAAAACACCCGCCAACCCTCAAATCATCCACCCTCTCAACATGTACGGTCACACCCCGTGACTACCATTTAACTTCCGGCTTCCTTCCCCCTACGTTTCGTCAGAAGACCCCTTCGACCCCGATCCCTTCCTTCCCGCTCAATGCATGCACGACGTCGTCCCCCATCTGACATCTCGTGACCCTCCCTACAATCTGAGACCTAACAAGAACAGACACGAAATCTCAGAAACATCTAAGAACATGCAACCTCAGAGACAGTTGAGAGGCACAAAACAAGGGAGATCATCGTCGGAAACAGAAACTATGGCGATTGGATCCAAGATCTCTCACCTGAGCTGATGCCGGCGTTAACTCTTCCCCCTCCGTCCGACTTCTGCGAGCACCCCGAGCGAGAGCCGAGAGGAGGAAGAAGAGACTACCCTTTCCGCCTTTCTCCTAGAGAGGGATCTCTCTCTCTCTCTACCGAGGGAGTTTCTCTCTCTACCAGTAGAGAGAGAAAGCCAGACATCAAGAACCCGTGGGAGCGGAACCAGAAGAATACCCCTACTGTAGGGGAGATGGGGGGGGGGGGGGTGGTAAAATCAACGGTATTTTGTCGTTATTTAAGGGGTATTATAGTCAAATGACTGAGTGACTGACGCCAGGTGCTCGCTTCATATTCGCCCACTTCGCATTCGATTGAAGATATTTTATTATTTTACAAACTAATCCCCAGAAAGTCCGCGTATTTAAGAAACGATCCACGGCTGAGTTTGTTTGGAAAAGAACATCGATGATGGTAAATATTGAAAGGAAACACCTTAAAATATAGACAACCTGGAGAGTAGAGAGAGAAAAATAGAGTTGTAGGGGAAGAGAGAAGGGGATAGCCAAATAAGCGGTAGACAGAGAATAGAAGGGGGGGAGGAAATAGCTGGATAAAAGGTAAAAAGGAGACTGAGAGTAAATGAGAGAGAAATATTAAAAGGAACTATATTTAATGTAGTTCCATGTAACACACTCTAATTAAGGACAATTCCCTCATCTTTTCAGCTGGCACTCTACATCCTCTACAAATTTCCAATTATTTGGATTTAGTTCATTCATTAGGCCCAATTAGTCACTGTGAATTGACTTGGGATAAAATTGGTTGACCGTCATCTTTTCTCTCCTTGTTCACTCTCTCTCTCTCCTCCACATGCCTCATATATTATTTATTTTTCACAATACATGCATGAAGTTGTATTTTTATCACGCATAATAACTTTTTATCATAAATAGATGACAAAAATATCGTTTTGAGTACCATCTTCACTATGTCAATGTATGAAAATTACACATGCCTCAAAGCATATAATGGAGATCGATAAATACAAATATGTTATTATTTAAAATATTTTATGAGAATGTCTGTTCTTGATCATTAAATTAAATGTTATCATATTAAAATATTATGCCTCTATATTTAGATGCTTGACGTGACTTAGTCGTTATATAGTAAATCACGTAAATTTAAAATTTATAAAACTAGAAAATACTAATTTTTAGATATTTAATAGTATTTTTGAAAAAATATACTAATTATAATTTAATAAAAGTTTTAAAAATAGTAAAAAAATCAAGTCAATCACAAGGATGTAATATAATATTGGGTTATTTTTTAGAATTTTTTTCAAAAAAATATTTTTTATAAATTTTAGATTAAGAAATAAAGATGAGATATATTTAAAATTTATAAAAAAGGAAAATAAGAGTGCAAACATCAAGATGATGTCAATAAGGATGACGTGATCAATCTTTAGATCTTCTTGCGAAGTTTAGAGATCAATGAAATAAATCGTTGAATCATCTACGACAATTGTCACTCAATAGTGCAGAAAAATGATGATTTTGTGACTTTACGACGACTGTCACCTAACGGAGAGGAGCTGGATAGAGGTGGGGTGTGTCTCAATGAGCTTTATCTTCAAGTCTACACAACAAAAGTAGGTTCTTCATCGCATCTGATATGTTCTCATGAGGTGGTAACTCGTCTCTTAGTAGATTGTCCTCTTCCTAATAATGACTTATTTGTCGATCAATCAGGGATCCTTTATTCAATAGATTCACGATCCTTTTATCACAAATCATTTAATAATTTTAGTAACAATATTTTGCAAATCACGTTGACAAGATTTTCATCGATGATCTAGTGATTATGGTAGCTTAATTCTTCATCAGTGATCTACAGAAAAGTCACGATTTAATCAGATAAAAATACAAGTTTTGACTCTAATAAGATTTGAACCCGTACCAATATTTGCTTATATGAGAGATATTAAAATAAGTAATCTAATACTATTATAAAGTGACGTCATCATGATATATTGATGTTGTAACTAATTGATGTTTTAGGTAATAAAATAAATAAAATTATTCTAGGGAAGGTGTAATGCTAGTTTAATCCCACATTGATTGTACATTGAAGTTTTGAACGAATATATAATAATATCAAATCTACAAGTAATGAGTTCTTTTCTTACATGTACAACCATTCTTTGCCCCACAATTGGCTGGCCACTAGTGACGTAGAAGATGAGTGGCGCACACGTGCCCCCATCAGTTCATAGCCACTCAAGCCTCTACTCACAGCTCCCTTCGACTATGCTTCTAACTTGTTTGTAGGCTCAACTGACCAACAAGTCCTTTCTTTTTTCTATATGTTTATTTTAATTTATTTTTCTTTATTTATCTTAAATTAGGACTATAAAAATTATATAACTTTACATAAAATCACATAATTAGCCAAAAAATTATATTAATAAATTAAAAACCACTTTTTAAAATTTAACATAAATATAAGTCTATTTATCGTGAGTTAAGACTAAAACTATATTATTTATTAATTATTAATTCATGATAATGAAGACTTATCAATGCTCCTAACATAGAGAGTAATTTGATTATGAATGAGTAGACTAAGATCATTATTAAGTAGAATATGACATGGTTTATGATTAAGAGGGTGATGGAACTATTCGTACTAATGATGACAACTGTAGCATGACAACTAAATTAGAGTTAGTAGCATCAAGAATTTTGAACTAATTATTTATAAAATGGCATATAAATATTATATTTTAACTTATGTTTGTTGAAAAAAATAGATCTCAATAAGTGGGTTATGGTATCTAGCACATTAAGTGCATGTATTTCAACTTATTATGAATTATCATGTAGATTCATAAATTAATATAAGAGATAATAAGATGCAATGTGAAGCATCTTGTTCCAATTTTGAAAAAGGGCTCTAATTTGACTTTTTATTGATTTAACAATTTTTGTGCACCAAGTTCATGCACTTTGTAATTATTTCAATCAATTTCAACTAATTCAATTTTAATAATTTATAAATCATACTTGATTTGTAATGGAATCACATAGGTGATGCATGTTCTATCTAATACGGTCTACATTACCTATCAACTTTTTTTCATTAAATACATAAAAAAATAAAATGTAATATTACGAAATGAATCTTGTGATGAAAAAGTATATATATTTTAAGTCAACTAATTAGCCTTTTTATTTGAAACATAGCTAGCATTTCGTAAGTAGAGCTAGGTAACCAATATGAGAGAGGTGGATGCTTTTGCCACAATTATTGTCATAATATGCAGAATAATTATCAACATTTTTTTTCTCTTGAAAAGGTCTAGGAATAAGTGACGACTCCCTTCTCATTTACATTGGATATTTTTATTTTGGGCTCTAAAGTAATTTATAATGCCACTAATCTCATATTGTCAACATTTTTCTAAAAATAAAATTGATGAATCAGAGGGTCAATGATTTTTAAAAAAAAACAAGTTTTAACTTAAACATAATTTTCTTAAAATATGATTTGTTTATTATAAATTTTGCCTCTTTTTGTTAACCTTCTTATGAGTAACAAGCCTCTTTTTGTGAAATCATAACAAGCCTTTTACAATAAATTGAAACTAAATACAAAAAATGTCATAATATATTATATTAACATTTTTGATAAGAAATGTGGTTAATTATGGTAGTTGGAAATTTAATTAAAATATAATTGGTCATTACTTGGCTTCAATATGATATGTTATTTGATGTTTATTATCAATGTACAAATATCTAGTAATGTACAATATTATGAGCTGATAGTTTATAATTGACTTAGATGTTAAGTAAAATGATGATTGTCCCTAACTCTTTTTCTCAAAAAGATAATATATATAGAAAGAGGGTGTAGTTCTTTTTAATTAGTGGGTACAATCCAAAAGGAGTCCTATTCAAATGAACCAAGAGATAATTAATAATTATTATTGTTTATAGTAAACATAAACATATTTGATTTTTGATTATGTAAACTACAAAAAAGACGGCCTCGATTGGTGCCAGGCTGGGCCAGGTCGGGCTCAGCTTCACCTAAAAACGGCCCGAAACCCAGAACCCATGAAGGAAGCCCATCTCCATACAAAACCGGGCGGGGGTTTTTATGGGTTTCTGTTCCGGGCCTGGCCCATCTCAGTACCGATCCAGGCCCGGAAAAAAGGAGCCAACTTTGGCGACACCCAGACGGAATCTATCAGGGGAGCCATCTCGTGCACCTGTACCATTATCCCTATTATCATGCCAAGATCCATCAATTCCGTTGTACATCGGAAGAACCCACAACAGAATCTACTCATTCAACACTAATGAGCCACAATTACAGCAAGATTTGCATAAATATGGGTAGATTATACATATTTCTGGCAAAAAGATGGAAGCTTGCCGGAGAATTTACAGGACCTTTTCCAGCTGCTTCCTCCCGGAGACCGTCTTCTTCACGGCGCCGACGGAGACCAGGAACTGGTCGAGGGAGGAGAGGGTCTTCATGTCGTCCGGTGGGAAGTAGCTGGCGGCCCTGCCCATGACGGCGGCGAGCAGGAGAGAGAACGAGGGCCTGGCGGCGGGGCGCTCGCCCAGGAGCTCGTCGAGGAAGGTGAAGGCCGCAAGAAAATCCGACCTGCTCGCGTTCACGGGGGCGGCGAAGTGTGCGGGGATGATCCTCTTGAAGGGCCAGTCCCTGGTGATCCTGTCGATCCAATCTCTCACCTGAAATTGAAATCAATCAAAACAAAGATTAGCGGTTTTTTCCTGATCGGGAAGCAAAGCTCTGCAGTCGGTGAAGAAATTAGGGTTCTGATTCATGGGGAAGCTCGTCCAGAGAGCAGACCTTCTCGGGGACCTTGCTGAAGACCAAGGTCTTTACGATGGGGGAGACGATTAGTTTCTGCGACATCTGAGCGAAGCTGGCCGTGGGCTCCAGTAGATTCGACGGGCCTAAGAACAGAATCTGGAGAACCATTCTTTCCCAGCCTGCCCGATCGGGACGATCCACGCAGTCAGGCGTTGACTTCATACGATCAGACAAGAAAACTAGAAAATCTAGGGAAGAACAAAACCCAGAAAAATTGTCCTCCATTATTCAGCCATCTAATGGTTTTTAGCTTAGAATTTTCAACAATTACAGAAATCAAACATTAAGCAAGAAAAAGGGTGCCTTACTTTTTTTAGTTTTAAAAAAACCGTGTAATTTTGTGTTAAATGAATTTCAAAAGAAAAATTGTCAAATTGACATGATATACTCTCTATGATATCAAGAGATTTTTGATCTTCCTACAATAATATATTAGAATTATAAAAAATGCTGATATTTTATTTAGATGAAGACCTCTTCTTCCTCAATAATGTAGATTAGGATTCTATCCCTCTAATCAAAATAGAAGCGTAAGCTATCCACAAAAACATAAGATTCTTTCTTTTTCTAATTTACCATGGTCACTATATTCTGATCAAAATACATGGATCATGACAAAGATCTGCGAGGGCATCTACAGGGATCCACTAGGAATGGGCCTGAATCATATATAACGGAAAATTAAATTCTCTTAGCAAAATAATAGAGAAAATTACTAGGAAAAAGAAAAGCTGCAGTTGCCATTTTCGGATTAAGTCTGAATCACCCCTGAGATTAAAATGTAGGAATTTTGGGATCATTCAGAAGATCACCCTTTTGGCGGCTTGATTTGTTGTCCACAACAGGCTCCTGGGGAACATCCCTCCCTTTGCTGAGGATCTTCACGGCCAGCCCATTCTCTGCTGCTGCCAGAAGAGACTCTTTGCTGATGCATTCAGGTGGCTGTCTAGGAACGAATATGACGGCATCCGTCACTAGCAGCGTTCTTGAACGCTTGTGGTAGAATGCCGCCTCAACATAGGGCCCGATTCCTGCACAGAAGAAACACATTTTGGGAAAGTTTAGAGAAATTTAGTAAGTGAAGCTCAGGCAAGAGGGAAAATGGGAGTTTGATGGAGTGAGGACCGACCTACTTCAGGGGAGCTGAGGATCTTCTGTTCGATTTCATCGGCCCAAGGGGTTGAGGAGTCCTCATCTTTCAAGGGCTTGGATCGGAAAATGCCGAAGAACTCGAGGGGGAGGTTGACCGGCCAACTCCACTGCCTCGGCGCCACCCAGATCTTTGCCCGAGGAAATTTTCTTGAGAAGGGGCCCACGAATATTTTGTGCTCATATGCAAATGTGGGGAGGACAATGTACTCCACAGGAGCACCCAACTCCTTGATGAGCTGCGCAGTGGTTTTATATAAAAAATTTGGAATGAGGCGCCAAATATTAACACATCCTATTTTCTTCATCAAAAGCTAGATCTTTGTCATCGAAGAAATTGGTTTTTTTTTTATGAGCAACCCTCTGGAATTCGTATCTAAAATAAGATATAGTTGAATTGGAGGTGGGCCGATGTGAGATAATGGTTGGATCTTCATCATTGAAGAAAAGATTCTGCTTGAATACAAGGAAATTTTTAAGAACATCCCAAAGCAATTCATATCTAAAAGAAGATAATGATTTCAACGGAGGAGAGAAATGTGGGAAGATATTCAGGCCTACCTCATCAGCTTTGAATAAAAGGAACTTTTTTCGAACATATCAATGTAACCCATGTATGAAAAAAATATAAAAATTGAATTGTTATGAGAGACTTTGAGCAACCTGGATGCACTCCTTTGTGGGGGCAATTGGTGCATGAACCCACAAGCCACCGGACTTGAGTTTGATGACGGTCATCCTAATGTTCGTTGAGACGCTGCTGAATCCCAGCGCTTGTTCTTGCTCGAACAGCCATATACAGTCCTTGACGGCCTTCAAAATAAGAGTGAAAAGACGAGGCTAAGAGAGATGATCTGGTAATGAGAATCTGCCCCATCATAGTTTTGGCCCGAATGGGTATTATTAATGCGGTTCGATGTTTAAGAAGACGACCAGGCTCGAGACTTTCTGTGGATTAGAGACTAATTACGGAAATGATGAGCGCAATGGAAGCAAACGGGCAGTTCATTCGGCAATGGAATGATCTCAATCAGATGACTTTCTTTCTGTTTCCCCCTGATATTTCTTCAGAACCGCCGAGATTAACCGGCCCAATCCGCCATATAATCCCAAATTTTACATTCTGCAAAATGATTCAGGCCCGGAATCGGAGAAGAAGAGAATCGATTCACCTCGGTCCTCGTCGTCCGCCGGTTGAGGAAAGGCCCCAGAGGGAACGGGAAGCCGGTGAAGTTCAGATAGAATCTCTCGCCGCCTACGCCGCTCGAACCGCCCTCAGCTGAAGCCACCACCCGACCGACGGAAAACCTCCTGCCGCCGGCGGGCTTCAGGCGGACACCCTGCCGGAGGAAAAGCGGCGACGGGGAGCTCGCGATCGACGGCGGTGCGCTCTGCCGGAGCTCCGCCGTGGAAATAGAAGCAGCGGCGGCCGCCGCCATCCCCCCTCTTCAGAGTTTCTGCTTCTGCCTGCTCCTCCGGCTTCCACCACTGCGCTTCTGCGGCTTCACTCCCCTCGCCTGGTCCTCAAAAAGCTGAACCCAGACTCTGGGGGAAGGGGGGAAGGTGCCCCATCGGCAGCCATGGCCTGGGATGCTGTGGACAAGCTGGGGACACGTGGAGCGGGGAGAATCTTCCCTCGGTTTTTTGCGGTGGGGGAGAAACCTCGCAGTTTTGAGTTACGAACAAAACATGGGTTTTAGTGGCCATAAAATACAGCGAATATCAATACTTTGGTGTAGAAAGTAATGAAAAATGAGAACGTCGCAGAGGGGGGAGGGGTTTACAGAGTGTGTGTGTGTGTGTGAGAGAGAGAGAGAGAGAGAGAGTTATAATGTGATTTTGTTTGTAGCATGTTTTATCAATTATTAGCAAACTTGTAAATTTTCGACTCTTTCATTTTATTTTATTTTAATGCATATTGACAGATTATGAACGTTCTATGTCATTTATTTGATGCTAATTGTTAAGTCCTCACCACCGAAGGAAATTGATGCTAATTGTATCCATTTAACAAAGAAATCCTCAATTAATTACTAATAAAATGATGCCATGGTAAATAAAATGACATTTACTTTGATACATGCACACATTCTCATGCGACTCAAATACTAGATTATCGAAGAGAGTAAGCCAATGCTGTGAGTACGTGGGAAAAGCCCTCTTAATAGTTTAGGGATGAACCCTATTTAACAACTTTCAAGGGTTATTATGGGTCAACCCTTGCTTGATAATTCATGAGATGGAAGCCCAATAGACAATGTTCTAAGTCAAACCCCATTGGATGATATATGAAATAAAGTACTTTCAACAAAGTTATTCTTGGTTACCATTAGTCTCATACAGGCATATGGGCTCATCTATACAAGGTTCGATCGTTAGGGGGACCAAATTCGATTGACAACCCAATGATAATTGATTTGACCATTGAAACAATTGAATCTTCCTAAAAGCATAATAATGGCCCCTCGTCGTACTATCTTTTCAAAGATGAAGATTTCCCCCAACACACATTTTCCCTCCATGAGGCCATGGGGAGGATCTAAAAGTAAAAACCCTGACAAATTTCCTCCCCCTCTTGTTTATTTCAGCAATGTATGGGACGGCTGTATTGCTTCGTTTGGGTCACTTCCTATTGTTCTTCTTCCACTACCTTTGGTCAAAGGATGAAAGTACCAATTTGGAAGCACTGACCTTACTTCGGTAATTCTAATGTGATGGCAGTGATAGTAGAGGTTGGTGACAATCATCTTTGTTTGGTGGATGTTCCCTCTAGTTTTGGATATGTTCCTTTCTTCCCTTCCTTCCATCCTCCTCTATATTCCTTCTATTCTAAGAAGCCCATCAAGTAATGCGTTTCTCCTATCCATGAAATAAATATATATTTTTTAAAAATAATTTACTCTATTTATTTATTCGGATATTTATTATTTTGTACATTAGAGTCCATCTATTTTATGTAGCATAGCAATTGAGAGTTGTGATGTGTTTATGTTTCTTTTTTTTCTTTTTTTCTTTTGGCCTTTGTCACTTAGGCCGAACTTCCTAAGATGTTACTCTTCTCAATAACTTCACACACCCTAGTACTTAGGCCCGATAACTATCTTAGGGCAAACTTCCCAAGAGGTCACCTATCATGGTACTTCACACACCCAAGCATTCAAGCTTGTGAGTACCTCGCGTCAACGTGCCTCACAGCACGTTGACGGAGCGGGTGTCTCGCGGCACACTGGGGTAGAGGGTGCCTTGGGGCACGTACGGCCAAGGTTGGTGCCTCACAGCACATAGCGCAAAGGTGCTTCGTGACACATGTGTGGAGCAGGTGCCTTTCGGCACTTTGGGAGGAGTTGGAGCTCTGTGGTAACACACCCACTTGGGGGGGTGGGGGTTGTGTTTATGTTTCTTCATGCACTTCTTCATCTTATTTTTTTTCAACAAAACATAGTTGGAATACAATGATTGCGGTCAATGTGACATGACTTCTGAGCTGCCTTTCTATTAAATATGAAGCTTAAAACCTTGCTACTCTCTTTGTCTCAGCTTCCTGCCATGAAACAGATTGCATTAATATTTGTAAATGATAGGAAGATTTAAATTCTGTCTTCTTTCGTTTCCTTGCATTATAAGTATAGACATCTAAAACTTGCCATGTTGTCGGTTTTTCATATTGCAACATGAATTCCATTGAATGGCCAATATTGGAGGTATCTAGTCATGTTTTCAACTCAATTACTACAACTCTATGCCAGAAACTTCACTTCCATCAATGAACTCACCTATTTTCTACTAGCTTCTTTGATCTTTTCTTTAAAAAAATGAAATATTGTTGCATTCTTAGCTAAATCTGACTTGCATAGCTTAGTTTTTATCAAGTATATATGCCTTCTTTTATGAGATAGTGCATTTTATCTTGGTCTCCCAAACTCCTTTGACACTGGTAGATTTTTTTTTCCCCTATTGAATGGTGATCCCTGTCTTTGTATGAAGATGCTTTTGGGATCTTACATGACGTAAGTGAGATCTTTAAATAGAGAGAATATATGCTTCTTGGGTAAATAATAAGGCAATGTCAAAGAACGTGTCAATTTTTTTAATCATGAAATCCTTGTTTAAACGGATGCATGCTATAAATAGTTAATTTAAAAATCATTTTAACATTTTCGAACTACATAAAGAGAGCACTAGTTAAATAACAACAATATCAACCACATCCATAATTTAATGATATTGATTCATTATTCTAGAAAACATTCTAAGTGCATATCGGTGCTTTAATCACAACATATTTGCATAGGAGGAAAGATTTGCTCAATTCTGACAAACCTAATTCAATCCTTTTAAGAGGGTATCAAACGGGGATTCAATCAAAACTGAGATGTTAAGAAATCCGTGTGGCAACGAGTGAGGCATAAAAGCCATACCTGCAATTTGCACGAATGAAGAGAAGTGAACTACACATATGATTTATATTAACATCACGTGTTGATAACTGATGACGTACCCCGATAACCTACTTCAGACGCCTAATTGATGTTGGCAAACAAAAGAACGAAGACGTTGAATAATCGTGTGGCAATGGGCACCAGCTCTACTGTCTATGTACTCAGCACTAGCCCTGTCGATGCCCACATCTATCCGAGGACCATCTGAGGACCAGTTGGAGCATCAACCATTTGACTTTTTTCGCTCCGCACAAGGGCGTATTCTTTCGTCAAACTCTTTTGCAAGTAGGTTGTCAGCTTGGTATATGAAATAAGCTCGGACAAGATTAGAAATGAGTTGATTGCCTAATCCCCGAGAGTCGTCTGACCGCATATGGACCACGATTTGATCCTATGCATAGTAAACAGAATCTTTCCATTTGAAAATAATAAAAATGGAAAATTTTCAATTGGAACATGAAAACGTGACTGAATTGGTGCTAGTTACTCTTCAAGACGGATTGGATAAAGGGAGATTCTCTCACGAGGAAAAGGATCCAATGACTATACGAGAAAATTATGTTTGGATACCATTAATCGATGTCCATGAGAAGTACATGCCCGTCAAAGTCATCGCTACAAAGGTAGGGCAGACCATCCCCCCTCTCCAACTAGACTGAAGAATCATCGATAAGAGGACATTGAAGATAGGCCGCTGCCGCCGCGTGATCAAATTTATTGAAGGGGTTTGGGTCAACAACAAGCTTGACAAGAGAGAACTGCAAGACATGATAATCACCAATAGTCTACCGATCGTATGCATCACATCGTGCATCTAAGAACTGTTGTCCTTCCGGCAGACGCGAGCCTGCGGGTAGATCAGCCCCGGCTTGCAGTAGTATCCCTTGGAAGGCGCGCAGTGTTCGTCAAAGGCGCAAATGCACAGCCCTTCTAGCGCGCAACCCTTCCCGGTGGTCACCGGGCTCTTCCCGCGCAGGCCCAGTATGGCGTCCGTCCAGTCGGAAGAGAAAAGTCCGTCCTTATCGTACTTGGCCATGGCGGCCACGAACTTGTCCCCCTTCTCCCCGAGCCTCTCCCTCACGGTGAGGAAGCCGACGTTCCTGTTCTTCCCCCAGTGCGGCATGCCGTTGTACTTGAAGAGGGCCAACTGCTCGATCTCCTCCAGCACGTCCTCGTCCAGCCGCGGGGTGTCCGGTTTGCGGGAGCGGTAGTAGGTGATGTCGACGTCCACAGAGTCGGAGGTCTTGCCCAAGTAGGCGGTGGAGTTGCGGACGAACCTCATGAGGAAGCCGTAGTAGAGCTCGATGCCACAGAGGGCGCTGGGCCTCAAGTCCCGGAGCTTCTTCACGTCGGCGATAAAGCTGGTGATCTCGGTCACTGGGATGCTGATCGTCGTCTGATGGTAGAACAGCCCGCTGATTCGAGGATCCCATGCGCATACGGTGAAAAGGCTGTCATCCTTGCTGAACAGACAGGATCCTAAGAAACGAAGTGAGAAGAGCTAAGAGCACTAGATAAATTTTTTTTTGGCAGGAACTTGTATTATTCAGAAGCGGGACAGCACGTTAGCATATTAAAACTGAGAAGAACGCTTTCACACTTTTTATCATTTATGATCTAGCTTTAGGCTACTGTTCATAGTTATATGATTGATAAAATTTAGCGTATATTATGGTTGCTGCGTCCTTTTTCTTCGCCCGACCAAATCAACGATATTATCCAATTTATTTATTTTCAGAATTGATTGCAGTGAATAAAATGTTTGGTGTCTACTGTTATAAACCGATGGCCATCTATTAACAAGAGATAAGAACAGATATTTCCATGGATTACCGGAGGTCTGCATGTCGCTTTGGTTTCCGATCACCGGGTAGCCGGTGAAATCGATAATACTCCCGTCATTGTTCTTCAGGCCGGAGCCCGTCTCCAGCAGAGTTGCCACCTGTAACTTGGACACCAAGCACTTTCCGTCGGAATTATCCGTGAGCTCCAGTAACTCCTCTGGTTTGTCATACATAATAGAATAAAATTAAAGGTCAAGCATGGAGAGCATCTGTTGATGAACTATCAAAATCTTCACCTGACGCTGACCAAGCTAAGGTTACTGTCGAATATATAAATATCTATACCTACATATTAGGTTCTAACGCCTTCCACGGAGATATATATATATATATATATATATATATATATATCTATATATTAACTTCTAACCTGTTCCCCGGATGCCGGCGACTACAAGGGAGATCTGAGGCTGGAATCCTGTGAAGTCGTTCTTCGCTTTGCCGGGGATGGAGACGGGGAGCCTGATGTCGTCTCTGTAGACGACCTTAGATTGCGCCGGGTACCAGATGATGTCACCGAACTCCGTGGCCGCCGCGAAGGTTGGGATGTTGTGCTCGAAGCCAACGTCCTTCTGCACCCGGTTCGTGATGGATCGCTTGAACATGGGTTCAAGCTGGAGGGTCACCTACTCGAGTGACGTGGAGTAATGAAATTCGGTCATATGTCAACGCAATGAATTTATCCGACACACACCCACACATATATATAAATATAAATAAACTTTCTAGCGGGTGTATTTTAGAATCTACGGAGTAGAGTTATTAGGAGTAGCCGACATGTCCTTCGCTGAACATTATGTATTTACCATGTACAACGGTTCAGTCCTCGAGGTACTACAAAGGATGAGAACAGGCCCGCCGAATCCCATATGAAGCCTGAAGCCACCCAACCACAAGATAAGTATGTGGTGAAATTTTTTGTCCATGGCTCGAAAAGAGGACCAGGAAAATGAGATGGGAGTGGGCTCTTTTTGGTTTTGCGCTGGAGTTTGGATGGAGATGTGAGGCAAAAGATTCTCTTAGCAGAGAAGGAAGGCGGGTCAGACATGATTGTGTGTGGGGAGGGGCAAGAAATAGGTATATTCATGAGGCAGGGAGACGGGGATGCAATGGGATGGAGGTGTCGGGGAAGGGGATGGACGTGAGGGGAGGAGACAAGAACGCGATGAGACGGAGGTGATGAAGGAAGGGAAAGGGATTGGAATGGAGGGATAGGATGGGGAAAAAGGTAAGGTCTGTCTGGATTGTAAATGTAAAAATTACGGAAGGATAGGGACGAGATAGAGGGTCCGAGAGAGAGAGGGAGAGAGAGAGAGAGAGAGCATATAGAATCACCGGAGTTATGGGCTTCTTGGAGAGACCCTCCTCAAGTCTCCACGATACACGAAGGATATTGAGGTTGGGTCTGTCTTTGCACTGATCTAACCTATTGACGCACCTATCTTCCATCTTAATAGTAATGATATAAGCATACTTGTAGTGTATATATATATATATATATAACTCTAATGACACTGGCTTCATTAGTATCCAAAAAGTGATGACATCCCATATCAGCTCTATCGTATAAAGCTCCCTGCAGCGACTTGGTGAGTTATTTGTTCATATAACAATAAATTTGGCTGGTGATGCATGCATAACGACTGCAATTGGTAAAAGCTCTCGAATACTACCTGCGAGACAACACCCAACACCCCGAGGGACACCTTGGCAGCTAGCAGGTCCTCGTCGCCTTCCACAAGATCGATTGCTTTAGCATATAATCCATTGATTGGATCGGAGGTGGGGATTATCAGCCTCAGCCCCACCACCCTCTCATGCACCGCAGAACCTTTTCCGAATAGGGAGCTGCCGTGGGAGCCCGTCCCAAGCATGCCTCCCAGGGTGACTCCTTGCCAGTAGGGCGTGTAAGGAAGAGCGAGGCCTCTCGCCGCCGCCGCATCAAGCAGCTGCCTCAGGGTAATTCCCGCCTGGAAGGTCATCTGATTGGTAGAGAGATCAACGCTCACCACCTTGTTTAGCCGTTCGGTGCTAATGACCAGTCCAGCGCCGGCGGGGCCGCCGGGGCAGGAGAGCTTGGGGATGCTGTGGGAGTATACGGTGACGACTTTCATGTGCTGCTTCTTTATCGACGCGTTGGAGACGGCGAGGAAAAGTTCACTCTCATTGGATGGGTACGCGACTGCGGCAACCCGGCAGATGCTCCGGTCGGGGAAGGCCCCGTAGGAATTCGAGACAGTGCAGTTTTTGTTGCCGGAGCTGCACTTCACCACCGACGCCGGTGGGGATGCCCTTGCCTCCCTACACAGAAGTAAGGTCGTCAAGAGGACGAGCAGTGCCGATCCCATGGATACCTCGGCAGCCTTCATCAGAAAGAGTGCCCCCTTTCGGATGGAGAGATCCGAGGTTGGCTTTACACACACAGATATTCGTGGCTGTCCTATCTTAAAGACTGAGGATTCCTTCTGCAGATATGGTGAGGGTTACCATCAATGAGATGTTATATAATTAAGATATAACTATGAGCTTTTGACACGCGACCGGCTAGTGGGAATGGATTCGAGATCACACTGGCCATGTTGAACAAGTATACTCGTATTACCTGTTATGAAGACGTTTTCAAGAGAGTTGACCGTCGCTTGCGTTATGTGCTGAAAAAAAAAAAAAATTACGTGGAAGATGAGTGGAAGAGATCGATTAATCAAATGGCGACGTTAGACCAAAAGCCTGGTCCCATTTGACTAGTCAATCCTTCGCACGTTCTGTTGACGATTAGCTAGAATACTATATTCTACGAGCCCTATTCAGACGACCAAAAGTTAGTTGGAACGAGGTCAAACCAATTTACGCGGAACCGTGAGCTATTAAAAAAAGTCCGTAAGTCTACCCAATCCGCGGGGGAAGGAGAGTCCCGGTATGGTTTCAAGAAGACGTGCCCGCAAGTATGGTTTCCAAGAAAGCCCCACGTCATCGCCACAATCGTGCTCTAAATGCACCTTGAGACCAAGAGTCTTCTTTGCCACCTAACGATTATCTGTTCAATATAACCTATCTTTTCAGATAATTGACTTCTGAGGTAGTACGTGTACAAACAAAAGTCTGGGGCTCACGTTGAGTTGGTGAATGTATTAATGGCTTTGGACGATGAGGGGTGATCCATTAGTCAGCCAGCTCAGGAAAGACATCGTCCAAGCATAGCAAGGCAGTGCTTGGGCCCCAGTATTTGGAGCTAGGCGATCTGTGACCGAGAAGACGGCGACTAGGCCCAGCGAGAGGCCACCAACGGCTAATGGTTAAGCAAAAACCTCTGATTAATTCATTAGGTCTCCTTCAGGACATGATGTCGACGATTAAGCGGTGGGGTTCATGAACAGCTGACCTACAAACCAACCGCCGCCCTCTCTCTGTCTCTCTCTGTCTCTCTCTCGCTCGCCATCTCCACCCGCCCCACCCCCCACCCCCCCAACCTTCCTCCTTGAAGGAAACAGGCAATTATCTCAGTATAGGCCTCATACTTGCGGATGCAGAGGGATCCTCCCACTTCGTTATCGTTTGTCGATAAATAGGGAAGGGAACCTGAATGACTGGGCGAGAGAAATAAAGGCGGCCATGTATAGAATAAACTAAGTTTTTTAAATGATTAGCTATGAAAATGAAAAGGAAAGCTGCATTATCCTAACATATGAATATACTAGAATGAATCCAAAAGCGTAGTGGACGAGGAAAAGGAAGAAGGAAGGAGATAGGGGAGAGGGAGAAACGAGTCTTGGACACGTTTGATCAACTACTAGGTATCCTTTCACTTTCATAGCTCGCAACATCAAAAGTTAAGGGAGCCGTACGAAGCGATAATGATTAGGCGGGAAGCTTGAGATTTGTCCCTCGTTGTTTTCACCTCGTTGTCTACGAGACAACACGGCTGTGCAGAGGCCTGCACGACTTGATAAGTGGTCCCTGAGCCAACTAAGCAAGACACTGACAGCCCCCTACTCCAGCAACGGGCCCGCAGACATATAATGCTGACTCAGGTGGAGGAACCCCTCCAACTACCGTGACCGCGGAAGACGACTGTAGCCATCTTCGTTCTCCCATGTGGACAGAAAAAAGTGAAACTACAGCTGGCCCTCCCGCCAACCCCCTGATGAGTTAGATTTTCTAGAGGTGTCGTTAGTCCTTATCTCCTCAATCAAAAATATTATGAGTTATGTTTTAATCTGATTCGCAAAATATTCGTAGATAGCAACGAGTCAAGTCATCTCCTCAGGGAACTTGAGGCATACTGTTTAATGCTTGTTCTAATGAAGGATGGAATGGGAAAGAAAACGAAGGGTCGTGGATTGGACGGAGAGAAGAAGGTTGAACGATGCTGGCCAGCGTAAGAACGGCAATCAACTATTCATATCTTCTACTATTTAATTCCTAATTAAAATCTAACTAGACTAAACTAAACGAAATCTGCTTCATCTCGAAACTAACCTGGTGTCACCGTTCCTTCTTCCTTACTTCTGCCAAGAAGAGGCATTCACTCGAAGCAGCGGGAGAGACCTCGTCCAGGCGAGATGAGGAGCGTTCCAAATGGATACACCTATATTCACACGATGTGGAGCTCGGAAAACCCTAAACCCCTCTAGGCTAGTTGAATCGCCGAAGGCTTCCTCCCTCTAAGCTGTTCGTAACATTAGTTTTCTAAAACATGTAGGGTGGTATTCCATCTCTCTCCTCTCTAGTTCGCCTCTCACGCGCCTCTCGTGCACGCGAGAAATTGCCAGAAGGTTCGGGTAGTTTCCTCCCTCGCACGGCCATGCTTCGTTGGATCGGTGGACTCTCTGCTCGTGAGCTCTCTCTTGGGCCATCAGATCTTTCTCCTACCCAAATGCTGCCTCCTCACTCTTGTGAGTGACGATTGAGCTGCTGTCTCACAGCCATTGATGAAGCGACTATGACCTGAGGCAAAAATTCCTAAAACACTAGAAAATGATTAGAAAAATCACAAAAGTGTATTCAATGTTTAAAATAATCTGGTTTAATCAGATAGTCACATGTTTATGAGGAAACTATTCTCACAAAATTCTAAGAAATATTTGACATATTACTTCATCTTGAAACATGTTAAAAATTATCTTTATTAACGTAAACAACACATTAATAATCTCATAGAGCTGTAAAATTAACTAACTTAAGGTGTATTCCAGCACATTATTCATGTGCTATCACCCTCCTATAGATCTAATTTTGCAGCTTAAACTTCCTAAACTCTGGATTTTCTTTACTTTAATGATTGCATAAAAATGAAAATATATGTAAATTAGATTTGTGCACTATGCGAAAAATGATATACATATACTTTTTGTAGATCACTTCGTTTGATAGAGTTTTAAGAAAAATCTATTATGACCCGTTGATCTACATGTTTGTGAGATTATATCGGATTTTAAATCGAAGATCAATAGGTGATAAGTCTTTATTATAATGAGTTAATAACTAGTAAATAATATAGTTTTAGCCTTAAATTATGATAAATATACTTATATTTATGTTAAAGTGTGAAAAGTGGTTTTTAGTTGATTAACGTGAATTTTTGACTAATTATATAAATTTCTACAAATTGATATGACTTTTATAATCTTATTTTTGAGATAAATGAAGAATATATATAGATATATATATAGCAAAATGAGGGAGACCTGCCGGCCAACCAGGCTTGCAAGTGAGTCGGAAGTGTAGTCGGGGGAAGCTGCGAGTAGGGGCTTGAGCGACTAAGACCGATAGAGACACGTGTGCGCCACTCCCCTTCTAGGTCACTGGTGATCAGCCGATTGTGAGGCAAAAAGTGGTCATACATGCAGAAAAAATGGATAGATTACTTGCAAATATAATATTATTGTATATACACCCAAAACTTTAGCGCACAAGTAATGTGGGACTAAATCTACGTCACGCATCAAATAATGAATCACAAGAGGCGATCGATGAGTGAGTTGTTGATGACTCCGCAAGATTTTAATACTTAAAATATCCTTTCTTTATAACACAGATATACTATGATGACGTCACTTTATAAAGACATTAAAGTACTTATTTCAATCTCTCTCATGCATGTAGGCAATCGGCGCAGGTTTGAATCTTCTTAGAGCCAAAACTTGTATTTTTATCTAATTATCGCGACTTTTCTGCAGATCATCAGTGAAGGATTAAGTCGCCAAAATCGTTAGATCATCAGTGAAAATCTCGTCAACGTAATTTGCGGAGCATTGTTATTAAAATTACTGAACAATTTGTAATAAAAGGATCGTAAATCCATCGAGTAAATCATCTTCGATTGATCGACGAATAAGTTGTGATCGAGAAGAGGATGTTTCGTCGAGAAATGAGTCACCACCTCTTGAGAGCGTACCGGATGCGATGAAGAGCCTCCTCTTATTGTGCAAACCTGAGGATGAAGTTCCCTGACATACGCCCCACCTCCATCTAGTTTCTTTTCGTCGGGTGACAACTGCTAGAGAGCCACAACATTGTCATTTTTCTACTCTGCCAAGTGACACCCACCAGAGATGATTCGACAACTTATTTCATTGATCTCTAGACTTCGCAAAGAGATCTAGAAATTACCCACGTCATCTTTGTCCAAGGCCGAGGCCTTGAAGTAGAGAAGATACACTATCTTAGTCCATAATGATGATGAAAAATAATATACCAATATAAGTATAAGAACATACAACAAGGGGTGACACATAGTAGGAGATGTTGTGCAGCAAGAAAATAGTGTGGTGGGAGGCGGTGTAGTAGGAGACAATACCACAAGGTACCGCGAGAGCAGGAGGGGCCATGGTAGCAAATGCTGCAATGGCACGGGGGCTGTGTTAATAGGGTAGGCACCGATGTGTTAGTTGTGTGTGGTGTAGTAGTAAATTTTGGTGGCCCAATTGATGGCAACATGCTATAGAGGATGACATGTAGAGAGAGAGAAGAGAGCACATAAAGGATGTGGCGGCAATGACATGATGGCGGCGGCGGCAATCGAAAAGAATCCTAAGGCTCTGATACCATATTGATGAGAAGGGTTAGACCCTAAGATTAGATTAACTCTAAACAAAGATATACATGTGTTTATATAGGTGAGATAAGAGAAAGAGATAATAGGCCCAAGTGGGCCACATAGAAGAGAATGTATGAACATATATTTCCAAAAACATTTAGTGTTAATCCATCCATAACCAAATGAGGGACTAGCAAGTACAACTCATTCCACTAGAACAATTGTTATTTAAAGAAGATGGATATTAATATCCACAATGAAAATAAATCACAAATGTGTTATAAACTATGGATGTATCCAAAATATATATTATGGAAAATACATGGAGATGCC